CCATGTGCACAAATCAGTGATAATGGCTGCACACATGGCCGTACGGCCCATATCGGACCGCAAAAGCTTAAGATCCGCAAGGATCCTTGCCAGGTCAGGGAAGTTGGTACAGGCTAGCGCGACAGACCAGAAGACGCAACCAGAGATGATCTTGTCTGGATGGCCATTTCCCGGGAGATAGTAAAGAAAGGCACCAACAGGTAAAGCAACAAGAAGCCCCGCAAAGGCGATGATGACCGGTTTGAGCTCGGTGATCCGCACCATCCTCAGGTCCATCCCTAGACCAAGGAGGAAGATGTTGTAGACAAGAGCTAAGTTTGCGAATGTCTCAAGAACCATTGTGAATCTGTAGGGGAATACATGGGTGACTATGAAAGGTGTGTTCCCAAGCACACTTGGGCTAAATAATAATCCACACTGCAAAAATAAAATCACAGCAAGTTAAGACACGGAACTAGAGAGCCAGAAAAACGGACGTAGCAAAATTTTGATAGGAATTTTGCATACGCACGAGGATCTGAGCTACGAAAGGAGGAAGATAAAAGGGTCGGGTTATATAGTAGAGGACGCGATAGCTAAGGTTCGCGACAAAGAGTTGCGTTATGAAGAACGGAAGGGAAGAGGCGAGCGTACTTCCGCTCTCCCATCCTTTTTGTTCTCTCTTCTCAAAGAGAAGACTTTGATCATAACACACAATTTTTCCAAAACGCGATATCTCAATATCATAGCTAGGATTCGTCACATTAAGGGGGGCTCCGGAAGACATCTCCTCCTACGATGGCTGGTCGGAAACCCCAAAAAAAAATGATAATATTATGTGTCTGAACCCAACGTTAGGTTCAGACAAAACGTTGGGTTCATATAGAAGTCTTAACTGCAATAACAACTAATATACAACCTCTTTTAAGTTTTCAGACTTGATGGCTAATTATAGATGATGTATTAGCTGTCATTGGGGAATTAATTAACCACTCATTTTAAAATGGAATTTTCTTTTAAATTGGACTTATCAGATTTATGTTTTTGCTGTTAGCAGCTTTTTTAAACGGCTGGTTGAAAATGAACACTTGATTCAACACATTTTTGTCTGATTTCTAATTGTGCAACATACTTACGGTTTACAGATTTTGGTCTTATTTGATAACGACGACTCTTCCTAATTCAGTTTGGATCTTTAGATACTATCGATTACAAATCTTAAATAAAAGTTATAGATATTAACGTTACAAACAGCCAGAAAGGATAGTCTTTTGATAGTCTAATATTTAAATTGTAAACAAAAGATAAGAATATTTATTTTATTTTTCCTTTTTTTTTTTTTTTTCGTCTGAATGATATTGATAAAACTTCGAAGGATACAACGACCGGCGGAAAAAGATAATATCCCCGGTAAGATAAGTCGGCGGAAAATGGATATATCCCCGAAGACAAGAGCCCAAAAGAGGGAAACTAATAAACAACCGATGATACAACGATAAGCTAAAACTTAGAAAACAAACCTAGAGTCCTCCAATGAGTGAAATGACAAGGAACCACGAGAATCTAAAGAAAAAAATCTGAACTAGGAGCTAAGGGACCAACGCACAATTGCCTTATTTGACTTGTGGAGAGGAACCGAATCAAAACCCATTGTATAGCTCTTCTCTCTGCTGAAAGAAATGATAGAGCTTTGGATAGTATTAAACGTTCCAAACCAACCTCGAGAAGACGATAACCTCAAAACTGGTAGAGATACCGCCTATGATGGCAAAAAGTGACCCACAAACTCCAAAACGAAGCAGATCTTAATGAGACAGAAGAACCAACCAAAGAAAATGAGCCTAGAGCCAATGGCAAATAGCAACGAGTCCGTCTCTTCACAAGAAGAGATTTTCCAGGACATTCGATGCCAAACACAACACCACGAACAACTCAGATCCATCTCTCACCACGAACTGACCGGAAACGCCACCAAGCCTCGCTGAGCAGCCAAACCAAACCAGAAACGACTTCACATCCCACCTGGGAGGGGGCCGCCGCAAAACTCGAGCAAAGAAGCTGCTCCAAGAACAGAAACTTCACCCTCTTCCTCACGAACAAGTAAAAACCCATCGCAAAAAAGAGACTCACCGGAACGAGTAAAAGGCTAGAGAAAGAAGAAAAGACAACAAATTACACTAAAGAGGCACAACGCCGGTGCTAAAGGAGCCACCGGACGTTGGCCGAACATGAGCGGCGGCTGGTTTGTTTTCAGAAAAGAGAGGAGAGAGAAGAAAGCAAATTAGGTTTTTTTGTCTATGTTTTGCAATGTAAAATGATAATGATTTTATTTTTCCATTTAAAGAAGACACTTTTGGTAATAATTAAATATACAAGTAATAGAATACAATAAATATGCAACGAGAAAAATATTATTATTTTATTACTATAATGTAACAACTATCAATCCATATCTAGAGATCCTTTAAGAGTTGACAAGACTTTTTAGAGTAAAGACTGAAGACGATGACTGACTTTTTAGAGTGAAGCAATTTCTAGATTTTTCTAAGTCAAATTCTCCCGGAGATGCTTCCGTGAATGACAAATTACTACTTTTAAGGGTAATCCTCTGTTACGATTTCTCTCTTCGTTTTTAGTTTTCGTTTTTCTGCAATTCCAATTAGTTCTCAGCTCTCTGTGCTTGCAATGGAGATTTGATAAACAAACAATCAGATTGGCTGAAAAACCCCATTTATCATCCAGGGTTTGCTTCAGAATGCTTTTGAGTCATTAAAGTTCAACACTTTATGCACTTGGGTTCTTAATGCTGCTTTGTGTTTACTCTGATCTAGTGGTGGAGCTTTTACCCATTTACTTGTCTTTGTTTTTGATGCTGTTGTTGTTGTGATCTGTTATGCATACTTCAAATTTCTTTTCTTTCTTTGCAGATTTTGGATACCAATGATTGTTGCAACGCTTTGTGTTTAAAAGTCCATTAGTAGTAGATTGATTCAAGAACAAATCATGCTTACTCTTTCCGAGTTTCATGTGATACCTTTACTCTTCTTCATTACGCTTCTTTCGCCATTGCTCTCCACTGCCAGACCTATCAACATTTGGCCAAAGCCGAGATTTCTCTCATGGCCTCAACAGAAAGCCATTGCCCTCTCTCCAAATTTCACCATCCTTACCCCTGAACACCAATACCTTTCGGCCTCTGTAACACGTTATCTCAACCTGATCCGCTCTGAGAATTACTCGCCTCTCATTAACCGTCCTGTCAAACTTACGAAAGGTTACACCTTGAGGAACCTTGTAGTCATTGTTACCGATCTTTCTCTTCCGCTTCACCACGGTGTTGATGAGTCTTACAACCTCTCCATCCCCATTGGCAGCGTTTCCGCGCACTTGTTGGCTCATTCGGCTTGGGGAGCTATGCGTGGCCTTGAGACATTCTCTCAGATGATTTGGGGAACATCTCCTGATTTGTGCTTACCAGTTGGAATTTATATTCAGGATTCTCCTTTGTTTGGCCATAGAGGTGTTTTGCTCGATACATCGAGGAATTACTATGGAGTAGATGATATAATGAGGACAATTAAGGCCATGAGTGCAAACAAACTCAATGTGTTCCATTGGCATATTACTGATTCACAATCTTTTCCATTAGTGCTTCCTTCCGAACCTTCACTCGCTGCAAAGGGATCTTATGGACCAGACATGGTATACACTCCCGAGGATGTCTCAAAGATTGTTCAGTATGGTTTTGAGCATGGTGTTAGAGTACTTCCTGAAATAGACACTCCTGGTGAGTCAATTCTTGATTTGCTCTTGTACAAGAAATTAGCTTGGTTCTAATGGATACTGATAAACTCCACAGGCCATACAGGATCATGGGGAGAAGCGTACCCGGAAATTGTGACATGTGCCAATATGTTCTGGTGGCCTGCTGGAAAAAGTTGGGACGAGCGGTTAGCTAGTGAACCTGGGACTGGTCAGCTTAATCCCTTGAGTCCTATAACATATGAAGTTGTTAAAAATGTCATAAAAGATGTCGTTAAGCAATTTCCAGAATCTTTCTTTCATGGAGGTGGAGATGAAGTTATCCCAGGCTGTTGGAAAACCAATCCTGCGATCATTTCTTTCTTGTCCTCTGGCGGAACACTAAGCCAGCTTCTTGAAAAGTACATAAACTCGACATTACCTTACATCGTGTCACAGAACCGCACAGTTGTTTACTGGGAAGATGTTCTGTTGGATGCACAAATCAAGGTGGATCCATCATTTCTACCTAAAGAGCACACAATCTTACAGACTTGGAATAACGGTCCTGCGAATACAAAGAGAATCGTAGCTGCTGGTTACAGAGTAATTGTCTCTTCATCAGAGTTCTACTATTTAGACTGCGGTCACGGCGGGTTTCTAGGGAATGATAGTATATATGATCAGCAAGGAAGCGGCGGCGGCTCTTGGTGTGCACCATTCAAGACATGGCAAAGCATATACAACTATGATATAACCGATGGTTTGCTCGATGAGAAAGAGAGGAAGCTGGTGCTAGGAGGAGAGGTTGCATTGTGGTCAGAGCAAGCTGACTCGACGGTTTTAGACTCACGTCTTTGGCCACGTGCCTCCGCGTTGGCGGAGAGCTTGTGGTCAGGGAATAGAGACGAGAGAGGTGTTAAGAGATGCGGTGAAGCCGTGGACCGGTTAAACCTGTGGCGGTATAGGATGGTGACGAGAGGGATTGGAGCTGAACCTATCCAACCATTTTGGTGTTTGAAGAATCCTGGAATGTGTGATACAGTCCATGGTTCTCTTCAAGATCAATAAAAAGAGAAAGTTTCGAAATTGGATCCGAGTCTAAGAAAGCAGAAACATGCTCTTGAATAATCTTGATCAGGCTCTTTTGATTGTTGTACTTTGTTTGTTTTGTAGTTGTGGGTTGTAATCTCACATGCTAAAGTTTGTGGGGTTTTTCATCAATAGTTGAAAGTTATGGGGTTAAAGTGAAAATCTTCTTTATTTACCGTACTACGAAAAAAATGTCACAATCTCTTCCAAAGTCTCTGCATTTTCCATAGCTCTTACGAGACTGAACTTGAAAGAGATCCCAAAAATCCGATACTGAAATCTCCAGGTACACTTTGAATTTATCTGTAGATATTGAAAAATCCGAACTTTCAATAGGCAGATGGCGAAATTTATTTAATTTGGAATGATTTTGGTTTCTAGGGTTAGACTGTTGACGAGATGATACTTGTGCAGGAAATCTGAACCCTGCACAAGAGTTGTCATGAGTGTTAGATGGCCAAGAGTTCTAACGCCAAGTCTTCTTTCTCAAATTCTAAAGAAGCAGAAGAATCCAGTGACCGCACTTAAACTCTTTGAGGAAGCGAAAGTGAGGTTTCCGAGTTACGGTCACAATGGCACGGTGTATGCCACCATGATTGACATCCTCGGTAATTCTAACCGTGTGTTGGAAATGAAATATGTCATTGAGAGAATGAAGGGTGATTCTTGTGAATGTAAAGATTCGGTTTTTGCATCGGCTATTCGTACATTCTCCAGAGCTGGAAGGCTGGATGATGCCATTTCTCTCTTCAAGAGCCTTCATGAGTTCAATTGTGTGAATTGGACTCTATCTTTTGATACTCTTTTACAGGAGATGGTTAAAGAATCAGAGCTCGAAGCTGCTTGTCATATATTCCGAAAGTATTGTTATGGTTGGGAGGTGAATTCTCGAATAACGGCTCTGAATTTGCTTATGAAGGTTCTTTGCCAGGTCAATCGCTCTGACCTTGCGTCTCAGGTTTTTCAAGAGATGAATTACCAGGGTTGTTATCCGGACAGAGACAGTTTCAGGATTTTGATGAAAGGGTTTTGTCTAGAGGGGAAACTTGATGAAGCCACGCACCTGTTGTATTCAATGTTCTGGAGGATCTCACAGAAAGGTTCAGGTGAGGACATTGTGGTTTATAAAATTCTACTGGATGCATTATGTGATGCTGGTGAGGTTGATCAAGCTATTGAAATTCTTGGTAAAATCTTGAGAAAAGGACTAAAGGCTCCAAAACGATGTTACCATCAAATTGAAGCTGGTCATTGGGAGAGTAACAGTGAGGGTATAAAGCGGGTGAAACGATTGTTAACCGAGACTTTGATCCGAGGCGCAATTCCCAGTTTGGATAGCTACAGTGCCATGGCTACTGATCTTTTTGAGGAAGGTAAGCTTGTTGAAGGTGAAGAAGTGCTTCTTGCAATGCGAAGAAAAGGCTTTGAGCCAACACCATTTATTTACGGTGCCAAGGTGAAAGCACTCTGTAAAGCCGGAAAGCTTGAAGAAGCAGTTTCTGTAATCAATAAGGAGATGATGGAAGGTCATTGCCTTCCAACAGTTGGAGTGTATAACGTTCTTATAAAAGGGCTATGCGATGAAGGAAAATCCATGGAGGCTGTTGGATATCTCAAAAAGATGTCTAAGCAAGTCTCTTGTGTAGCAAACGAAGAAACATATCAAACTCTAATGGATGGTCTATGTCGAGATAGTCAGTTTCTTGAGGCGAGTCAGGTCATGGAGGAGATGTTGATAAAATCACACTTTCCTGGTGTTGAAACTTACCATGTGATGATAAAAGGTCTTTGTGATATGGACCGGCGATATGAAGCTGTGATGTGGTTGGAAGAGATGGTTAGTCAGGATATGGTGCCGGAATCTTCTGTCTGGAAAGCTTTGGCTGAGTCTGTCTGCTTTTGTGCTATTGATGTTGTTGAGATACTTGAGCATCTAATTAGTAGCAAACGTTGATCATTCTCAAGATTGAAAAAAATCTTCAAGAAACACAAATTCCTCGAGAATCTGTTCAAAGAAAGATGGAGAACTCAAATTTTGGGTATTCGACTGGGTGATATTTTGCTCCTGACTTGTATAAGATCACTGAGGCTACATGTTGATGCTTCTTGTCTCATTATATCATTCTATTGTAAAAGTTTTTGTGAAATGTAATTATTTCAATTAGTAACAGGTTTCGTTGACCATATTAATTTCATTTCTTGGTGACCTGTACTAATATATTTCATTTTTAAATGTTTTATTTTACATAGAAAAATGAAGGATTTTATAAAATAGGAAAAATTTTCAGAGGATGGAGTCATTTGGGATCACTGCGTTTCGAAGTATGATAATGATTCCTTCTCTTATAACGTATCCTTCAGCTTCTCGGTTTCCTTCTTCAACATTGTCTCTGTTTATAATCTGTGAATCGTATTTATTTTAAGAAAAAAGATAAAACTAAAGAAATTGAATTATAAATTGAAATCTATGTGCGTGTATATTGTTACCATAACGTTTTTACCAATCCTGGCATTTTTATCAACAATGGCTCTTTTTATTCGACTCTTTTCACCGATCCCTATTCGAATCTCTATCTTCTTTTCCTTCCCTTTTCTTCTCTCATATTCTTCCATCTGTAAACACATTTTGTGACAAAAATATTGTTCTTGAACTTTATAATATGGTATTAATTAATAGATCTAATTTTGATCCAAGAACCCTGGTTTACCTCATAAATATCAGAACCGACGATGATTGAATCTTCTACAATCACTTCATCAGCGATTCTTGTTCTCATTCCAACCACCGATCCTCTAATGACACATCTCTGCACATACAAGAAGAGAACGACATTCTTCAAGCTTTTGATTAACAATGACTGCTAGGGTTTCAAGGATTTGAAAGAGAGTTTTGCAAATTACATCGAGAATGCAACCGTCTCCGATAATACTGTTGGTTATTACAGCTTCACTCATGGAGCTTGGAGGCAAACACCGAGGCATTGTGTACAGAGGACATTGTCTGTCATAGAATCTATAACTACAAAAAAAAAAAACAAAGAAACGCTGGCTTGAATCACAAGTTATCTTATTAAGAGTCATTTATGTCTCACAAGTGTTTACATTACTTGGAGTCCGATCTACACCTCTTAATACTCTCCATGTTAGCTCTATAGTAAGCTCCAACGCTCTTCACATCTTCCCAATATCCATCAAACATATGAGCTTTCACCTGAAAAAACAGAGTTTAGCCTACGGATTGCTTCTTGTCTCTCTCCCTCTCTTAAAATTTACCTTCATTCCTTCAGAGATTGCACCAGGAATGATTTCGCTGGCCAAGTCTTTTGCTTTTATCAAACATTCTCTCAGAAGCTTCACTATCTGTTCTCGACCAATCACGTAAATCCCTGCGCTTGGGACAGAGCGAGAAGACGTTCCTTCACTCCTAGTTGTTGTTCTGTTCTCCACCTGCACTATAACATTAGTCGGCAGATGATTCTGAATCATACATAACATTCTAGAAATATTTAACTCACAGAGATCATATCTTGTTGACCCTTGATAGTGAATCTAGTGACAAGATTTGTGGAATCAACTTCCATGAAACCGAAACCAAAGTCATGGTCTGTAACAGAGCTTAGTCCAACAATGGTTATATCCGCTCTGCTTCTTCTATGATCTTCGATTAGCGTCTTATAATCCATTTTGTAGAGATGATGCCCAGGAAGAACCAAGAACTCTGTCACTGGAAACTCTTCAAATACCCACAAGCATCTTCTTATCGCATCAGCAGTTCCCTTTTGTTAACATACATAGAAATAAAGATTTCGTGAAGAACACGAAACAGATCTAAAAACAGGGGAAAAAGGGATTTTAAGTTTGACTAAACCTGAAACCATCCTTGATCTTCCAGGCTCTGATAAGCGGCAATGACTTCAACAAATCTGTCTTTTCCGAGTCCAAATCCACTGTAAGCTTTAGAGAGATGTGAATTGAGAGAAGTGGAATTAAACTGAGTGATTGCATAGATCTTGGTGATGTCACTGTTGATGCAATTACTGATGACTGCATCAATAAGTCTGTAGTTTGCTGCAATGGGGATTGCTCCTTTGGATCTTGTTTTGGTCAGTGGATAAAGCTCAGTATCTGATCCTCCTCCAAACACTATGGCCGCAACACTCTGGTTCAAAGGAAGGTGCTGAAAGTTTGAAACAGAGAGGTTTGGACATGAGCTTGGAACGAAAAGCTGCTTCAAGTTATAGTTATGTCTCCATTGATGATGATCACTACTCGATCTTATCGTATAGAGATTGGTAAATTTAGTAAAAGAAGAAGACGAAATCTGCATTTCCGATTATGAGCAGAGATGATTCAAGAAACAAGAAAATTGGGTTTAAGATTTGAGAATTTAAGGTGTGGGTTTTTGTTTTGGAGATTGAAACGTGTGATGGTGAAAATCGTCCGACATTTTCTGTTGCAGACATATTTTAGCTTTGCCTTTGCTTGTGAAACTATATCTTCTTAAAACCTCTTTAACTTGTCCTGTCTCTTAAGATTTGATTCTTAGCTTCTTCGTTTCTTTTCTTGTTTTGTTCGTTATTTTAAAGAGGCATATTCTTATTTTTTTATATCTAATATATTCGATCTAAGCTAATTACAACAGATAAAAGAGAGAAGAAAATGAAAAAGGAGATCTAGGAGAAGTTTGAAAAAGAGGTTTTGAGATGCAATGTCTATATCACATGATTCACGTGGAAGTGGAAAACTCATATAAAAAATCTTATAATTCATAGATATATAAGAAATATTTCCAATGTTTTACCAAAAAATATTGAATCCATAAAACTTTTTCTACTCTTATGCAAAAGCAAACATTTTTTACTAACCATATTTTAGTTTTATATAGTCACAACCACAACAATTTTTTAATCATAGCTTAATGTTATATATTTATAGTTATATATCTAAAATTTTAAAACTTCACTAAGTGTTAAATATTACAATACGTGAAAACATGTTGAACTTATGACACCACAAAACTTACGGACCAAAAAGACGGGATGCTAAGTCCGGTTAGTTTTCAACGTGTTTAAATTTAACACTTATGATGTTTAAAAATAAAAATATTTTGTATTTTTAGAGTTTTAGTTAAAATATTATTTATAAAAACAATAAGTGTTAATATACAATACGTGAAAACATGTTGAACTTATGACACCACAAAACTTACAGACCAAAAGGACGTGATGCTAAGTCCGATTAGTTTTCAACGTATTTCAATTTAACACTTCGATGTTTTAAATAAATATATTTTGTATTTTAAAATTTTAGTTAAAAGTAAACATTAATTATCAAAACGGTTTATCTAAAATATTTTAAAAGTTTAGTTTTAAATCTAAAAAATCAAAAGTGAAAAACCTTTTTGAAATGAATTCCTTTATATTATTATATATAAGCGTACCTCGTAATATAAGACCATGATTATCAATAGGCTCTTAGAAGAATCTTCCGTAAATCTTAAATATTAAAAAAGTATTTAATTAAATTGGCATATGGTTATTATTGGTAAGAAAGGTACCTAAAAGCCAAAAAATGTTTGTAAGAGGCCCTGTTCTAAAAATCGGAGGAGCACCGCGGCGATTTTGTCCAAATCGGTGAGAAAAATCGGAGATCCGATTTTTTGTCCGCCTGGACCGCCTAGACGGCGCCTAGCCCAATTTTTTTTTTTTTTTTTTTTTGTTTTTACTTTTTTTTAATCTAAAATTCAAAACGTCCTACTTATGTTCGTAATTTGTATAAAAATCATAAATTTGAAATTAAAATCTTGTTTTCATGTGTTTAATACAATTTTAAAAATAATATTATATAAATTTCTTAATTATAATGGATTAATATGTTTTTAAAATATTAAATAGCCCTAAAACTAATCCCCGATTAATCCCCGTGTAATCCCCGATTTTCTTGCTAGGCGCTAGGCGCACCCTCACCGCCCGACTAGCGCCTAGCGATTTTTTGAACACGGGTTTTATCTGTCTTGAGAGGTACAAGTGCACTATTAAAATAATCGTATCCAAAAATCCTTAAAAGTCATTGATATCATCAAATATTCAATGAAGCAAAACACCTAAAAACCATCTCGAGACTCCTAATGAGAATTTGAGAATCTAAATAAAACAAATCTGATGATAAATTCTTAAATTTTAAAACCCCCAAAACAAAGCGAAAAACCTAAAACCTCCCTAAAAAAAAACCCCCAAGCTTACTTGTGCGGCAAGCCATCATTAGCTTTGTCCTTGATCACTAACGCAGGGCTTATCCTCTCGGATACGGATTTGCCGGACTCAGTTGGCGAAAGAGGAACCATAGCGATATAGAGCTGGTCATTAACGTGGAAAGACCAGAGGCGAATCTTATTACCTTCCTCTAGACGGCATTCTTTGACCACCTTATTCCACCCTGAAACCAAAATGTATAGAGGAGAGGTCCCCATGACCCATCTCCTCAAATTCAACTTAAATTCCCTTAGATCAGAAGCCACGAGTATCACGTCTACTCCTTCTTCACGTTCATTATTGGCATGTTCTTCTATGATCCTTTTTTCAGCGGGGCTCAAGAAATCAAAATCTTTGATCTGGCCGAAAGGCATGGAGAGACGACGTTGCTCTGATTTGACATCGGTTGCGGTCAGTTCTTTATTTATGACATTTATAGGATTTTCTCCCTTCTTTGCCCTCATCAACCTCACCAGCCACTGCGGCGTCGGCTCTCTCGTTCCAGAAGAAGAGGCTCCTGCATCAAAACGACCGTTGGCCTTGCGTTTTGCTTTCTTAGGTTTTTCTTCTGTGGGACGGAGCAAAAGAGAACATCTCTTGCGTTTTGATGGAGGTGTAGTTAATGGTTCATCAATAATATTGACTTTGGGAGGGTCTTCTTCAGTCACATTCTCCTCTAGTGCAGTAGTATAAGAAGGAGTAGAGATAGGAATCCTCAAGGTTCTCTTCTTTCGTGGAAATTGAATGAAAACTCTGTCTTCCCTCTCTATTGCCTCCATAACACTCTGTTTCGTCTCCACAGGCAGTGAGTGGCTCCACATGAATACTACCCATGATGCACCTTTTTCTTCATCTTCTCGACTAATCATCGTTTATCCTTCTCGTACGATTCTTAAACGCGCCTAATTAATATGCCAAAACACACACATATATATATATATATATATATATATATATATATAGGGAAAGTGTTCTCCCAATTCTATTAGGATTTGATTTGGAGGTCAAATAGCCTAAGCTTTTTTTTCCTGTTCCTATATGGATTAGCTAGAGAATTGAATTCGAGATTATCCACTTATTATATTTTTCAAAAATTGTTTTCCTTCGTTTTTAATGAATAAAACAAATTCTAGTGTTAGCAAAACAAAAAGAGATTTTGATTAGGGTTTAAGGTTTAGCTAAAGGTGTTTTTATATAGGGAATTGGTTAAAAGAATATATATTCAGAGGTTTTGTTTTGCTTAGACCATCTCCAATGCCCAACTCTATAATTTCTTCTATTTTAGAAGAACTCTATTTTAGAGAAGATTTTGCTTCAATGTATCCCTCTAAAATATAGAGGAGAGAGACAATGGATTACTCTAAAATAGAGGAAATTATAGAGTTGGGCATTGGAAATGCTCTTACGGATAATTCATAATTTTAATTAAAACCACTCACCTAAACCTAAAACCACTCTTTTACCTTTTGTTTAGCTTATTTCTCAGAGCTCACGTAACAAAAAGAAACGGTCATGATTCTTTGGATTAACGTAAGGTATATAAAGGAGCCGATAGATAATAATAAAAAACAGAGCCTTTGACAAAAAAAAAAAGGAAGAAGAACAGAGCCGGTATTGTGGAAGATTTTCCGGTTTTATAAACCAAAATGTCATGAACCAGGTGGTAAAAATAACACTGAACCGGTAAAAACTTTGTTGAGAAAAATCTCTGTTGCCAATCGTTGCAAAACAGCATCATCATCTCTAATGTAGTAGTTCCGTCGAGAGGAAGAATTCTTCTGAGTAGAAAAATATGGAAAGAGATAATGGAAAACGTGATTGAATACAATTCGATTTGTTTATATAATAAAGAAACAGCCAAAACAGAGGATAACAAACCCACGTTTGCAGACTTAGGAAAAATAAACCTTTTTTTATGAACTCTTTGGTAGGTGCTACCGTGCTAGATCATAAATATTCCAAAAGACTCTTTTCTTTTGTGTGTGAAAGCTCGGATTTAGCTTTTTCCGGCATTTGGGTCCCTTAAAGTCTCCGCCTTTTCCGTGTTGAAGTCCGATGGCGATAGGAGACCGCAAGAAGATTATCATCGATACTGATCCTGGAATCGGTATATACTTTTCTCCTTTTTATTGGATTCGATTCGATTCGGATCTCTGTTTCTCTACTGTCATTGCCCAACGTTTTTGAATCTTCTCGGATTTGGTGGGTTTACTGGATTCTCTCTGCTTAGTGGAACTACTTGGTTTTACTGATTCTGATTCTGGGAAATTAGAGATCTGAGTTTGATACATGAGTTTTTTTTTACTTTACTTTACTCAAGAGAGCTCTCATGAGTTTATTCTTACTGGATTTGATGATGTTATAGATGATGCCATGGCGATATTCGTGGCTTTAAATTCACCAGAAGTTGATGTCATTGGCCTCACTACTATCTTTGGAAACGTGTATACCACTCTCGCCACTCGAAACGCCTTGCATTTGGTATCATTTCTACACTTTTTTTTGTTCATATGGATCTCCTCATTATGAACTGAAATCAATAACATTTCTTGGATGATCTAAGTCACCATTGTTCTATATGCATATCTACTAGTTGGAGGTTGCGGGTAGGACGGATATTCCTGTGGCTGAAGGAACACATAAAACCTTCTTGGTATGTTTCTACTTTATGGCCTTTGATTTGTTATTGTGATAAAGATGGATGCTATGTAATGTGTTTGAGATTCAATATATGTTTTCTAGTTCCAAAGCAGACAAAAACGTTTTGGTCTGTCCAATATTTCTGAATCCAAACCTGATAAGCAAGTTTGTGTCTTTTTCCCATGTCCTACCTCTTAGACTTTTTTATTGATAACTTGTTGTCTTTTCTTCTGTAAAGAACGATACCAAGCTTCGAATTGCTGACTTTGTTCATGGAAAAGATGGGCTTGGCAACCAAAATTTCCCTCCACCTAAAGGAAAACCAATTGAAAAGTCTGGACCTGAGTTTTTAGTTGAACAAGCAAAACTTTACCCTGGTGAAATCACGGTTGTTGCTTTGGGACCACTAACAAATATCGCGTTGGTAAGATGTTCTCATCCGCAATTTTCATTTTCCGAGCATTACCTATCTCTATTCCTCCATATTGAAGATTTCACTACCTTGATGCAGGCTATTCAGCTTGATCCAGATTTTTCGAAAAATGTCGGACAAATTGTTCTTCTTGGTGGTGCATTCGCAGTAAACGGAAATGTAAATCCAGCTTCGGAAGCTAATGTAAGTTCCTTCACCCGTTACTAGTAATGTGATCTTCGTACACATAATATATCACTTTCTATCAGAAATCTTCTTAAATTTTCACATCTTTTTAACCAATTTTCTTGCTAGGGTAGATTTTTGGCGATCCAGAAGCTGCAGATATTGTGTTCACATGTGGGGCCGATATAATTGCTGTGGGGATCAATGTGACCCATCAAGTTATTATGACAGGTTATCTTGGAAATTGTTTTTCTTGATTAGATGTTTTGTATAGAAATATACAAATTCTGTCTACAGAAACGTGATGATCTTGATCGTTGCTTTTATGGCTCGAGGTTTTGATTGCTTGTTGCGACCAAGAACATAATTTAGTGAAACAGAGCTTAGTAATGACTTTTTTTTTTCCTGGTGTTTCTGCTGGATTTAGCTAATGACAAAGACAAACTGGCATCATCTAACGGGAAATTTGCTCAATATCTCTGTAAAATCCTTGATGTGTATTATGATTATCATCTCACGGCTTACGAAATCAAAGGTATGATTTGATAATTATTTGTTTATAGACCCATTATGTTTTATCTTAACCTCTTTTTTTTCTTTTGCGGTAGGTGTCTACCTTCATGATCCTGCGACGATCCTTGCGGCTTTCCTTCCTTCTCTATTCACTTATACAGAAGGAGTAGCTAGAGTGCAAACAAGCGGTATCACTAGGGGACTTACTTTACTGTACAACAATCCAAAGAAGTAAGGTTTTCATACATACATTAGTTATAGAGAGTACTCATGTGTGGTGATGGAACTAAAAACTTGTTGTTGTTTTTTATGTGAACCAGGTTTGAGGAAGAGAATGAGTGGTCAGACAAACCATCGGTAAAAGTGGCAGTGACGGTTGATGCTCCTGCGGTCGTGAAGCTCATAATGGATAGGCTTATGGAGTCTTAGGTCATCTTGGTTCGTTAATCAGTTATCTCTTTCTCTTTGATGTTTCATTTATTGTGAGCCATTTCTCTTGTTTCCAACACAAACTCTGTTGAAAATAAGGCTCTTCTTGCTGCATTATTTTTACTCAACATCATTTGAGTGCTTTTATTTTTTAATCTTTATCAAACCAAATATTATTTTACCAATTGAAGACCTACCAATAATAAGGTTTAATATATCCCATGATTGTGCCACTTGATCCTAGTTAGGAACATGACAAGTGGTAACATTTAAGACATTTTGATATTAATTACCGACAGCTGGAATTGAAGAAATCTTGTCGTTACACATTACTGAACTGTTGAATGGTATTATATCAGTATGTGGAAAAAAACATTAATAACTAGTATCTTTCAAAAAATAAACATATTGAAATAAAGATGCCATGCATTTGCATTTTGCACGATCTGGATGTAAGTAATTAAACAAAAAATAAAATCAAGAAATCAGAAAACTAAGGGACCTAACAATAAATTCGTAAGAATAAAACAAAGGAACGTGAGAAGGACTGGGAGCATAAATATATAATAATGATCTCTCTTTGACTGCGTCTTCCTTGGAGAATCACAAAACATTCCATGAGTCTGCTCTCTGAAGAAGAAGAAGGAGAAAGAGCAGACTCATGGAAACCAACAAAGACCAAGACTTTCGCTTCCGTACACTTGTCGTCTTCATGTTTCTCTCTTCTGTCTCTCTCCCACCACCACGACGTGCTCTCCTCTCATTCTCATTCTCATTCTCTCTCTCTCTCTCACTCTCCCTTTTCTCTTCTTCGCCATTCGTCCCCATTCCCAAATCTCCTCCACTTCTTGAATTCCTCTGATCATCATCGTCCACCATGGACTCACCGCTAATCATCGAAGAAGAAGACGAAGAGGCGTTGGCTACGCTCGTCCCTGTTCCGCCTCGACGTAAAACGCATTCCTATAGCCTACAATTCGATCAAAAGCCACACCATCAGATCCGCAAACACAGCCTCGACGAGGTTCCTAGATCCGCTACATTAGCATCCGAAGCCGTTTATTTCGATTCCTCCGACGACGAATTCTCCACCGGAGGTAACATCACAGAAAACGCCGCTGATGAAACCAACGCCGGAGCTGAGGATTACATCATCGTTAATCCTCCTCCCAATGGCGGTCTTGGGGATGACGACACCGAGCCATTACCTGAATTCATCGGCGCTGGAGGCGGCGCTGGGATTTTTAAGGTCCCGGTGCGCGCGGCGGTGCATCCTGGACGTCCGCCGTGTCTTGAGTTGAGGCCGCATCCGTTAAGGGAGACGCAGACTGGGAAGTTCTTGAGGAACATTGCTTGTACGGAGACGCAGCTTTGGGCTGGTCAAGAGAATGGTGTGAGGTTCTGGAATTTGGAAGATGCGTATGAGGCTGGGTGTGGTATTGGTGGCCAGGTACGCCGAGGGGATGAAGATACGGCGCCGTTTCAGGAGTCGGTTACTACTTCTCCTACAATGTGTTTGGTGGCTGACCAAAGCAACAAGCTTTTGTGGAGTGGTCACAAGGATGGCAAAATCCGGGCTTGGAAGATGGATCAGAGTTCTGTTTCTGATGATGATGATTCAAATCCTTTCAAGGAGCGAATCTCGTGGCTAGCTCATCGTGGTCCTGTCAATTCCATTGTTATTAGCTCTTATGGTTAGTTTACTCTTGATTCAGTCCTATGATTGTGAGGAGTTGATTGATGTGAAAAAAAATGATCTTTGCTTATGCTTATGGTTGTGATGTAGGTGATATGTGGTCATGTTCTGAAGGAGGTGTGATAAAAATATGGCCTTGGGATACGTTAGAGAAATCTCTGCTGCTTAAACCGGAGGAGAAACACATGGCTGCTTTATTAGTGGAGAGGTCTGCCATTGACCTAAGGAGCCAAGTTACTGTCAATGGGACATGTAGCATATCTTCCTCAGAAGTCAAGTTTTTGTTAGCCGATTCAGTAAGAGCTAAAGTGTGGGCTGTGCAGTCACTCTCATTCTCAATCTGGTAGGCTTTTATTTTTCTCACATTGGTAGGAGGACTGGTCCTTTCAGTCACTTGTTGATCATTATAAGTGTGCAGGGATGCTCGGAGTAAAGACCTTCTGAAAGTTTTAAATGTTGAGGGGCAAGTTGAGAATCGTGGGGACATGCCACCTATACAAGACCAACAAGTTGATGATGAAATGAAATTGAAGTTCTTCTCGGCTTCAAAAAGGGAAAAACCACAGGGCTTTCTGCAGCGATCACGTAATGCTATAATGGGAGCTGCAGGAGCTGTTCGCCGAGTCGCCACTAGAAGTGCAGGTGCGTTTTCAGAAGATACTAGGAAAACAGAAGCTATCGTGTTAGCTGTAGATGGAACAATATGGACTGGAAGCATAAGTGGCCTCATTGTTCAGTGGGATGGAAATGGAAACCGCTTGCGGGATGTGAATCACCATCACCGGCCTGTTTTGTGCTTTTGCACTTTTGGCGATCGAATATATGTGGGTTATGCAAGTGGCTACATCCAGGTCTTGGATTCCGACGGAAAGCTAATTTCAAGCTGGGTTTCACACAATGAACCTGTGATAAAGCTAGCAGCAGGTGGTGGTTTCATTTTCAGTTTGGCCACTCATGGTGGAGTACGAGGATGGTATGTGACATCTCCAGGACCCCTGGACAACATAATCCGTACGGAATTGTCTCAGAAGGAAACTTTATATGCCAGACAAGACAATGTTAGAATTTTAATTGGTACCTGGAATGTTGGTCAAGGACGAGCTTCACATGATGCACTTATGTCGTGGCTGGGCTCTGTCACTTCAGATGTAGGCATTGTTGCTGTTGGGTTGCAAGAGGTGGAGATGGGGGCAGGCTTCCTTGCCATGTCTGCTGCTAAAGAAACGGTAACTCCTTTTGTTTCACTTGATTTTATTTGGACTAAAACTTTTTCCATAGCGCAAAGCACTTGAAGGTCAAAATATCACCTCATATTTGGAACGCGGCTGTAGGTTGGACTTGAAGGAAGTGCTGTGGGGCAATGGTGGATTGATGCAATTGGAAAAGCACTTGATGAGAAAAACACTTTCGAGCGTATGGGTTCAAGGCAGTTGGCAGGACTTCTGATATCTCTTTGGTAAGTGAAAGTTCAGTTATGACATGTTGCATTCTCGTGCTTGTCATTCAACACTTTTGCAAGGTTTACGATCAGCAGTTGTGTGTCGTCTATGGTTAACCAACTAAAGGCTGTTTCACTTGTTTTTCTTCACTTATTAAACTTATTGTGTGCTGTGATTTTCTGCTTTAGGGCGAGGAAGGATATTAGAAGTCATGTTGGAGATCTTGATGTTGCAGCAGTTCCATGTGGTTTTGGCCGTGCCATTGGCAACAAGGTATGTCTTACTCCTTACTTCTTCAATTCTGATTATGAAACTACACACATTCAGGCCTTTCGGCTTCGGTACTTTAGTATTTATTTGTTCTTGTGGTCTTGTGAAGATGCAAATGAGAGAGATATATATGAAATGTTTTGCTTACTTGCAATGTTTATGACCCGCTGAATGATAACACAATTACTGGAAAAAACTTAGCCTTTTGCTGCAATGTGTAATCTCTTCTATCTCGCTAAGATGTAGATGAGGATGCGTTATAAATTAACTCAAATTTTCTTCTCTATGAGGTACTTGTTGCGTTTGCACACATTAATGTTCTACTTGTCAAAATAGGGAGGTGTAGGTCTGAGAATCAGAGTTTATGACCGGATAATGTGCTTTGTGAATTGCCACTTGGCTGCACATTTGGAGGCGGTTAATCGCAGAAACGCGGATTTCAATCACATTTTCCGATTGATGGTCTTTTCCCGAGGACAAAATCTAAGTAACGCTGCAGCTGGTATGGTGCCGTACCTGTTTTTGTCTTGCTCACTTGGCTTTTCCACATATTTATTTTGGCTGCTTTATTCTTCCGGTTTGCCATGGGCCCTCTCTCTTGCAGCTGGTGTCTCAACTTCAGCTTATACAACAAAGAGTAACACTGTATGTTCTTATCATATCACCATTACTTATACACTTAAATTCTATCCTTGCTTCACGATGTCGGTCCTGAGTTTATGTTGTTTGCTTCTTCAATTTTGTACTGAACATATGTTTCTCTGTTTTCCAGATTCCAAGCACCGGCGCTGAAGAAATCAAGTCTGATCTTGCAGCAGCAGACATGGTCACATTTTTTGGTGATTTCAACTATAGGCTGTTTGGTATAACCTATGATGAAGCAAGAGACTTCATTTCACAGCGATCCTTTGATTGGCTCAGAGAAAGAGACCAACTTAGAGCAGAGATGAAGGTTGGAAAAGTCTTCCAAGGAATGCGTGAGGCATTAATCACTTTCCCTCCGACTTACAAATTTGAAAGGAATCGCTCAGGCCTTGGAGGTAAAAGTGGATTTGATAAATATATATGAATTTGAAAAAAGTGCTTTGTTCTGCTCTGTTTTCTGCATTTTTTCCTCTGTTTGTAAGAATTGGTGGCTCCAGAAAATTTAGACTCCCTGTGCTGTGTACTCTCCAGGATATGATTCAGGGGAGAAAAAGCGAATTCCTGCGTGGTGTGACAGAGTTATATATAGAGACACTCAATCAAGCCCATTCTCAGAGAGCAATTTGCAATGCCCTGTAGTTTCATCAGTCATAATGTATGGTTTCATTACGACCTTCTTGATGTCTCTCTCTCTTTTTCCGGTCTCTTCAATGTGTTTTCTCCATTCTAACGTTCCACCTGCGTGTTTCAACAGGTATGAAGCTTGCATGGATGTTACTGAGAGCGATCACAAACCCGTGCGCTGCAAATTTCATGCGACAATAGCTCATGTTGATAAATCTGTGCGGAGACAGGAACTGGGGAAAATAATAAGGTCTAATGAGAAGATTTTATCCATATTCGAAGATTTAAGATTTGTTCCAGAAACTTTTGTGAGCACCAACAACATTGTTCTTCAGAGTCAAGACACAGTCATCCTAACAATCACAAACAATTCACCCACGAGCAAAGCCATTTTTAACATTCTGTGCAGCGGTCAGGCTGTAGTTAAGGATGACGGAGAAGATTCTGACTATAATCCACGAGGCTCCTTTGGCCTACCACGCTGGCTTGAGGTATTGAATTCTCCTTTGACGCCAAATGAAATTCATGTAGTATTCAAGATTTAGTGATATACAAGAATTTTCTTCTTTTAGGTTTCGCCCGCGGCCGGGATAATAAATCCAGAAGGATCCGTGGACGTTAAAGTTCATCAGGAAGATTTTCACTCAATGGAGGAATGTGTTGATGGCATCCCACAGAATTGGTGGTGCGAAGACACTCGAGATAAAGAAGCAATCCTGACGGTGAACATTCGAGGAAGCTGCTCAACTACATTGACAAGCCACTCTATCAAAGTCCGTCACTGCTTCTCGGCCAGAGTATGTCTCCTTGAGAACAGACCCACGAACCTAACAAAAAACTTAGGCGGTTCACGTCGTTACCCAACAGATATTACCCGTAATGGAAGCACTAGACCAAGAACCGAAGACTCGGTTAGACGAGGTAAAAGCCGGTGATGAGCTCTTGTAACTTTGAATGTTTTAACTAGATCTTAGAGCAGAAGAACAACAAAGTCATCCCAAAACAAATGCATCAGGTGAAGAATCGCTTTTATTCATTCGTTGATTCTTTAGAAAATCCATTGTGTCAGAAATTGTAGATTTGCTTTGAGACTGTTCCTCAGGTAGCATGTATTCAACTTTTGTATCTCCTCACTTGAATCTAAACTACAGGTACGTGACCCATGTATACATTTGTTACTCTTACATTAAACTGTGTTCTGGAGATTTTAGTCTCAGAGTGCATACATTCTCTTGTTGAATTCGCCGTTGAGAATCTCTGACTCTAAAGGCATATGAGAGAGTGAGAAAGATTTCGATTTGCTTCTCTCTTTCCTTAAGCTTTTTAGTTTAGATTCCTCAATCCTATGCATGACCACACAGTAACACATCGCACCTATCGTGGTTAGCATAATCGTCCCGCCAATAAGCGTTGCACAAATCGCCAGCCAAATGTCCTCCTTACCCACAATGATAAACGAAAGAGAAACAAAGGCAATGGATATGAACAAACAAGCCAACCACATGAGCTTGTTGATCACAAACACAAGCTTCTTCTTTGCCTTCTGCTCAATCACCACAACTGAAGTCTGCACCACAACAACAGCCAAAGATATGAACAGCGCCAAGCTGTCGAATATGAAGAAGATTAAAAACGGGGCTTTGTTGGCTATGCGGGCTTCTCCTAACAACAACAGTCCCTTTGTCCTGTCTTCTTCATATTGCCCAGGAATAGTGAAGATTGCTGCAAATGCAATTGTTGCGATTAGGACAGCAACAACGGTTGCTGAGTTTATAGCGTTGTTTAAACTGTTAATGTGAAGCTTCTTCAGTCTCTTTGCGATTCTCCGAACCCTAACACCCGTTTGGCGAGACTGTTGGAGCTGAGATTGTACCTCGTGTTTAATGTCGCTGACCGTTTGCTTAAGTTGCTTAGCCGGGTTTTGAGGCTTCCCAAGATCTTTAGCTGTAGGAGCTCCTGCTTCCTTCAGAACCGACACAAGCTCTGGGTTTCCAATCTTTTCAGCTATATCAAGTGCAGTATCTCCAGCCTTATTCATAGCATTGAGGTTAATTCCATCAAATGATACCAAACATCGCACAATCTGCAAGCAAAGGCAAGAAGCAGTTCATAAGAATTCATGTAGATTGAAAAACTCGAGGGGGAACTCATGGTGATGATACCTTAATACGGCCTTTGTTTGTGGCAATGTGCAATGGTGTATTCCCTTTGTTATCCTCAACACTCAAAACCGCAGGATCTGGTTTCACCAAATCAAGAACAATCCCTTCGTTTTGACCTTTGACAGCCATGTGAAGCGCTGTTTGTCCTTTTTTTATCGGTTCTAAACCCGATGCTTGCATCATTACCTATCAAAGATTTAACCACTTCTCTGTGCCCCATTCGCGCTGCAGAATGAAGCGCAGTTTTACCTATTGTTCTTAGCTATCTTAGCTAAATGAGAATCTGTCTTTAAAAGAAGATTCACCACATCAATGTGTCCTTGTGTGGCAGCCGTGTGCAATGCAGTTGTACACGATAAATCCACCGCATAGCCAGATTCGGAAATGTCTCCAACAATTTCTTCAATGCCTCTGCAAAAGACAACGCACATTCCAAGATTCATTTCAAGAAGGTGTTCACTAAAACCAGGTCTTCAAGTTATCATCAGATATCTAAAGTTCCACTTACCGAGATGGCCTTGTTTTGCAGCGATATGGAAAGGATCAAAACCGTTGCGAGCTTTAATTGATGCAGTATCAAGGTCCATATGTTTCAACATCTGTTCAACAACTAACGAATGCCCATTTTCTGCTGCACTATAAAGAGGAGTCTCTCCTTCTAGGTTCTGCTTTGATGACAACTCCTTCAACTCTTCAATGCCGTTACAGCCTCGAATCAATTTCATAACCTTTCCCAAATTCCCTGTTCGAGCTCCGATATGAAGAGGAGAGTCCCCTCTTTTACCACCATGCATGAAACTTAACTGTCTCTCCATCACTACCCTAAAGCTTTTCTGCTTCTCAACGAACCCACGGAAGCTTCTCTGCCTCTCCATTGGCCTCTCTTGATTCTCCATTGCTCTTCCTTTGATTTCATGTTTCTCTACAACATTCCCAGCTAGGAAACTAACTTGCTTCTCCAAAGCTCTTCCCTTTCTAACGCATCTGAGACTCTGCTGTTCCTCCACAGAGTTACCTCGAAAGCTCTCTTGCTTCTCCATTACAGGAGCCAAATAACTCATATGCGTGTCTCCCTTAGATTAAACAAAGATCTTGAACAAATCTGAGAAACCCAATAGATTGATTTGTAAATCTCGACGCTTTTTGTAAGATTCTGTTCTGTTCTAAGCCATTGACGAAGCCCAGGAATATGCGCAGGAGAGAGAGAGACTGTGAGTGACTGCATCATCAGCTAGCTATTCAACTAGTATTTAATTAGCAAACCATCTCTTTTCTTATTAATTTCGTTAAATTTTCCAAAATCTATAATATTTTTTTATATTCTTTTCCCTAATTTCTTTAGTTTTGTTTTATATTTTTGTTGTCCAAATCAAAGATCAAAGAGCAAAAGCACACAATGTGATGGTGACAACAAGTCAAAGTCTTCTTGAAAATAATATTTTATTAATGAAAAAAAAAAAAAACTACTATATTTTTGTATGTTACAGAAATTGGTGATCATACCTTGTTACAGAAAACTATTTGAAAAATCAGTTCCCTAATAAGATTTCACCGTTTCATCTTACAATTTTATCTGTTTAGACAACTAGTAGGTTGAATAACACCAAGATTTTTCCCAACAGCATTGAAACAGAAGGAAGTAGCAGGGGTTCCTTTGTTGTAAATAAGCTTAATGTCCTGTAATGTGATTCCTGTGCACGGATTGCTCTTGCTACAAGCCAGGTTCATTGCTTGCTGTGTCGCCGACGTTCCTTGTATGTTCTTATAGGTCACTTGGCTTATCTTCACCCCTGAATGCTAATACATACATTAACATAAATCTTTGATTAGTTATTTGAGTACTAAGTCGATATATAGCATAATGGATATGTGTGATCAAAAGTATGATTTGGATATACCTCAGTAGGGCAACCTTGCTTGGAGGGACAGTAGTTTTGGTCGATTATGATAGGGTTTTGGACGTTCTTCATGATTAGGTTTTGGAAGAAGACGTTCCTAACGAATCCGGTACTCGGCCTCGCCCATGACTTTATCCTCACGCCGTTTTGTGTTCCGGTGAATACCGAACTCGATACTGTCACGTTCTCTACTCCGTCTTCGTTTAACTGCTTTGCCAAGCTCCCGATGCTGCGAGTCATCATCACATAATCATATGAGCTATGACCAGAGTGAAGGCATTGCTAGTTTTGAGTTGGAAATTCATGATTCCTCATAATTAATGATATATTTTAATTACTCGAAGAAATTAGACGGTGGTGTATACCTAACCCCGTGACCTGGGCCACAAGCAAGCTTGGAAATAAGGAAGTTGCGGGTCCCCTGACCAATAGCAACACAATCGTCTCCGGTCTGAACGGTGCTTCCGGTGAATGTGACTCCAGTGGAGAATTGAACGGTGAAGCCGTCAGTGTTTGGGCTGTCTCCGGGAGCCACCAGCCTGACGTTACGGACGACCACATTGGTGCAACCGTTGAGGGTCATATGGCTGACCTGGCTGTTCATGGATTTCACTCCACTTATGATCACGTCTTTTGCCGAGTTGAACGATATTGACTACAGTAATTAATATATGCCATTTATTAGTAAATAAGATTATAATTGTCATTTTTTTTTTACCAAAGAATCCATGCCCTTGTCCAAAACTCATTATTATAAAACTTACTATACTAAGTTGGCGTAATTACATATTAAAAAAAATATATGTATTTGAAGTATAGTTGAAAATTTATCAACTTCCTATGTTTTTTAATCGTAAGTAAATAATTGAATATAGATTCTTGACTATTTAATTATTAATAATAATCTATTACTAATATATTATTGCTCTTTTGCATTAAGGTGCTTGCTCTTATGTATGAATATTAGATTGTAGTGTTTAATTATCCACAATAACTTGAGATAGAGGAGAAGCATATGTACCCTAACACCGGGAGGACAATTCTGACCAGATTTCCGGCAAGACCAGAACCCATTAGCTCGAGCGTCGAAAGTCCCACCAACCAGTGAGAATCTGTTAACCTTGTTGAAGAGAATCCAGTAACCGGAATTGCCAAAGGTCCTGTAATCTTCCGGAGCAACGATGGTTCCGGCCACTTGAAATGTGATTTTGCTCTTGCATGGTCCTCCAAACGTTATTACCTTCAACAAAAATGTCCCCGTGGGGACCACCACCGTGGCTGAAGATACCGAGCCACAAGCCCCTTGCCATGCCTTGAGGAATGCTGCGGTGGAATCGGTGACTCCGTCTGGTTTGGCCCCGAAGCTCACGACGTTGAAAACGATGGAGGCGCTGCTCGAGACATCGATGAAGGTTAGAAGTGTGAAGATAAGTGGAAATGTTATAGCTGGTTTTGTCATCTTTTATATGTGAGTTTGAGGTTGTGTTTGTGTTTATGTTTGTGTTTGAATTGATTTGATGCATGGGTATATATAGGGAAAGAGAGCATAATTAATTGGTTCGTTATTGGAGTCTATGGTACAATTAAGTACATATGGAATCTAAATGATAAGAGATTGTGAATTTTCTATGATAGATAAAAGAGTTTACATTTCCAATCATTAGGTGCACACATGGTTGATATCGTACTTTTAGGAGCAACGGTCGTTGTATTAACGATGACATTTTTGCACATTATCAATTTCCCATAAAATATGGGCCATAGATATATGTATATGTATCATATTTTCAATTCTCGATACGTACATACGTGTTGTGTTTATTTATTGATAACAAAAAATAAATGCATGAAATTACTCAGCGTTTGATAAGAACACTAAGTGTATAGAGTTGATTTTTTTTTTTTTTTTTTTTTATACAAACTCCTATTTTACAAACTCCTAAAAGAACTACTATAAAAATAGGAATTTTTTTTTTAATAAAAATTAAATTAATAATATCAACCCTAATCTTTAAAATATTGTTTTCTCCAAGAAGGTAAAATGATCATGGAATGCATCACTACCACAAATAATATAATCTTTAAAAAAGATTATGAAAAATAATCCATACAAATTTGCCGTCTGCCATTTGTCCATTTCCTGCAGCTAAATGCTAATTTCTGTTTGGGAAATATTAGGAAAACTGTCACAATCAAGATTTTCTAATTGAAGGCCAATATAAATAAATATTAACTTGAGCAAACCTTGCAATCTTTCAATTATATCTGTACATATAATATGCACATCACGGTTAATACCGTTATATTGTGAAATAGAATTTAAAATGTAGGTGAAAAGTGATAAATATGTATAAATGACGACATCGCCGCATATTTATATGATACATGACATGTGATCAACTAGCAGTTGACCCAAACAAAAAAAGACTTGTGATTAACTAGCTCACAAATTATTGAAACGGACCCAATCATATTCATTAATCATTATGATCAGAATTACAGAAAGTCAATATCTATATATATATTAGCTAATTCGTTGTTGACATTTTGAATTCAACAGCCATATTCTCTATGGGTATAGTATTCTTGCGCCGCTCTAGTTGAATTCATTGATTGGTGGTTGTTGTGTGTTTTATCTACAGGATTAATAAGAGATTAGACGAGAGAAGAGAAAGCAGTCGAACCGAGAATCTGCTACAAGTTCGAGACCGAGGAAGCAGGTGATTCCCCAATGTAAGAGCATCTCCAATGGTAGACACACATAGAGTGTTTCACCAATATAATATTAATATTTTTATGTTTAATTTATTTAGAAAAATTCACACTAAAATTCTACTTCTATTGGTGAGATATCTCTATGGGTGTCTCATTAATATAATATTTTTATTTTTATATTAAATTTAATTTTTCAATAATATTTGTAAACATATCAAATTATATCTTAAATATAGTCACTCAAACAAAATAATTATATTTTTATAGAAGTAAATAATATAATGAATATTAATAATTTTAAAAATATTAATTAATAGTACTATTAATTATAAATAATATATTAAAGAGACTATTATTTTTAAAACCACAATTAAACATAAATTGAATTTTAAACATATAAAACCATAATAAAGATATATAAATTAAACACAAAATTACATATAAAACCATGATAACATAAATTAAAATGCAAATAAAAACATACAAAACAAAAATAGATAATATATGTTTTACTCTTCACTTGATGATGCGCCAAACTTTTGCCATGTATGCGCCAAACTTTTGCCATATGACAAAAGATAACACATTATTTATCAAAATATCAAAATGTTGACAAAATATCAGATTATTCATCTCAGATTTATTTTCTAATATTATAGTATTTTATTAACTAAAATATTAATTTATATTTATATTAACCTTAACTAATATCAATTAAAATTATATTAATAAATAGTTTAAGCTTTTGTATAATGGAACTTGATATATAGATAATTTTATTTTATGAATTGTAGAAAAATAAAAAATAAAAAATAGTAACTTATAAACTATTTAATTGATATTAAAAATCTTAGAGTAATTATATTTTTTTAAAATATTGTTAAACCAATATAAGAGTGACATGTGTATGAGAGAGAGAGTGTCTCAAAGTGTCTCAAATGAGAAATTTGTTTCAAAGTGTCTCAGCTTTTTTGATTAAAAAATTATTTTTCATTTATTTTTGATTTATTTTTATTATGGGTATCTCATGGAGATAGAGAGCGTGAGGGAGCGACAGCATCTTCAGCATCTCCGTCTATATATATATATATATATATTCCTTTTGTTTTCTATTTAATTACTAGTTTCGTTAAATTTCCAAAATCTATAATCTTTTTTCTTTTAAATTAAAATTCATGAATAATCATTTCAATTGTGGAAGCCATCTTGGCCCATTGGTTGACCAAAGGTTAATTAATGCTTCTACACTAAGAGGTCTGGGGTTCGAGTCCCAGATATTGCGATTTATTAATAAATTTGCAGATTAAAGGAGGCAAGTGTGCAGGAGATCTCCAGCGAAGTACAATTATAGCCGTTCTCTAGGATTCTACGCAGAGAGAAGTGTTGTCTGGTCGTGGATGTCTATATAACCGTTCTCATAATTTGCAATAAATAATAAATCTAGACGTAAAAAAAAAATCATTCCAATTGGGCTTTGTAACGGGCCAATACAACTTCTCGGATTAGAAAAAAAAACGGAAACAGAAGCTCCGGCAAGATTTAGACGGAGAGAAGATAGGAAACTGAACGATCTCTTTTTATTCAATTTCTTCTAGATTTGTCTTATATTTTGCTTTTAAAACAAGCTCTCTGCTGACCAAAGAAAAAAAAAATACAAAGAAGTACAATGTTGTTATGACCAAAGTCTTCCATTTTCTTAGTTATTAAAAACAGTATTTTATTAATGAAAAAAAAAATTAAATAATTTGTGTGTTACAGAGAATTTTTTTTTTAAAGGTGATCAATTTGATACAGAAACAAGAACCTTTGGTACTCTCAAACCGGTTGATATCCCAAAATTATTTGGATCACCGTTCTAATTAATCTTATAATCGTCACGGTAACATTACAATTAAAAGATGCAAGGTCAAATCCCCTAATAACAATTTACCATTTCATCTTACAACAAATAAATTTACATCAAGATATTAATGATATCATCGGTTTAGACAACTAGTAGGTTGAATAACACCAAGACTTTTCCCAACAGCATTGAAACACAAGGACGTAGCAGGAGTTCCTTTGTTGTAAATAAGCTTAATGTCCTGTAATGTGATTCCTGTGCATGGACTGCTCTTGCTACACACCAGCTTCATTGCTTCCTGTGTCGCCGACGTTCCTTGTATGTTCTTATATGTCACTTGGCTTATCTTCACCCCAGAATACTAATACATACGAAAACATTATTTGACTAAGTTGATATAAAATATTGGATTGATCGGATAAAAAAATGCGATATGGATATACCTCATTAGGGCAACCTTCGTGAGTAGGACAATAGTTTTGGTCGATTATGATTGGGTTTTCGACGTTCTTCATGACTAGGTCTTGGAAGAAGACGTTTCTAACGAATCCGGTGCTCGGCCTCGCCCATGACTTTATTCTCACGCCGTTTTGTGATCCGGTGAATACCGAACTCGATACTGTCACGTTCTCTACTCCGTCTTCGTTCAGTTCCTTCGCCAAGCTCCCAATGCTGCGAATCATCACATATATAACATATGAGTTATGACCAATCGTCTACTTATTTGCTAACTTGAGTTTGAAATTCATTACTTTCTCAGAGTTAATAATTTATACTATATTCAAGTTCTACATGAATCATTATGAAAATTAAGAGCGTGTGTATACCTAACCCCGTGACCTGGGCCACAAGCAAGTTTGGTGATGAGGAAGTTGCGGGTACCAGGGCCGATAGCTACACAATCGTCTCCGGTCTGAACGGTGCTTCCGGTGAATGTGACTCCGGTGGAGAGCTGGACGTGGAAACCGTCGGTGTTTGGGCTGTTTCCGGGAGCCACTAGCTTGACGTTACGGACGACTACATTGGTGCAACCGTTGAGGGTCATATGGCTGACCTGGCTGTTCATCGATTTCACTCCACTTATGATCACGTCTTTTGCCGAGTTGAACGATATTGACTATAATAATGCATCAAAGATTTTATGAGATTGGTTTCGCCGGCCAAATTTACTTTTTTTTTATATATATATAATTATGAATAAGGTAGCCAAATAGAGTTCGTTTGATACATAGTAATTAAAAAAAATGTTTGCTTATTCATGTCACAGCCCAATATTTTAGTTGACGTACATAGATATTATATATGTAACGCATAATTATGTAAGCACGCATTTAAATTCAAACTAGAGAGAAAAAACATTAAAAAAAAATTCAAACTAGAGATAGAGGAGAGACCGAAAGAAGCATACCCTAACACCGGGAGGACAATTCTGACCAGATTTCCGGCAAGACCAGAACCCATTAGCTCGAGCGTCGAAAGTCCCACCGACCAGTGAGAATCTGTTAACCTTGTTGAAGAGAATCCAGTAACCGGAATTGCCAAAGGTCCTGTAATCTTCCGGAGCAACGACGGTTCCGGTCACTTGAAATGTGATTTTGCTCTTGCATGGCCCTCCAAACGTTATTACCTTCAATAGAAATGTCCCGTTGGGAACCACCACCGTGGCTGAAGATGCCGAGCCACAAGCCCGTTGCCATGCCTTGAGGAATGCTGCGGTAGAATCGGTGACTCCGTCCGGTTTGGCCCCGAAGCTAACGACGTTGAAAACGTTGGAGGCGGTGCTCGAGACATCGATGAAGGTGAGAAGTGTGAAGAGAAGGGGAAATGTTATAGCTGGTTTTGTCATTTCTTATATGTGAGTTTTGAGTTTGTATTTGGATTGATTTTGATGCATCATGCATGGTATATATATAGAGATAGCATGATTGGTTAGTTATTGGAGTCTATGGTACAATTAAGTACATGTGCGATCTATATGATAAGAATTCTTTTTATGATTGATAAAAGAGTTTACATTTCCAATCATTAGGTTCACACATGGTTGATATCGAATTTTTAGGAGCAACGGTCGTTGTATCAACGATAACATTTTTGCACATATTTATCATATATTTGTATATAAGTATTATTCTTGGTATAAATTTATTTTCTTTTTGGGTGAACAACAATAAGTACGTCCAAAATTTACTCAACGGTTCGTGGGCTTGAGCAATCTTGCAATCGTTCGATTGTATACAATACAAGTCACGGCCAATGTAGTTAATTAGCCATATCTATAAGCCTTTTTTGTATAAACGGTCATGATACCGTTAGTGGATTGTAAAATATGTTTTAAAATGAAAGTAAAAAGTGATAAATATATGTGTACATGACGAGATCATACACATAGAATATATCACATGACATGTGATTAACTAGATGTTGACCCCAAAAAAACATGTGATTCACTAGATGTTGACCCAAAAAAACATGTGATTAACTAGCTCACACATTATTGAAACAAATAATCATATATATCGTTAATCATTATAAACAAATTTACAGAAAGTCAATATACATATGAGCTCATATTTTAAAAATTTATCTTATATTTGCCAGTTATTTTTATGCTTGATTATTTGTTATATGTTTAAATATAATATTTTATTCATTTTGATTATTTATTAAATTTTTAAATCATAAATAAAAATTAAACCAATCAAACAATGACAACTGTCAAAAAGGTATGTTAAAAGCTCCGTTTCTCAACATTTCTCAAATGAGAAACATATCTCAACATTTCTCCTCCTTTTTTATTATATTTATTTTTTTTTAATGATGGAGATGATCTTACTAAATGCTTAGAAGATTCGGATAATATATGTTCGAAGTAATAAAGAAACTTTCAATTAATGGCATGTGAGTGGCGGAGCAGTTGACGGAGAAAGAGGCCGGAGCTCTCGGACTATTAAGCTATAAATTATTATCAATACATGTATCACAAATTTGACAATCTTAGACTCTTAGTAACAATGTTAAACTGTAACATTTTTCAAATATGACAAAAGTATCACAAATACATTTTGCATAATGCACTGTTTCTACATTCTACACTGTCATCATGCACTATGTCCAAACCCCGAGACCTCAATATTACACCAAGAAAATCTTGTTCTTGGATTGGCCTCAAATGTGTAATAATTAGGTTTAAGGTTAAGGACTCCTGGAGATTATTTGGCTCTTGTCTGCAAAATCCGAAAAGAGAGTTATATGTAATACTATAAAGTAGTCAGGAAAAATAAAGACATAAAATACCGAAAAATCTTTCCATCTTCCCAGTTTAACTGTAAGTAGATCAAGAACCCTGAACAAATGTCTCAACTACCATGTTTTCAACTCCATGGATTAATGTTAGAAAATCACACCTACTTATACAAAGATGACTAGTCTGTAACCAAAAATATGTGCGATGAATGACGTAATATCCAATTGAAACAGCCTGAGTGTGCCTAAGACTAGACTGCTACTAATGCAAAGTCATAGCAGATACTATATTAATAATCCAAAAAGAAGAAATAAAACTAGTTTAAGCTCTCTTACATCTTCTTCATTGGGAAGCCCTCGATGAGCATTAAGAACACGATGTACCATGCGATCAGAAGTTGGCGCTACAGGATTAATAAACATATCCCTACAATTAAAAAGCAGGGATAAGCAAATATGTGAGAAGTACGCACCCTTGAATTTCAAGGACCATGGTTTTCTTTTTGTTACCTCGAAGAGCACTAACAGGGTCTACAACTTTGAGATCTGGATAGGAGGCTGATGAAAATCGCCAAAATGGAGCAGTTGCACCAGCATCAGTTCAGTTCTCAGGACAAATCAGTAAGATTGTGAACCTGCAGAAATCCTCACACATAAGGAAATAAACAAGGAAGTTGAAGGAGGACTTCACAGATACTCTTGTCTAAAGATGCAAGTTGTGTTGGCAGAGAAGCAAAATCCTCCTGAAGTGCTGCCGGTAGCTGTTACATGCACAAAAATGGTCATCTGCTAACAGATTTATCAGAAGCTTATACTTGATGTCAATCCAAATAGCTCCTTAACGACCTGATGCTTCTACCACTCCGAAACAGGCATCAATGTTTTCCTTGAAAACCACATTCATTCTCACTAAGGTTAACTTCTGAGTTCTGACCTACCACCAGCTAATTGGCTTCCCTTAGTTGCTCATCTACAAGGTAATTCTCTATTATTTCATCAATAGGATCTACAATTGTATCTGGCCTCTTGCCCTTGTATTTTGTATCACTGAAAAAGTCAAAAATTTCTTTATCCGCAGCTAATCCATCTCTTCTCATTTGGTCAAAAATTTCTCTCGCCTCCACGAATTTCTTCCTCTTGAAGAATCCTTTGATGAGAACGCTGTATGTGCTGACAGAGACACTAAATCCTTTCCCTTTCATTTCTTGGAATAAAAACCATGCTTCCTTCATGTTCCTAGCATTGCAATGGCCTTTAACTAAATTCTCATACGTCTTACCATCAGGTTCTACTCCCCGCGAACACATGTCTTTATAAATTGCAGTTGCTGCCTTCAGGTTATTTCTAATGCAATATTGCTTCACGAGACAATTAAATGTGGTTGCATTAGGCGCTATACCCTTTGCCAACATCCAATTTAATAGCTTCTCACCATCTTCCAACATCCCATGCAAACAAAAACCATTCATTAGAACGTTGAACGTGACAATAGTAGGTTGAAGCCCTTTCCCGAGCATCTCCGTCAAAATCTCTTGAGCCTTATCCATCTCCCCTGATTTACAGTAGGCATCCATTAAGGTTGTATAAGTTACAGTGTCTGCATTAAGTCCCGCAGCTTCAAATTCTCCAACCAGTTTAACTGCCTCCTCGATATTACCCGACTTACATAGACCATTGACAATGGAATTATAAGTAAAAATATTTGGCTGAAGACCTATTTTCCACATTTCATGGAGAAGTTCATTCGCTGAATCTAAGTCCCCTTCCTTACAAAGCCCATCAATTAATGTGGTGTATGTAACAACATTTGGGGAGCACCCTGCCTGAATCATGTGATTGTGGACCCTAAAAGCATCTTTTATATGCCCTGCTTTGCAGTATCCATTCATAAGTTCAGTAAAAGTAATGATATCCGGCTCTAAACCCCTGCAAAGCATTTCATGAAATAGTTTACCAGCCTCCACCATGTCGCCAATCTGACAAAACCCTGATATAATAGCAGTATATGTCAAAACATCTGGTGTAATATCCCGAGAGTGCATCTCATAAAAAAACTTCGATGCAGCCCGAATATCCCCTCGCTTGCAGAAACCATCAACAAGAGTTGTGTACACTATAGTGTCAGGAAGTATGCCCTGCCCTATCATCTCTGAAAAAGCCTCCTCTGCTTCGGCTAGCTTACAAATTCTACAGAGCAAACCAATTATACTACCATAAGTATAAGAATTCGGCTTCAGCCCCTTCTGTTTCATTTTTTCAATGAGCTTCCAAACCTTGTCAAGTTCCCCAAATCTACAGTATCCATTTATCACTGTACTGTAACTGATTACATCAGGGGTGTAGCCCTTCAACTCCATAAGCAGGAGTAGATGGTGGGCTTCGTTTATCCTCCCAAGTTGACAAACAAAATGAATAACGATGTTATAAGAAGCAACATTCCAACAAACACCCACTTCCGGAAATTCCCTGAACACTATAATTGCTGTTGCAGTTTTATTGCAATCTTTCGAAAGACGGGCAAGGTATACGTTGCAAGAATCAACAGATAAAACCAATCCGTAATTCAACATCTTCTCAAAGACTTTTCTCGCCTCAGGGAGCATTCCGAATTCGACGAGTACTTGGAAGAAAACATCGAATACACGAGGATCCGAACCCCAGTCCTTGTAAGTATATACTAAAAGATCAAAAAACTGTACAAAGGATTCAGTAACATTCAACTTTGGTCTCTCCCAAAAACTGCTAATGAGAGACTGAGCCACTTTTAGATCCTTAGACGCCACAGCCAAATGAATAACAATGCAAAGGGATTCAAGGTTGGAGTCTCTGCGGGAGCGAGCCCAATCAAAGAAATCAAGAACCAACCTGTAATCACACTTAATCTTCATCAGAACCCAAATCAAATGATCAGTCTTGAACTTGCATTCATAAGGCTTTAAACTCCGCCTCAGAGGCTCAGCCCGACGCAACTTAATCACATTAGTGATTTGATGTACAAACTCAGTGTCTCTCACTGAAGCTTTCTTTGGTGAATAATCAGGAAAAGGTCTAGTATCGGTTAAAGTTGAGAAACTGAGGCCACGAGACCGAAGTGAAAAGAGCTGAATGAAATTTCTGAAGCCAGAAAGAGTACCTCTCTTCATCAACAGGCCAGTGAATGGCTGCTTCATCGCTCCATCATAAACACCAAAAAATCTCCGCGAGCTAAGTAGATAGTTGAGTCCTGCGGAGAACAATCATTCGCTGAATTCGAAAAAACCCTAAAGTCTCTGCACCAAAAAAACTTGACCCACCCCAAGCGGGTGATGTGTCTTGACGTGTGTTGTAATGAAATTGAAAGAACTTGAAGAAAAATACGAACTTTGTCTTTCTCTCTCTAAAGAGACTCTGAAAATGAAGGGCACGGCGTGCGATTGAAGACGACGATCGATTTTGGGATTTTGGTTGAAACGACATCGTATTTGCGAACGGTCATTTTAACGAACGAAACGATGCGTTTTGGAACTAATAAAACCACTTAAAAGCCCATTAAGCAGATCACTTAGGCCCATATTGACCAACTATACAAACATCATCTCTCTGCTTCCAATAAAAGATGCTCTCTTTTTTTTTTTTTTTGTAAACAAAAGATGCTCTCTTTCTAATGTTTTAAACTTTTAATACTTTTAGGAAGTAAAAATAGTAGACATCAGAAACCATCTTTTTATTACAACAACAACAAAAACTGAAATCCAAATGTATATACATGTGCGTTATAAATATCAAATAGGCCATTTACACTTTCTAACATAACAGTTTCAACAAAACTGAAATCCAAATGTATATATATGTGCGTTATAAAAAAAACCTTATAGATTTAATAGTAATATAAAAATATAAGTTTAAAAACATTTTAAAATAAAAGAAAAATATGTGTTAAAACTTTATATTATCTGTAAACCATATTGAACTTAGAACACCTCTTAGGAGATTGGATGTTGTGTCCAATTAGTTTACACAAAATTTAAAAATTTAACATTTATCAAAAAAACTTAAAGTTTTAATAGTAATATAAAAATATAAGTTTAAAACATTTTTTAATAAAATAAAAACAAGTATTAAAAATTTAAATTATGTGTAAACTCTATTGAACCTAGAACACCTCTTAAGGATTTGGATGTTGTTTCCAATTAGTTTACACAAAAATTAAAAATTTAACACTTATCTAAAAGGGGTTTTTGCAAAAACGCCACTTTTTCAATGCCACTTTTCAAAAATACTCCTTTTTTAAAACCTTATAAAAAATGCTCTTAAAAATATAAGACTTACCCAAATATGTATGTAATATTATTAAAACATACACAAACTACATTTCTATGTATTTAAAATCTTATAAATACTTTATAACTACCTTATAAATGCATTTTAAATACCTTTAAAAACTTTTAAAATATCTTGTAAAACCTTTGAAAAACCTTAAAAATCCTTTAAAATAACTTGTAAAACCTTTAAAAACACCTTATAAAACCTTATAAATACTTGGATCGAGTCTTCAAGTAGTAGTTACAATCCATAAGTACCTTATAAACCTAATAAAACTTTATAAAAATTTCAGATTTAAAAAGGGGCATTTTTGAAAATGGACATCTAAAAGGGGCATTTTTGAAAAGGGGCACACCAAAAGGGGTATTTTTAACAATTTCCCTATCTAAAAACCCTTAAAACCATTTTAAAGAAAATAAAAACAAGTGTTAAAAATTTAAATTATGTAAACTATATTGAACCTAGAACACCTCTTAGGGTTTGGATGTTGTGTACAATTAGTTTACACAAAATTTAAAAATTTAACATTTATCTAAAAAACCTTAAAACATTTTTTAATAAAATAAAAACTAGTGTTAAAAATTTAAATTATGTGTAAACCATATTGAACCTAGAACACCTCTTAGGAGTTTGGATGTTGTATCCAATTAGTTTACAAAAAATTTAAAAATTTAACACTTATCTAAAAAACCTTAAAGTTTAAATAATAATATAAAAATATAAGTTTTAAAACATTTTTTAATAAAATAAAACAAGTGTTAAAAATTTACATTATGTGTAAACCATATTGAACCTAGAACACCTCTTAGGGGTTTGGATGTTGTGTCCAATTAGTTTACACAAAATTTAAAAATTTAACAATTATCTAAAAAAAAACTTTAAAACATTTTTTAATAAAATAAAAACAAGTGTTAAAATTTTAAATAATGTGTAAACCATATTGAACCTAGAACACCTCTTAGGGGTTTGGATGTTGTGTCCAATTAGTTTACATAAAATATAAAAATTTAACACTTATCTAAAAAACTTTAAAGCTTAAATAGTAATATAAAAAATAAGTTTTAAAACATTTTTTCATAAAATAAAAACAAGTGTTAAAAATTTAAATTATGTATAAACCATATTGAACCTAGAACACCTCTTAGGGGTTTGGATGTTGTGTCCAATTAATTTACACTAAATTTAAAATTTTAACACTTATCTCAAAAAAAAATAGAAAAGGAACTTAAAAAAGATATACCTTTGCTTGTGATTGACGAAACACAAGATTTTCAGGTGATGTCGTCGGACGGTCGGAGCCATGGAAACAGAACTAAACACAGATCATGATTTGGTTCTCTACTCGCTCGTCGCTCATTGTCCCTGTCTTCTTGATATCCTCTTTCTCGCTTTCGCATCCTTTGTTGTCGTCGTGTTCTCCTTCGCCATCCTCGTCAGAATCCACCGTCGAGATCTTTGATCGTGTGAAATTAGGGAAGACTTGACATGAAATCGATCTGGATTGACTTAAGATGATGGAGATGATTCACGAAAAGAGATGGTTTCTCTGCTCCGATCAATCTTACGGATGAAGTTAATTGCAGAGATCATCGGTTTACTATATGGATCATCATCGGCAAGCCTCTCTGTATGATATTGGCAGAGCTAATGAAGAGAACTACAGAAAGAAAAAAATGATTTTTGTTATTTCCGGTTTAGGGTTTCGAAGAAGAAGAGAGAATGCAGATTCTCAAGGAAGAAGAGAGAATGGGTGTATTTATAAGTAACGTTTGTTCAATGAAAAAAGGAAATTTGCGATTGTTTCCTTTTCTTATTTGAGTTGCAAAAACAAAAAGGAAATTTATCACAACGGTAACAAAAGATTCACCTAACCGTATTACTTTTTAGAATCATTATATACAACACCAATAATAAACAATCTTGATAATGCATATCCATTTAGTTTGTCCAAAAAATAATAATGATAATGCATATCCATTATAAATTCCACCATAACTTGGTATGGATTAAGGCTTTCTACTAAACATTTCAACAAAACCACACTCTAATCTCTCTCTCTTTTCTTTTTTTTGGGCAAACAACCACACTCTAATCTCTTTTGGTCAAAAATATCACTCCTAAAAACATCATAATTTGTGACTGTCAAAAACTGCAGATCTTTGACGCAAAATGAAGAAACAATGAAAGAAAAACAGAAAAGAAAAGTGAAAATATTATGACAAGTGTTGTGTGTTCTTTCAAAGCTGAGGATTACGTTTCATTGAACCTCTATTCATTTCTTCATTACTTGAAGCAGAAGGATTTAAAGCATAGAAACAAACTCATCGATGCTCTTATCAGAACTACCTCCTTGAGAAACAGCTTCTCGAGCCAACTCCTTCCATTTCTCAGTATTCTTTCTAATCTCTTTACCTTTCTCTCCCTCCATAACTTCTCCCACACGTCTCACAATCTCTCCTCTTCTCACGAACCCATCACCGTTTGCTTTAACCCTAACCCCAACTTTCCACACATCCTCCATGAACTTAGCATTTGTGGGCTGATCTGCCCAATGTGGCATACCAATCATTGGAACTCCCAAACTCAGTCCCTCTAACGTCGAGTTCCATCCACAATGTGTCAAGAAACAACCGATCGATTTATGTGTAAGAACTTCAAGTTGTGGACTCCAGCTCACGATCAGTCCTTTCTCACCAATTTCCTCTATATAGTTTTCTGGAAGTTTGTTTTTCTCCCCGCCTCTCACAACCCACAAAAAGAAATGGCCGCTCTGTTTCAGACCCGCCGCGAGTTCTATCAGTTGATCTTCTTTTAGAACCACCAAGCTACCAAATGATACATAAACAACTGAACTAGGCTGCTTTAAATTTAGCCACTCCATGCATTCAGCGACTTTCGCACCGAAAAGGCTGAATCCGTAGTTTTTGTCTTCAGGCAGTCGCTTATCTAAATACATTGATGGAACAGTTGGTCCTATGTTCAGGACAGGCCACACGCTTTGGACCCACTTCAGCAACTAAAAGCAGCAAAAAAGAAGAAGAATATAAATTAACCATATCACTTAATAAGAAAAAAAAGCTTAAGAGCAAAACATGTCAATTAGTATCACAATTTTTTTGTCAAATCAAATCTAACAAACTTTTGTATTTAAATTTATTATCATAATATCTCGTCTATGCACTTTTAAATTAATAAGCTAAAATCTAACACCATGACACAAATTCAAAGGTATCTATATAAAATAAAGAGATCTAGAAGATTGATGGAATCAATAGATATAATAGAAAGAAAAAAGCATAAACACGGTACCTTTTCTTCCAATTTATCGAAGGTGTTGCATAAAACTATATCAACTCGATCAATGTTTGAGAGCTGATCGATCACAGTCCTTAGTATATATGGGTAAGAGGACGATTCACAGAGGAAAGACGGCAAATCATTTGCATTTAGCATCGGGAACGAAGGGAGAGATGCTAACGTTGAGTGACCGTACTTTGTAGACGGTACAGAGAACGAGCCTTTGAAAACATGATAGTAAATAGCTGAGACAATCCAAGGCTGCGTGAAAAACACGGCACCGCTCAAACCATAAGTATGAGCTACATCAAGAAGCCACGGCATGGTGGAGTCGTACACGAGAGCCCTAGGAGGATTTCCCGACAGTTTCATGTCTTCTATCAGCTTCGGTAAGCTGTTTTTGATGCTGGCTTCCACTCTTTCCATGTAATCATCTAGGTCTTGTGATCGTTCCTCACCTTCTTCGAAACCATTGGAGATGGGGACGACAGCGATTGAGTCGTGCTCTGTTTTGTATGGCGGAGAGGGATTGTCGGAAACGAGGACAAGAGTGAGCTTAAGACCTTTTGAGGCTAAGCGTTTACAGAATTGGGACATTGGAGTTATGTGGCCTTGTGCTGGGAAAGGCAAAACGATAACATGAGATCCTTCTTTCATCTTTTTTTTTTCTTTTTCTTTTGTTCTTACTCTGACTCTGACTCTGTTCTGTGTGGGTGGATGTATATATAAGGTTGGATTAGAGGACGACTTTTATTTTGCGACATCTCTAGTGGTGGAGAAATTTCTTGTGACTACTATCCAAAAAGGTCAAACGTGGCGACCAAGATGTGTGGATTGACCTTTTTGGATTGTAGTCACAAGAAATTTCCCCTACCAAATGACCTTTTGACTGCTTAAGCCGTCACATTAGGATGATGTGTATATTCTATTTTTAAAAACATTCAGGCGAACTCTATAGAATTTTGCAAAATTTAATCCGGCTTGAATATTTATTTATTAAACCCTGGATTTTTAACCTGATATCTTCAGAAAAAAAACTGAAGATATTGATTATACAATATGAAGTAAAACAAAAATTTACCCAAAAAGAATTGCAATGTTCATAGAAAAGTTAATTCTTCCTCTATCCGACACAAAACAAATTACTTCTTTCTTCCTCTTCTTCTTTTTTTCTTTTTCTTCTTTCTTGTAGTTTGTGAAATTTAATACTTTCTATTTAACATTATATTATGGATTTATAAAATTTGGAACTTGGAATAGAGAGATGCCCACAAATGAGAAACTATATTATTACTACAACACAACAACAATAACAATTGGATATGCAAAAGACGATGAGCTTTAACAAGACAATTTCCATCATTCAACAAATTAATAAAACACAGAAACAAACTCATTGATGCTCTTATCAGAGCTACCTCCTTCAGAAACTGCCTCTTGAGCCAACACTTTCCACTTCTCAGCATTCTTTCTAATCTCTTTCCCTTTCTCTCCCTCCATAACTTCTCCCACACTTCTCACAATCTCTTCTCTTCTCACAAACCCATCATCTTCTGCCTTAACCCTAACCCCAACCTTCCACACATCCTCCATGAACTTAGCATTTGTGGGCTGATCAGTCCAGTGTGGCATACCAATCATTGGAACTCCCAAACTCAATCCTTCTAACATCGAGTTCCATCCACAATGGGTTAAGAAACAACCGATCGATTTATGTGCAAGTACGTCAAGCTGAGGACTCCAGCTTACAATTAGTCCTTTCTCACCGATTTCCTCTACATAGTTTCTTGGAATTTTGTCTGTTTCTGTCTCTCTTACAACCCACAAAAAGAAACGTCCGCTCTGTTTCAGACCCGCAGCGAGTTCCAACATTTGATCTTCTTTTAGAATCACCAAACTTCCGAATGATACATAGACAACAGAGTTAGGCTGCTTTGAGTTTAGCCACTCCATGCATTCAGCAACTTTCGCATTGAAGAGGCTAAAACCGTAGTTCTTGTCTTCAGACAGTCGTTTGTCTAAATACATCGATGGAACCGTTGGTCCTATGTTCAAGACCGGCCACAAGCTTTGGACCCATTTCAACAACTACAAGCAGAAAAAATAAAAATTAACCACAATCACATAAACACTATAGATTATATTTTTTCTACAAAAGACATAGACATGTTCCTCTATATGGATATATTTTCTGTACCTTTTCCTCCAATCTATCGAAAGTGTTGCACAACAATATGTCGACTCGATCAATGTTTGAGAGCTGATCCACCACAATCCTCAGTATATTCGGGTATGAGGACGATTCAGAGAGGAAAGACGGCAAATCATTTGCATTCAGCATCGGGAACGAAGGGAAAGATGCTAATGTTGAGTGAGCGTACTTTGTAGACGGTACAGAGAACGAACCTTTGAAAACATGGTAGTAAATAGCTGAGACAAGCCAAGGTTGCGTGAAAAACACGGCACCTCTCAACCCATAACTATGAGCTACATCAAGAAGCCACGGCATGGTGGAGTCGTACACGATAGCCCTAGGAGGATTTCCCGACTGTTTCATGTCTTCAATCAACTTCGGTAAGGTGTTTTTGATGCTGGTTTCTACTCTTTCCATGTAATCATCGAGGTCTTGTAATGGCTCCTCGCCTTCTTGGAAGCCATTGGAGATGGGGAAGACAGTTATTGAGTCGTGCTCTGTTTTGTATGGAGGAGAGGGTTTGTCGGAGACGAGGACAAGAGTGAGCTTAAGACCTTTTGAGGCTAAGCGTTTGCAGAACTGGGACATTGGAGTTATGTGGCCTTGTCCTGGGAAAGGCAGGACGATAAGATGAGATCCTTCTCTCATTTTCTTCTTCTTTTTAATTCTTGTGTTTTTACTGATTCTAGTTTTTGTTGTGTGCATGTTGTAAGTGTGTGTGTATTATGGATGGATATATATATGGTTGGATTAGAGAACGACTTCGATTTGACTACGTCTTTGGTGGGGGAAAATTAATTGGACTAGAATCCAAAAATTGTCTAGGTTCCGTGGCGACCAAGATGTGAGGAACAGTGACCGAGGTCGAAGATAATGCAACCCACCAATCCAACTGTTTTAGTTTACTAGATAATCGTTAGCATGTGACTTTGTGACATATCAATATATAGCAAGCAACATATGTACGTGTATATCAGATTCTTTTTGTCATCTTCCATGAGAGAGAGACTGCTTTCTCAGCTATGTATTACTGTTGATGTCATTGCTTATGCAATCCGGATCCACCCTGTAATATCAATATATAGCACGCAACATATGTACGTGTATAACGGCTATGTATTACTGTTACTCTGTTAGTAACTTTTTTTTTTCTTTTTTTTTTTTTTCTCTGTTAGTAACTTATATAGTATTCACACTATATATGATTATATGTACGTATATTTGACTCATACAAATTCTAGACGAAGCCACAAATCTGGTATAATCAAGAAAACTTTATATATCTTTCTAGTTTTGATATCAAAATTTTCTTTTGGGTTATATATATCCTGTTAATCCGTCGCAAAATATTTTTGATGTAACTCCAAAATATTGAACGCCGTCCCACTTTGGAACCCCTATCTACCCACGTGGAGCTCTATCATTGATTGACTGGAAATCCGTGACAATAAAAACACAGAAAAGACGTTGTTGTAACTTTAAATTTAATTTAATTCCATGCTCTTCAATTTCTTTTACTTGACTCAGTTGTTTAATTATTTGTTCATTTTATTTTAATTCGTCGTTGTTAGTCTTACCCCTCTTCTAAAAATCTCCGCCTAACTCGATTACTTTCCGCTTAATCGCTACGTTCACCCTATTCGCCTCGATTAATGACTAATCCTCTAAAAAAATAAGTTATCTGATTACTCTCCGTCTAATCCAATTACTTCCCGCCTAATCCGATTTCTCCCCGCCTAATTTTATATATCCAGATTATTTTAAATTACAAGTATAAAAAAACTTTTTATTTTTGTTATTCAATCATTTAAATTGGGATTTTGTGATGTTTTACAATAACTTCTGTTCAAATTTTAATAAAATTCATAAAAATTTATCTCAAAATACAGTTTTAAGTGTTTACTGCAATAAAAATATTAAAATAATCCTAAAACTAATATCCAATTTTAATCCGATTTGTAGTTGTTTTTCGTGAATTATATTTTCATTTTATACTACTTAAGGATGACTCGACCCTTATTTAGTTATTTTTCTGTCATATTAATTGGTCGGTGTTATTTTTTCACCGGCTAGCCGGTAAAGATAATGTGATTATATTTGGTGACAAGGATTCACTAACTTTAGTCTTTAGTGCAATTCAAGATCAGCCATATGTATTTCAATCTTATATTATCCCTCAAATCAATTCCAATTTAAATCCAATTTCTTATAAACATTCGTGGCCTTCGTTTTTCCACTCTGTTTTCTTCTTATATTTTTTAATTTCCTTTTCTAATTTGTCTTTATATTCGAAATGCCAAAATACACAATCCTTCATTCTTGATCATCTAAAACGACGACGTTTTGGGTTAACGTTTATGTATGCAAATTTGCTTCTACTTTTCGTGACCTTTGATTTCTGTGTTGTTGTGATTTACTACGAAACCACTTGGCACCAAAGGTTCTTCTTTCTTCTTTCCTTTCGATTCTTTTTTTTTGTTTCTTTCTTTTAGCGTTGAGTTCGTGATTCCAAGATCAATACAACTTCACTAGTTAGAGATACACTATCATCAAAGAGATGATTCTTCCGAGAATTGGGTAAATCTTCGATTCTGAGTTTCTGGGTAAGAATGAGAATGATTTTCAAAAGCAACCAGTGTTAAACAATGATCAAGTCTCTTCCTTTTTTTATTCTTGCTTAATAATTCTGATTCTCTTCGTTTTTTTCGTCGTTCCAGTTTCTGGGTTTGATTTCTTTCTTTTAATAACTCAGAAGTCAGAATCTTCCGTAGAATTTTCATGTTTTAATCTGATTTATTGGGTCACCAAGATGTTTTCGTTCTCTGTTCTTTGATTTCTTGGTCTTGATAGTCTCTGTATCTCTCTGCCTCTGAATTCTCACTGTCACTGATGTTGACGTCTACTGAAGCTTATTTAGTCCTGTTTGGGTCACTGTTCCATATTTTTGAATCAAAAGTTGCTAACTTTGTGTTCGATGATTTGCTTAACTATGATTCTTTTCATTTCATGGACACTTGACTCTTAAGTTCTGAGATCGCACTATATTATAGAGACTTGAATCTTGGTTTTTTGAACTAAAACTAGAAAAATCTGAGATTGACTCTTAAATATGATACATAACTTATGGTTGCTTCTTGCGTTTGTTCTCAACAGATTGAAGAACCAGTAACCTATTTTCAATTCTCGGGTTTGATTTGATGGCTTCTTCAGATGATACATTCTCACAAGTGATCGATATAGGAGTAGAAGAAGAAGAAGAGTCTTTCTATGCTCGTGATGATGATGTCTTGACTCTGCTTCAACCTACTTCACCACCAACGATATCTAGTGCCAAGAACATTCCAAAACCTCCTCCTCTTCCTTGTATTACCTACCAGCGTTTCCAAGCTAGTACAAGGAAAACTTCTAGCTTATCGCGCCTTGTGCCTAAAGAAGCAGTAGAAACTTGGGATAAGCTTTTTAAGGAAGGATTTGGAGCAGATACATATGTTGAAACCGATAACAAATCTCACTTTCCTGCCCATTCAAGTGTCCTGGTGAGTTTTATTAACTGGTCATTGAGCTCATTTCCCGGGCTTACTGATCAATATTACAAGGTTTTGTCTTCTGCAGGCTGCAGCCTCACCAGTTATGGCGAAACTTTTGAATCAATCGAGGGATAAAAATGGGAAAACATACCTCAAAATCCCTGGAGTTCCTTGTGAAGCAGTCCACATGTTCATTCGGTTTCTATACTCTTCCTGGTATGTTCTATGTGTTCAAATGGAAATTGCTTTCGTAATGCTTGTTTCTCTTTTGAAGCATGCCTGATATAAAAACCTGCAGCTACGAGGAGGAAGAAATGAAGAAGTTTGTGCTCCACTTATTGGTTCTGTCACACTGCTACTCGGTCCCATCTCTTAAAAGAGTTTGTGTAGAGATTCTCGATCAAGGATGGATTAACAAGGAGAATGTGATAGACGTGCTTCAATTAGCAAGAAACTGTGACGCTACAAGGATTTGCTTTGTATGTCTTTCCATGGTCATCAAAGACTTCAAATCTGTATCTTCAACAGAGGGATGGAAAGTGATGAAACGCGCTAATCCTTTGCTCGAACAAGAGCTCATTGAGGCAGTCATCGAAGCAGACACCAGGAAACAAGAAAGAAGGAAAAAACTCGAGGAGAGAGAAGTGTATATGCAGCTTTATGAAGCAATGGAAGCTCTTGTCCACATATGTAGTGAAGGTTGTGGGACAATTGGACCTCGCGATAAGGCCCTTAAAGGAAGCCATACCGTGTGTAAATTCCCGGCGTGTAAAGGGCTTGAAGGTGCGCTCCGACATTTCTTGGGATGCAAGTCCAGGGCTTCATGTCTTCATTGCAAAAGGATGTGGCAGCTTCTTCAGCTTCACTCTTGTATCTGTGACGATTCTAATTCTTGCAAAGTTTCTCTCTGCTGGTAAATTTTATCGCACAATTCAGACAACTCCAAAAACCTTAAGATACAGATTGTAATCATTTTCTTAAACTTGTAGGAATTTCAAGGAGAAAATGAAGAAGCTTAGCAAGAAAGAACAATCTAAATGGCGATTGCTTGTAGAAAACATTATTACGGCGAAGAACAGTCTCGGGCCCTTCTCTTCACGTCCTTCTGGTTTGATATAGAACAGGTTTTAGTTTTTAGTGTATAGCCAGTTAGCCACAAAAAGAAAACGTACATATGCGCAGGGTAAAGTGTATATTGCGCACCAATACGGCGCACAATAGTGGTTTTGAACAAACATTGTCAATATCAAGTTGGTTGTTATATATATGCCGAGTCGTGATTCGTGACGGTCATGTGAAGAAGTTTTTGCATCATTGTACTCATTTTATGTATATATTATATGTTAAGATTCAAATCAATAATAGTGGTCCTAAACGACTTTATTTAGAGGCAGACAAAAAAGGATAATGAAGATATACATTAATGTTAAATTTATAATATGCTCGTCATGACTAAACATATTTCAAGTTGAGTTATCTAATGAAAATATATATTTCCTAGTTCATGAAAAATCAACCTTCTTAAGCTTAACTGAGTATTATGGTTTTTTTTTTTTTTTTGTAAGGATAATAATTGATATATACGGCGGGTCTCTCGTTGACTTTTGATGGTGTTTTGACTTTGCATAGTAGCTAATATAATAAATCACTTAACTATCAATTTATTTAAGTTTGGTCTTAAGACTTTACCTCAGAATAATTATTTTTCGTCTTTAAATGAAAACTTCAAACTTCATCACATCAAAAATCTTAAACCCAGTTTTGATTGTCCTTTTTTTTCCTTGTTTTTCAAGAAACCAGACGAAAATGGAAACGTTTCGTTTCCTTTATTTGGCTTTATTTGCATTGTGTCTCATCGTTTCGGTTCTTGCACAAGACCAATCAGGTTCTATTAACATCTTTAAAACTATTCTCTAGTGAAGAAAGGCTAATCCTTTAATCTTTTTATAAATTAACTCGTTGCATGATCATAGGTTTCATAAGCATCGATTGTGGAATTCCAAGTGGATCATCGTACAAAGATGACACAACGGGTATAAACTACGTCTCAGATTCATCCTTTGTCGAAACCGGAATCTCCAAATCGATCCCTTTCACATCTCAAAGACAGCTTCAAAACCTGAGGAGCTTTCCCGAAGGTTCAAGAAACTGCTACACCTTGATTCCAGTACAGGGGAAGGGCAGGAAATATCTCATAAGAGCTAGTTTCATGTACGGTAACTACGATGGAGAAAATGATTCACCCGAGTTTGATCTGTTTCTTGGTGGTAATATTTGGGATACCGTCTTGCTCAGCAACGAGTCAAGCATTGTTTCCAAAGAAGTCGTTTACTTGAGCCAATCTGAGAACATATTTGTGTGTTTGGGAAACAAAGGCAAAGGAACCCCATTTATCTCGACTTTAGAGCTTAGGTTTCTCGGGAACGACAATACGACATATGATTCTCCAAACGGTACTCTGTTCTTCTCCAGACGCTGGGACTTTGGCTCTCTCATGGATTCACCTGTTAGGTAAAGCTCTGTTTTGTGCTCTGTTTGATGCTCTGTTTTTCGCTCTCTTTTTCTTTCTCTGTTTCTTTAGCTCAAAGTTTACTTTTTTACCGGTTGAAACTTGAAATCTGAAGATTTTTGGTGAATCAGATATGATGAAGATGTGTACGACAGAATCTGGATACCTCGCAACTTTGGCTATTGTAGAGAGATCAATACCTCACTTCCAGTGACCTCAGACAATAATAGTTACAGCCTTTCAAGTTTGGTGATGAGCACAGCCATGACTCCAACAAACACAACAAGACCCATCACAATGACTTTGGAAGACAGTGATCCAAATGTCCGGTACTTTGTTTACATGCACCTCGCTGAGGTCGAAGATCTTAGTCTCAAACCAAACCAAACAAGAGAGTTCGACATCGGCATTAACGGAGTGACAGTTGCTGCTGGCTTCAGCCCCAAGTATCTTCAGACAAACACTTTTTTTCTAAACCCTGAGAGCCAATCCAAGATTGTGTTTTCGCTCGTGCGAACCCCAAAGTCCACTCTTCCGCCAATTGTTAACGCTCTAGAGATCTACATCGCAAATAGAGTCTCACAATCTCTCACTAACCAAGAGGATGGTATGTGCTAGTATAATGACTAGCAAATTTCAATCTTTTTTTCTCAGTTTGATCAATGCATTCAATTGAAACTTACAGGTGATGCGGTTACGAGTCTAAAGACGATTTATAAAGTGAAGAAGAACTGGCAAGGAGATCCTTGTTTGCCTAATGACTACATTTGGGAGGGCCTTAATTGTAGTTATGATAGTCTTACTCCTCCCAGAATCACATCACTGTAAGTGTAATTTTATTTTCATCTCTTCTTGATCAGTCGGTGGATTTTGTATATTGATTAAAAAGTTCGTTGCTTGGAGGCAGGAACTTATCATCAAGCGGGTTAACGGGTCATATATCTCCCTCATTCTCTAACCTCACAATGATTCAAGAGCTGTGAGTTTATCTAGTATCATACCTATAATTTTGTATATTGTTAAAGAGTTTTCTGACTTGAACAAGGCAACTCAATTATCAGAGACTTATCAAACAATGGCTTAACCGGAGACATTCCAGAGTTCCTGTCAAAACTGAAGTTCTTGAGGGTTTTGTAAGTTCTAGACATATCACAACAAAGTAGATCGATAACTATGGACTCTTAACTCTTAACTCTTAACTCTTAACAACATCTGCAGAAATCTAGAGAAAAACAAGCTAACCGGTTCAGTTCCATCCGAGTTATTAGAAAGATCAAACAGCGGATCATTCTTGCTAAGGGTAGGAGAAAATCCAGGACTCTGTATCGAGATTTCTTGCAGAAAAAGTAACAGCAAAAAACTCGTGATCCCGCTTGCCGCATCACTTGCAGCATTGTTCATCCTCTTGTTATTCTCTGGTGTGTTTTGGAGAATCAAAAACCGGAGAAACAAGTCCGGTAAAGATCTATCTCTATATCTTTCCTTTTACATACATATCTCTGTTTATCACATTACCAATTGTTAAAACTTTCTTTTGAAAGTACATTCCGCGGTGGACCACAGAGCTCCAACCAGTCCAATGGCGAAATCGGAGAACAAATTACTGTTTACCTTTGCAGACGTTGTAAAGATGACAAATAACTTCGGTCACGTCCTCGGCAAAGGAGGTTTTGGTACAGTCTACCATGGCTTCTATGACAACCTTCAAGTCGCTGTTAAACTTTTATCAGAAACATCAGCTCAAGGTTTCAAAGAGTTTCGCTCGGAGGTATGAGATATTGATTCCAAACAGATATACAAATTAACACTACCTCCAAAATCATAACCACCTATATATATTCATATAGGTCGAAGTTCTTGTGAGGGTTCATCATGTAAACCTCACTGCACTGATCGGTTATTTCCATGACGCTGATCAAATGGGATTGATATATGAGTTCATGGCTAACGGCAACATGGCGGATCATCTCGCGGGGAAGTATGAGCACACATTGAGCTGGACACAAAGGCTTCAGATTGCACTTGACGCAGCACAAGGTATGAACCAAAGTTTCCATCTTTTGTATTCTAGATTATTAGTTAATCTTTAACGAAAAATCTATGAAGGGCTTGAGTATCTTCACTGTGGATGCAAACCTCCGATAGTTCACAGAGATGTGAAGACTTCAAACATATTGTTGAACGATAAAAACAGAGCAAAGCTTGCAGATTTCGGACTGTCACGGAGTTTTCATACAGAGAGTCGTTCTCACGTATCCACTCTAGTCGCTGGAACTCCTGGATATCTCGATCCGCTGTCAGTTTTCTCTCTCTTATTAATGCGATATCGACCAAACATCGAATGTTTTTAGTGATTGTATGTATGCTCTGTTTTAAAAAACAATGTGCAGATGCTTTGAGACAAATGGGTTAAACGAGAAGAGTGACATTTACAGCTTTGGAGTTGTTCTATTGGAGATGATTACAGGCAAAAGCGTGATCAATGAGACACAAACGAAGCGTGTTCATGTGAGTGATTGGGTGATATCGATCTTGAGGTCTACGAATGATGTGAACAATGTTATAGACTCGAAGATGGCAAAAGATTTTGATACAAACTCTGTTTGGAAAGTTGTGGAGCTTGCTTTGGCATCTGTTTCGCAGAATGTCTCTGATAGGCCAAACATGCAACAGATTGTTAGAGGATTGAAAGAGTGTCTTCAAAGAGAAGAGGGTAACCACAATTATTGATGCCACAACGTAATGGTGTAGAAGGCTTTATTAAGTTTGTGTTAGGGTTGTTTATATATTTATTTTTGGGAAGGCTTTTTAAGTTTGGGTTGTCGTCTCTAAAGCCCAAGTCATAATGGGATAAACTCTTCTTATTTTCAGCTGTTTGGTTCGCTTTTTTAAGGATTTTGGTGAAATTATCTATACCTAAAAATTACTGTATTTGAAAAGTAGCCAAATTTCTAAAACCATAAAATAAAACTAACTTTCCTTATGTGTAAATTTACAAAATATCATTACTAAATTTGGATATCTAAAGAATGAACCAAGTCTAGTTATTATTAAAAAAAAAGAAGTAAAAATACAGAAAATGTATTATATTTTCAAATTACAATATTTCGTCCATTTTATTTATGACACTCCACAAATCCTTTTGGTTGTTCATTTCGATCGTTCTTTGCATTGTAGTTGCTACCGTTCAAAAGCTAAAAATGACTTGTAAATTAAGTTTTGAATTGGCTCATAGAAAGAAAGAGCACAAAAGAGAGAAAGAGACCAAGAAAATACAAAGAAGTAGGAAAAAAACAAAAAGTACCTAATCCGGTCGCCACAAGGAAAAAAGAGGACAAGAAGATGGTGACAACAAGACATAGACCAAAACCGTGTAGGACCACAAACGTACCTTTTAAAGAAAACGCTGATTCCTTTCGGACTTTTGCGTCGCACGGTCTGTGCCGCTGTCCCCACAAATCTCTATTTTTTATTCACGCGATCGCATCCTCTGCGTCAGCGTTTCGAAACGTGATTCTTCTAACCGCTCCACGTGAGTGATTCTTAGCGCGCGTTTCGTATCCGAACCCACGCGTGCGCGTCTCCTCAACGTCTGTCTTGAGTCTCTATGAAGTTGCATTGACGTCGGACGAAATTTTAACTTTGTCTTACTTGAAAATTTCACTTAATTTTAATACTAAAGTCCAATAGATTAATCAAATTTAACTAATACTCCCTCTGTTTTAAATTAGTTGTTTTAGCACTTAAATTTTATCTCATAATTGTTGTCGTTTTAAATTTTTAATATAGATATTTTGTATTGAATAAGATTTAAATAAAAAAATTAATTATTTTCTTAATTTCTGTGCAAAAACCTTAAACGACAAATAATTCAGAAGTAGTATATCGTAGCTCAACATTCAATTCTCATCTAGTTATACTCATGATTATTCAACGGCTATACTAATGAACAAGTTTTTTTAATTAAAATAATGGTAGACTAGACATTATGTTCAACGAAGTGATGTTTTTCTTAACATTATTATGCAACTGATTGATTTGATTGACTGATTTATATATTTTTATCTTGAAATATCACCAACAAATGTTTTTAACCTATCTTGTTGAAATTTTGGTTGATTATAAAGAGAAGAGAACAAAAATTCAAAGAAAGAAAAAGCAAAAAGTGGAAAGTAGAAACGAAAAGATTGATGGTGCACAGAGTTGGTCAAATATGTTGACAAAATAAATAACCTTCCAAATGTCACTATCTATAATAATAAGAACGAGTTATGTTGGAAAATAATAATATTAAAAGCAACTTCTACCTGGGACTGATAGCTACGAAGACCTCTCACTCTCTCAGTGGGTTGTATAATAGCTGTCAAATTATGATGTATTTAGTCTGAAGAAGACAAAAAGACTAATTCTCAACACTAATGACTTAATTAGGATTAGTCTTTACTCTTTAGTCATTTGCTTCATCTTTACTACAAAATTAGGATGGGATTAGTCTTTACTCTGTAGTCATTTGTTTCATCTTTACTACAAAAGTTTGCAGAGTTTGTAGACTGTAGTAGATGGTTTGGGTGCAAAATTTGCAGCATGCTTCCAAAATATCCTAACTACGTCACTAAAGGTTCATCTTATTTTTTTTTTAACTTTCTTTTAGCTAAACTAAGAATTACTTATGTATCTATTAATATGTATATAACACCTAATTGGTTGACAAAAAAAATAACGCTAGAAGTCCCTGGACCATCTAAGTAGAGTAGCATCGATCTAGAGATTTTCTGAACAAATTTGTAGCTTGTTATAGATTTTACATTCGTTTGACAAAATTATAAAAATATTGATAGTAGACAAAACTGAAAACTCTAGAATTATACGTCTCATGAAATTATTTAAAGTTGAAAACATTACTTCACCCAAAAAGAGTCGAGAGGAAAAAGACATATGTATAAAAAGAAGTTCCCTTCTACTTGCTTTCGTTTGGAGCAGAAATAAACAGACACAGTTTCTTCGGTTCTTCTCTCTCTTTCCTTTTCTCACGCCGAGATTTCTGCGACTGCTCTAGTCGCACGACCTTTTAAGAATCGACGCCATCTTCACTCTGTTTGAGCTCACACATCACGATCTTGGACGTCTTTTTAAGCGCAAAACAAAAGACTGATGTGTACATATTACTAAATACGGGCTTGGAGTTTTGCCTTTTGGACTGAGAAACTCAAGAGAGAAAGAGAGAGAGAGAGAGTGTGTCTTATCCGGTTTTGTGTTGTCAGAAGCTCAAAGACAAAACAAAAAAGCAATTATTTTTAGGGTTCAAACGAAGAAAAATTGGAAATTTGAGAAGTTGTGGGTGGTGGCTTCTTCAAGTGTAAAGCTTTTTCTTAGACTCTTCTTCCAATTTGTGAGTCTATCTCTCTCTCTCTCAGTAAGCTCTTTCTCTCTCTCTCTCTCTCTCTCTCTCTCTTTAATCTTTATTCGTTCTTTCTTTATTTGCTCTGTGTCGTTTCCTTATTTTTGGCTTAATTATACAAACTTTAGTTACTTAAAAGCTAATTACAAGTATATTTACTTCTCTATTGTTGCTAATCTTTGATTCTGATTTCGTTTATACAATTCCCGTGACCAAAAAAAAGTTACCATCTAAGATATAAGATAGTGTTACCAGTTTTCTACTCATAATTTTGTTATTGTGATGCAATAAGTTGAGTTCTCTTTACATTATCTTCAATAACTCTCTGAGAGTGACTTTTTGTTCTCCTCTGATCCGTGGAGGGTTATGTGTGTGTGTGTTTTTTGTTTTTTGGGGGTTTTTTCTCCTGTTTTTAGGGACTCTAGTGATTCATGCATATATGATGTTATTGTCTGTTTATGAGAATATGGAAATAATTTAAGCAAGGTATGATAACATATAGGATAATCTTTTGTTTGAGCTTATAATTCTGCTTAGAAATCTTAAAATAATGCTTACGCTGTTGATGTGAACTTGAGGCCTAGCCTCTGACCACAAATCCTAGCCTACTTCGTTGACCATACCTTTATCTTGGCTTTATATTCTAATCCAAATCCTGTCTCCCAATGCATTGGTTGGTCCAAAACAAAATCCTCATTTCATAGATCTTGTAATCTTTTTGGTCTGTAATTTGCATTAGGATGGTAACCTCGTACATCATGTGAAATGTCTTTGTTAGTATAAACTTTGGTAAGTTGTGTTGATGACTTTCAAGCATTTCTTCTTATTGACAAAGGGATGGACTTCTCTAGAGACGCTGGAATGATGATGGAGAACAAGCGGAATGTCTGCTCTCTCGAAGAAAGCAGTATCAAACGGCACAAGTCTGATCTCTCTTTCAATTCCAAGGTTTTGCTTATCCTAGTTTTCATAGATTTATCTGTCCAAATAGTCTTTGGCTCAACAGAGTGCAGTGTTATCAAACCAGCATGGTAATGATCCGCCCATCTTTGTTCTCTTAATGGCAAACAGGAGAGGAAGGACAAAGTTGGAGAACGTATTTCAGCTCTTCAACAAATAGTTTCCCCTTATGGAAAGGTAACTTTTCGTTTTTGTCAAGCAAATCAAGAGAATCTGTCTCTCAGCTCATACTTTTCTCTAATGTTCTTACACCACAGACCGACACTGCATCAGTTCTTCTAGACGCGATGCATTACATAGAGTTTCTTCACGAACAAGTGAAGGTCTGCAAGTTTCTCTTCATCAGTTCAATACGAAGCACGATTCATTCATCTTTTCAGAATAAACATCCGAGTTCTCTCATGTTCTTGTGTACAGGTGCTAAGTGCTCCGTATCTGCAAACGATACCTGATGCTACGCAGGTGAGCATGATCTTGAATCTTAACTTCATTTATACTTGGTTCACTATCTCTACTCTGCATCTGACAGATCTTCACTTGGAATTTGGATATCTTGCACGGACTGATTTTCCTGTCTTTTCTAACCAGGAGGAGGTGGAGCAGTACAGCCTGAGAAACAGAGGATTATGCCTTGTTCCAATGGAGAATACAGTTGGAGTTGCTCAAAGCAACGGAGCTGATATCTGGGCGCCCGTGAAGACTCCTCTTTCTCCAGCTTTCAGTGTCACATCTCAATCACCCTTTAGATGACCAATTCGGCTTTTCACCTACTAAGATCTTTGTGTTAAGCCTAAAGAAGATGACCAATTGTTATTATTCTGATGATGCCTCTGTAACATATATAGACAGAGAGACACATGGTGTTGGTTTAGAACAGCTCATGGTTGGCAATGGCTGTTATTATTTGACTGCTTAATGCATCCCCTTACTTTGGACTTATGTAATATGCCCAAACAGAAACCAAATGATTCTAATGCAAAGTAATCTTCATGCCAAAAATTGCCCAAGATATGTATCTAATTCAAAGTACTCTTCCAGTGCTGAAGGAAAGACATAACACGATAATGGTAATGAATTTTGCTTGTAATAGTGCCAAACAGCTGACAACAAAATTAAGATTATCCTTTCATAAGAACATTGGATTAAATACATTTCCACTGAGATTGCAAAGGTTCAGAACATACATACTGTTGATACTGAGGGACCAAATAGCTTGGAGAAAGATAAGATAAGTCTGTCATAATGTGTTTTTAACTACTAGACCACAATGCTTTGGCATATGTAAATGTGAGAGGGAAGATCATCTTCTTCAGCCCTACAGGGAATAAAACTAACTTGCTGCAGTAGGCTTGACCTTCTCTCGCATATACTGCAGTAGATGTTCGCGTTTCCAGTTGTCGATTCTGGAAAGCAAGCAAACCAAGAAACAAAGAGGGTCAGCTACAACTTTGGATGAATGAAGTTGTGTTGCTGATAGAGGATGAGTTGTTAAACACATCACTTATTCATGCTAACAACAAGAGCACCATCCTCCAAAAACCAATTTTAATGTAAAGGATACAGCAAAAAGTAACAAAGCACCGAGAGAGTGAGATTAGAAACTACTGCAGATCCATGGATAGTTATACATTTTTTGTCTACCAAGTTAACATGGATATATCAGGTCACCTTAAACGTCTTAAATCAGGTCAACTCGTGCCCGACCCAAACTCTAATACTAAAGCTTCTAGCAAGGAGTTGAGCAAAGAGGGGGTAAATCAATTTATTTACCTTATTGTTTCCTTATGTTCACCATCTTCGTCCAGCATGATCAACTTGGGTGGTGAGTTGAAAATGTACTGAACTTTGACGCTAGGGAACTTTTCTTTCTCTTCTTCAATAAAACTAACAATTTCAGGATAGAAAACCAACTTTCTCATACACACCTCTAATATAGCGCCGGAATAGGAAACCTGCAATCGCCAAAAAAAAAGAGTAATGATCTCTCCTTCTCTTCATTTATATCCATGTTATAGAAGATGTTTCTGTCTTGATCTAATCTATTCCCAGTAAAATTATAAAGCATTGTTCAATTCCATGGCTAGTAATTATACCTTGCTCATGGAATCCTCAGAATCATCAGCACAACATTTCAAGCAATCAGATACCAACTCTGCAAACAAGATCAATATAAGATAACCAAGTTTGTAAATCAATCATAAGATTGATATTCCAATTCAGTAATTCCTCTCCTCAAAATCAACCTTGTCCATAAACAAAAGAGAATGCTCAAGCTCATAAATCCACAAAAACTAAAAACATTCTTCTCTTCTTAAATCTAGAATCTTTTTGAGGGGAAAACAGAACTGCAGTAATCGAGATTCAGATCAAATAAAGCACGCATAGAAAGGAACGAACCTTGGTCCTTAACGTATTCAGAGAGTGAGTGACAATCGGAGCAGAGAGCAAGACCGGTAAACCCTAGATCCTCACATTCTTTAGTGCTGAGCTGCTCTTTTGCTGCGATCATCGATGCTAACATCAAAATCATCATCACCTTCGTCATCAACATCTTCGCCATCTCTCTCTCCCTCATCAACGGATCCAAGTCTTCGCAGATCCGACGCTACGGTAATGTCGCTGCCTTGCTATAATCCGATCCGGTCAATTCCGGTTTTTCAAATATCCGAAAATGCAATATTGGTATAGAGGACATCATCTCCGATTTATAAATAGAAAACCAGAGAAGTATTTTTTATTTTATTTTTGGCGACCATTTAACCGGAAAAGTCTTTAACCGACGCGAAAAGTGTTAAAACCCATCTCCAATTACATTGCCTGCGAGTCTGCGAGAGCATCTAAAACCCCTAAAACCCTAGGATCAAAATCTGCCATTCGAGATCGAGAGAGACGATGGATCACATAGCAGCGGCAGAGGAGCAAATTATAACGGAGAGGATTAGAAGAAAACTTGAAGAAGTTAATGCATCTGCTCAATCGCAACTCTCTCCTATTCAAGATCACATCAATTTCACCCTTCAGGTATATTAACAATCATATACCTTTTTGTAGCATTCCTGATTCTCCTACTTATAGGTTTATGTTGTTTCTGTTGATTTTGTGTCGGGTGAACAATTTACCAAAAGCCGAAATTTCCCTTGAACTATTGCTGTATCTTGTAATCGCAACAACAGACAAAAGCTTCCTTTTTTTCCATACAGTGTTCAATTCAAGGCATTAATCTATTCTAGTAAAGTTCACTTGTGGTGAATCTCTTTTCTAATCAACTTTTGCTGCTCTTTGATACAACCTGTGTAGTTAATAAAGCCAATCCTTTTAACATGAAATTTTAGTCTCTAAGCTACTTTGATAAGAAGCTGTGTCTTGTTGTAGTCATGTTAAGTTCCTGCAAACTAAACCTTGATAGTTTTCATTATATCTCTACAGCTATATTATTATAACTCAAGTTGTATGAAAGTGTTTGGTTTTCATATTTATCTTTTAAGTTGATGACCCTTGAATAATGAAACCCGGAAAAATGATCAATTGCAGCAAGCTTATTTCAAATGTGCATACGAGTGCTTTGACAGAAACAGGAAGCAAGAGGAGATAGCCAACTGTGTTGAGCACTGCAGTGTTCCAGTTGTCAATGCTCAACAGCATTTCGAAGGCGAAATGGCTCAGTTTCAGGTAAGATATGATTTTAAACTCACAAAGACTGCATTCTTTTGCTAATGTACTGAGAAACTTGCAATTGTAATTTTGATGCAGGAAAGGATGAACAGATCTCTCATGGTCTGTCAAGACAAATTTGAGGCGTCAAAGCTCCATAAGAACAGGGTTGATGCCGCCAAAGCTATGGAGAGTTGTGTGAACACATCCATTGAGGATAGTCTCGATACATTGCCTCATATTGTGCAGAGAATGAAGACGTCATTCTCCATTGCCGACTAAAAATAATCCTCTGTTGGGAAAAAAGGGCATCTTTCATATTGATGCCTTTTCATTATCACTTAATAGACCAAACACAATGGATGACATGAGTTGAGTAGTGTTTTAGTATATCAGACCATGTGCTAAACATTTTTTTTACTTTATATAAGATTATAAAGATCTTGAACAAGCTATTCACAATGTGGCATGAGGCATAAACAAATCAAGTCTCAGAAACTGGATCTGTCTTTAATTGAAAGATCTAAAAACCAATGTGTTTCGAAGAGGAAGTATTGGTAAAGCGAACCTTCTAGCTGTACTTTCTTTAAATTTTGAGGAACCAAAGTCATCTTGGTCTTAGCCTAGGTAAGCGGAATAAATAATTTTGAATCGAATCAAACCCTATCCGATTTTATTCGGGTTCGGATTATCATTTAGGGGTGTTTTTGTCTTGTAGGCGGTCGGAGAACCTCGCCTATATAAATAAATAAATGCTAGCTAAACCCTTAAAACCCTAAAATCTCCAGAGACAGAGAGAGAGACGGTGGATCACAAGGCAGTTGCGGAAGAACAAATCGTATTGGAGAGGATTAGGAGAAAAATCGAAGAAGTAAATGCATCTGGTCAGTCGCAGCTCTCTCCTATTCAAGAACATATCAGTTTCACCCTTCTGGTACGTAAAATTTTTTACAATCCTTTTAGTACATGTTTGCCTAGTGTTACTCTTTCTAGTACTTTTAAGTATTGCTAAATCTTGTAACAAATTAGGGCAGAAGAGATGGCAACAAGTTTTATGAAGTTAGTTAATTTTGAGTTTCCTTAAAGATTGATGCCCCTTTGAATAATGATGAATTGGAGCAAGCTTATTTCAAATGTGCAAACGAGTGCTTTGAGAAAAGAAGAAAGCAAGAGGTGACAACTAACTGTGTTGAGCTCTGCCGTGTTCCCGTTGTTAATTCTCAACAGCAATTCGATAGCGATAAGGCCAAGTTTCAGTTAAAAAAGTCCTTAACTGATACCATCAAGAAGTCAGCTTTTGCCATGTACTGAGAAACTTGCAATTCGCTAACTGATGCAGGATAGGATGAACAGATCTCTCATGGTATGTCAAGACAAATTCGAGGCTGCAAAGCTACTAAATATGAACAGGATTGATGCCGCCAAAGATATGGAGGGTTGCGTCAACGATGCAGCTGCAGCATTACTTGGCGGCTAAGCAACCAACGGTGTCAATTACGGTTTTTAAAGTTTTTCGTATTTCTAAGTTGATTTGGATTTACTTGTGCTGAGATTGACTCTATCGCTTAGTTAAGGCTCCGGGAAAACGGCCAAAATCAACCCAAACTATTTTCATACGGCTTTTTTCAACTCAAATTCTGACCCCCTGCATTTATCAACCCGAATCCACATAAATTTTAAACAATAAACCTGAACTATGTAATCTTTAGTCAATTTCAACCTAACTTTTTTTGTACTATTGGTTAATGTCGATTAGAATTGTTAAGTATTAATTATCTATTCTTTTGTATATAAATCATTTATTTTATTCAATTAGTTAAAAGTTACATAATTCATATTTGTTACATTATATAATAACATATATATGTTGAAATTAGCTAACAGTTACATAGTTCAGGTTTGTTATTTGAAATTTAAGAGAGTTTGGGTTGATAAGTGCAAGGAGTCATAGTTTGGATTGAAAAAAAACCGTATGAAAATAATTAGAGTTGATTTTAGCCGGTTCCCTATAGAAAGCAAAACGTCATAAAAAATAAAATATTAAGTAATCTTCAAACCGGATCCTATTGTACCCGGTCTTATAAGTCCAAAGTCCAAGGTCGGGTTGAAAGTAAATTAAAAAAGTCACCATCTCTATCGAATGGGTCTCCTTCCCGTCGTCGGAATTACTTCGCCGGCGCTCATCACCCGCAAGCGTCACGCCAATCCAAAGATACAGAGACTTAACCAATCTACCTCTGAAAACACTGTCTCATGGACTTCTCGCATCACTCTCCTCACACGCAATGGTCGATTAGCAGAGGCAGCGAAGGAATTCTCCGATATGAGACTCGCCGGCGTCGAGCCTAACCACATCACTTTCATTGCTATACTCTCCGGGTGTGGTGATTTTCCCTCCGGAAGTGAAGCCTTGGGCGATTTGCTTCATGGGTATGCTTGTAAACTTGGTCTTGATAGAAACCATGTCATGGTTGGCACTGCAATTATCGGCATGTACTCCAAACGCGGTCGTGTTAAGAAGGCTAGATGTGTTTTTGATTACATGGAAGATAAAAATTCGGTTACTTGGAATACAATGATCGATGGGTACATGAGAAGTGGTCAAGTCGATAACGCTGCTAAGATGTTCGACAAAATGCCTGAACGAGACTTGATTTCTTGGACAGCTATGATAAATGGGTTTGTTAATAAAGGTTTTCACGAGGAAGCTTTGGCATGGTTCCGTGAGATGCAGATTTCTGGAGTGAAACCAGATTACGTTGCTATTATTGCTGCTCTTAACGCTTGCACAAACCTTGGTGCTCTCTCGTTTGGATTATGGGTACATCGTTATGTTATGAGTCAGGATTTCAAGAACAATGTCAGGGTGAGTAATTCACTGATTGATTTGTATTGTCGATGCGGGTGTGTGGAGTTTGCTCGACAAGTTTTTGATAAAATGGAGAAACGAACTGTAGTTTCGTGGAATTCAGTCATTGTTGGTTTTGCTGCTAATGGAAATGCACATGAATCTTTAGTCTACTTCAGGAAAATGCAAGAAGAAAGGTTTAAACCTGACGCAGTCACTTTCACCGGGGCGCTAACCGCATGTAGCCATGTAGGTCTAGTTGAAGAAGGTCTTCGATATTTCCAAATTATGATAAGTGATTACAGAATCTCGCCTCGAATTGAGCATTATGGATGCTTAGTGGATTTGTATAGTCGGGCTGGGCGATTGGAAGACGCTTTGAAGTTGGTACAGAGCATGCCAATGAAGCCAAATGAAGTTGTGATTGGATCGTTGCTTGCAGCTTGCAGAAATCATGGGAACAACACTGTCTTAGCAGAGAAGCTGATGAAGCATCTTACTGACCTGAATGTCAAAAGCCATTCAAATTATGTGATTCTCTCGAATATGTATGCGGCTGATGGAAAATGGGAAGGAGCAAGTAAGATGAGAAGGAAGATGAAGGGTCTCGGTCTAAAAAAGCAGCCTGGGTTTAGTTCGATAGAGATTGATGATTGCACGCATGTGTTCATGGCTGGTGACAGTGCCCATGTTGAGACCACTAATATCTGCGAAGTCCTCAAGCTTATTTCTTCTAATTTGCGATTACAGGGCTGTGTAGTTGAAACCCTTCCTGGTGATCTCCTCAATGCTTGAAATCCAGGAACTTACACATCCCAATTTTTGCTCAAGTCCTGAGCTTGATATTATACATGTGAAAACTGATTCAAAGTAAGTGACGGTGCATCCATTAGCTAAAAATGGCTGACCACAAAGAAGCCTTATCGTGGTCTTCGAGATGATGAATTCTAGAATAAACCTCACTACATAACCATTATTGCTTGCACAGACCTTTTTACCAGGCCCTACCAGTAAGTAGATTGAAAAAAGATCTGGGTGTACATCGCTATATAAAACCTAATGAATAGAGGCCACACAATGATATGGTGCTCTCGTGCTTTGATAAGCTTTGAATCCAAGCTATCTTACCTCGGTGGCCGTCTCCGCATGCCAATAAGGTAACTTGAATCCATGTGCATTCTTCTATGTCTGGTCATGTTATGGTGAAGTTATTGCTGGTTACTGTCAAGTTAGTAAACAGTTAAATAACTCTCACATTTTGCAAAACTTTGGTGTTCTGTTTGCGTGGATTTTGTGATACCTTGGGCATCTTCTAGCATTTGTTTACCTAGCAGTGATCGTAGCACAGGGTTGATACAGCAAAAGATATAGGCAATACACCATCTACAAGACCTGCTACCGTGAGTGTAAATATTCTCCAACAATTTCCTTGTTAATGCATTTTCTAAAGATAGTGATGTTCTAGCTACATCCGGTATTGTTACTGTTGTATCATAAATGTTAAATTATCTTTGACGATTATATGTTACACATATCAGTTTATTCATAGAAGCATTTCATATTTTTAAGCATGTAAAATCGGCAGAATAATAATTTAGTATACATACAATTTCAACCCAAAACAATTTTGGACTCTGTTTGCTCTTCATTGCCCGTATCTATTTTGGGTAGAACTGTTTTAGGGCGGAGATAAACACCGATGTACTGTAGTCCCGAGGCATCGTAAGTCCCATGGAAACCGCCAAACTGAGGAGATTTCCCGAGTTTAAAAGCAAATTTTTCGTAGCTCGAACCGGAGGTGCCAAAAGGACCGTACTCACTAGTGTTGGTAGTGAATTTGAGAGACCTTATGTGAGGATTGCTGGCATCATACTTGTAATACTCTCCACTTATTCCAGTGATGTACTCATGCGGATAGTTGAGCTCTATCTGCTGGGTCCAAATCACATATAAAGTGAAAAAGTTACAACCATGTTCTTGGCTTTTTAGTTGGAAGTAGAAATTGTGACGGATCGGAGAAAATAAAGAGTCAAAATAAGACTTACAACGTCAAACATGTTGCCGGAAAATGGACCGTGACGGTCGGATAAAACGAGTTTTCCGTCCATCACAAACTGGAATTGGATAGACAGAATTCCTCCAACGCTGTGAGATAGAAATATCTGAGAGATGAAGCCATCGTGAGATCCTTCGTCCCAGTTAACAATTGTACTGCTTCTAGCATCATGCTTCCCTACTGGTCCTATCTTCATTTTCCCTTCCATTCTTCTACGACCAAAAACTCTAAGCTTTTATTTGGATACATAACGAAAAACATAATATATACATGTAGAGATTCATACTTGTCTAAGTTTGAAGTCTCAGATTGGAATATGCTTATCCAATTTGGTATTTGATAATTCATCTTACAGGATTCATTGTTTTATTTCATTTATCTTTGCTTCTCTCCATTACCCAAATTGTTTTAATAAAATGACTAATAGAGTTGTTAACGGAGATTCTTTAAGATCATAGTACTCATTTTGACGCCTCGGATTGGAATATTCGTTTCCAATCTTGCATAGTTTCATCTAGCAATATATTCCTTTCTTTCATATGCTTTTGCGAGAAATAGTTACTAATTTTTTTATTTTTTTGGTTTATATATAGATGCAATGCATGATTATCTAATGATCATTACAATTTCAATTATATTTGGTTGTTTTAAAAGACAAAAATATTAATGTTTTATACAAATATTAGGACTGTGTATTTTAACTCAAAATCTCTTGAGTATCAACAAAAATTTCATATTTCAGCATACTTTCCTTTTGCTTTTGCAAAGAAAGGCAAATAAGCTGTGTTTTTTTCGCTTATAATTTGGTTCAACAAATATTTGTAGGTTATGATGACAAAAAATTAGGGTTTTTTACTTGCACGCCTCAAGGTAAAATATACTGATTTTATAAGTTTAAAACACTTATCAATAAATTATACGTTGTAGTTTAGTTACACCTTCCCTAAAATTAAATAATGAAACCGTCCCGATTAATAATGTTTGTAACCGGCCCACGAATCGGCTAATAACGCTCCTTGAAGCAATCTTTATTAGGCCGCCGAGTCTCGCTAGATCCGACGCCTGACTCGATCGGTCCCTTAACCCAAAGCGAGATCTGCGTCTGTTTGCCTCATCTCCGGTCTCTCGATTCCTGATTTCATTTAAAACCGATCGGTTTGGTGGTTTTGCCATGGCTGGTGTTATGCACAAGTTCCTTATTGCGTCAATGTTCATGTGGATTCTTCCTGTTGCCATATTATATGGATTCAACTACAATTTGCTTCCTGGTATGAACGATTAATCTCGTTGGTATACTGCGATGCTCTCCAATTTTGATTCTTTTTTTAGGATTACTAGACCTTTTTTGCTTCTTAGCTCAGTTGCAGAAACCTAGTTATGATACATTTTCGAGTTAATTCCAATACTGCTGTGTCTCAAGTTCACAAATGTGTTATCTACCATTTAGCTTTATAGTTCGATTGTGACACCATTACGCTAAATTCTGCCTCTTAGCTTTAGCTTCATCGCTTATTCGGGTTTGGAGCACTTGAATTGTCACTGTCCTATGATCAGATGATCTTTGTAGTTTTTGATCTTCAGCGAAGAAAATGAAGTCGTTTTGCTTCAAAGCATCTTTGAAGGAAGGGAAAGTTACCAACTAACGTTTAGTAGCTACTCAAGCATTATTGACTTCACTCATAGGAGTGGAACTAGGATATGAATGCTTTCTATGAGTTTGTGAAGAAAGCAATTAGTTTTGGTGCTACTAAACGTCAATTGGTAACTTTCACTTCCCTCAATGATGTTTTGAAGCAAAACGACTTCATCTTCTTTGCTGAAGATCATAAACTACACAAATTCTTGGAATCTTTGGCTGCTACAGACACTCTTTTATGTAGAAACTTTTCTCATGAAAGCAGTTTATTAGTCTCTTTTACTTGGCTGTGGTGGTAGTTTTAGAGAATCTCCATTTTTTTGAAACTGCAAACTTCTTTAAAGTACACTCTCCCAGACTTGTAATATCAATATAGCTTTTTGATGATCTTCACATTCATGCTATTCGCTAACTGTTCCTTTGACGCCCACAAAGTTATCTGTAGTATTCGCTCAGCTGGTTGAATGTTATATGTTGACCTCAATACCCTTTTAGTGTTTATTAATATTGGACAGGTTCAACGACATTGTCTCCTCATTCTCTAACTCTACTGAGCGGATTTCTTGCTGTGGTATCAGTGAACATAGTGATTGTGTTCTACATATGTATGGCTCTGAAAGAACCTGCAGATAAACACAAACCAGACGCTGCATTTCTCGCTGAGGCCAAAGATAGTGTGAGCAAATTGACAAAAGGAGCCACAAGCGGTGATGATCATGCACTCAAGAAACAAGAATGAGATCTTTCTTAATCCATTTTTGAAACGAAGAACAGCATCTGGGTTCGATCGAATGGAGCAGACCTCGGGTTAACTAAATGGATGTTGTTACAGGATTCTGTGACATTTGAGGTTTAGGGTTGGTTAAACTAAGTAGCTGAAACTACCTTTTGTGTATGATGAACCGAGACAAAGATCCTAATGTTATTAACACAAAGCTATGAACATAGTATCCGGAAGGATTAGACATTTGCCAGTTTTTTCTTCCCTCAATATGTAATCGGTGTAATGAATTATTCCAAGAAAAAAACATTTTGTAACTTCTAACATTAGGAATATATAATTGATTATTAAAAATAAAAATAAAATAGGTATAAATATTAGTTTTATGAAAAAGAATTTGTAAAGAAGCGGTTCTCGTAGTTTTCTTCGGAAGTTGTCAACGAATAATCGCCAGATCTTCGCTTCTCTTGCGTTCGCTCACTACGGTAACTCTCTATCACCTCCCTTTCTGTTTTGAATTCGAGATTCGAACTCCAAGATTTCGTTTTTGGAGGATTGCAATCTTTTCAGACAAAAAAAAAAGAGAGTAAAAGATTGCAAAATTGATCATCGTTGATTGGGTGGGGATGATCTTGGTCTTCTTGAGCTTAACTTGGGATGACATCAGCTTTTAAGAGACGAAAACCCAGAAAGGCAGATAATTTGTCTAGAGTTTTGGGTAATTAGATTTAAGGGTCAATCTTCTGGAAAAGAAGAAAAATTGAAGCTTTTTTAAGCTGTTATTGTCTCTCTGCTTTTAGATATGAGAATTACAGGTCAATTTATGTTCTAGAACGAGTCAGTTGTTTTGGATATTAAGTATGAGATAATGTCTGGCGTTGGATGAAATCAAAACTCTGGTTCTCACTAAAGGTTGTTGAATTTTATTGTGAAATTTGGACATGGTTTCTAGATATAAGCTTCAAAATGGTTAGGAGAGGTGTTACTAGCTGCTTCCTTATGCCTTCTCTGAGACATTGACATATTGTTGACATTTTTTTTCCTTTTAATCTTACATCTTTTGAAACGTTTTTTTAAAGCTTTGCTTAACTCAAAAGTTATGTGTCTCAGCTTATGCTTAATGGTGTGTTTTTTCCTCTGGAGAACAGATCTCAGACTACAGTAACCAAGATGGTGTACGAAATAACCGAGCAAAAAAGTAATAATTTCTTCACAATTATGCTTTTTCAGCCGCTCTATAACTTTTTCTTGTGATGTTTCTGAGGTAGAACTCTTTTGGCAACAGATTTTCGTTAGTTGTAAGCATTTTTTCCGGGGCGGTGTGAACTCTTTCACTTCTCTTTATATTGTCTTATAAACATTACTGAACAGGTCAAGGTAGATACTAGAGTAGATTTCTTTATAGACGTGTTATATCTCTTGATTCTCTTCTATAGGAATAGAAATCACAAACTTGATAAAGTACGAATTCTTTCGTGAACATGTTTTCTTAGATTGTAACATCTTCTATAAATACCTCTTACTGATTAAACTTCAATTTTCTTTGTCTTATGGTATCCATTTCTATAATCTTTTGCAGAAGTTGGGTTGGGCCTCATTGGTTTTGGTTTATCCTTTACGTTTCTCGGTGTCATCTTGTACTTTGACAGAGGTTTGCTCGCTCTAGGAAACGTGAGAATTTCCTTGCTAATTCTAAACATCAGTCTACAGAAGGGTCCAACATTTGAGTCTCATTTGGCTTTGTGTTCAGTTATTCTGGTTGATAGGTGTTGGCCTTTTACTTGGTTGGCAGTCGACTTGGAGAGTATTTACCAATGTTAATAACTTGAGGGTACGCATTAAACTAATTCTAATCTATGTTAATTGTTTCTCTTAATTAACCTTTCATAGCGACATATCAATTTGTTTGTAATTTCTTTTTGCAGGGGACTGTCTGTTTCGTCCTTGGACTCTTTCTTATATTTGTACGTTGGCCCATTGTCGGCATTATCTTGGAGATATACGGTGTCATTGTCCTATTCGGGTGAGATCATTTGTTTCTTTGGCTCATAGTTTCTTATCGATTTTTTTCACACATTTTGCTTTTGTAATTGACATATTAAAGCAGACTGAAAATGAGTAAACTAGTAGTTCTCTCGGAGCACACAAGGATCTTTTTGCCTACAGAATGTTTGACTAATAACAGTCCATATCTGAGAACTCATTTCCTTTCGCCAATCACGCATTACTTTATTCAGCTTCTTGCTCAAAGTTTTAGCCTGTTACTGTGTTTAACCAACATCACATGTACTATCTTTGCAGCGGATTTTGGTCAACCGTAAAGGCATTCCTTTCCCAGATTCCTTTTGTCGGATGGATAATACAGTATCCTCTCATGGTAAGTAATCCTCAACAACACTTGCCTTTTCCTCTAATGCTCCTTCCTTTTTTAGTTTTCGAACATTCAGAGCTTCCTGTGATGGCCTTGTTCTTGAACAACATCCCGTGCTCCTGCCTTAATGCTTTCAGTCCCTTGTGGTAGCTAAGTTAGCCTCTCTCGGAAATGGATAAACCCAATAGACTTGTCCTGAAATTTAGTTTGCACAGAATATAGGGATCAGCATAAAATGGATAAAATGAGTTAGAGCTGCGAAATGAATTTAGGTTTGCATTGATCTTCTTCTTTTTTTTTCGCAGGTTCTTGAGCAACTTGTAAGAGGTTCTCGTTGAAAAAGATTAATCTCAATCTCATGGCTCTTCAGCCGCTTGACGACATCAAAGCCTTTATCTATAGAATCCCAAAAAAACTGTTGCTTACTTTTTTTCTTCTTCTTTTAGAAACAAAATCAAATGTTTTTGCTTTCTTCTTTTTTGGGACAAGACAGAGACTTTGCTCTGTTTGTCTTTTAACCTTTGCTCTGCTTTTACATGTTTAATTTTGCCATAGATGCCAAAAGTACTTTATCCCTTAAAGATGATTTATCTTCTCGTTAAGCAAGTATTTGCAACTATAACTCCAATCTTGTGCCAAATTTAAATCAAATTCAGATGACAAAAAAAGAAAGAAAAATAAACTCCAATCTTGTGTCAACTCAATAAATCGTCATTATGTAACGTGGGAATTGATAGTTTGGTAACGAATCAACGACATATTTAATTTAAGTTAACTTTTTATATGAATTTAACTGAATAAAGTGTTCACGTTTTATTAGTTAGTTTAATTTCGTACGGACATAAGTTTCTAAATGTGTCAGCCAAAGATCAAATTGTTTTCAGGATCAGACAGAGATCGAGTGCGGATTTTTCTCGGAGACATGTCTCTTCGTGCTTTCCTGCTCGGCGAGACATTGACCTAAACCCGCTTTATCGCCGACGACGATCCAGGACACACCAAATCACGTCAAGAGGGGAAAGAACCAAAATCAACATAATCATGTGGATTTCGAGGTTGAAGAGAGTTAGAAGAACGATTATGGTTCTAGGCGTTGCCAATTTCGTCGTGATTGTTTCCGGCTGCGTTCTTACTCTCGTTTCTGACTCAGGTTGCGACAGCGCCGGACAACTATTTCCCCTCTTCGCCGTTTGTTTCGCTGCCGGCGTCAAACTCGCCGCCATGGTTAAGGTCGGTACTACTCAAGAACTCATGGCTATGACCATTATGGATTCTCCTACTCAGAACAACCACCAAAGAAAGGTGCTTTTCTCTTTCTTTTCAATTTTTCACTATCTCTCAATTGTGAATTTCTTCTTTTAAAATCAAGTCTGATGAGATTATGCATTTCTCAGTTAGTTTAGTATGTCTTTTGTTATGATTCTCTTCTTATTTGGATATGCAGTTGAAGTATAAGACCTGGCTTTGGTGGACTCGGTTTGCAATGGTAATTACTGTATTGCAATTTATTGGTGCAACTTACCTTATGTTCCGTGTGGCCAAATATGTTTCCCGTGATGGATTGCCAAGGAATTGCGTTTTAGGTACACTACTAAGACTCAATGTACATTCATGTGCTTGTCTAAAGTCACATACTTGGCCAGTTATAATCTTGATATGTATATTTGATGGGGTTGAACATGGCTTATCTTTTTACATTCATGTAATTGTATCTATGCACTTTTTCTTGCTTAAGAATCTCTTTAGTAACTTCCTTGCTCAGGGTTATCTCCAGACACTCGTGGGTGGAAGCAAACGCTTCAGGTTACCTTCTTGATCACAGTTTGCTTTGTTGCGCTGGCACAATGCTTTACGGGATCAGATATATTGCAGTGGCGGTCTTTCTATGCAACCCAAGATGATGCCTGGAAAGCTCACTACCAGGAAGTATTTGACCATGGAATTCGTGAAGTTTTGTGCTGTCTTGGACGTCGTGAATATATGTAAGTTTTGTTTTCAGGATTTAATACTAAACTAATTAATACTCATTTGTCCTGATCCTGGAAGTTCATGTCTTGTTTATAGCAACTTTACTAGTTCAGACTCTTAGAAATTGATTGTCTGCTTCAGGGGTGTTATTGAGGAAGACGAAGTGTGTTCAGTTGCAAGACTATTAGGTGATCTTGTTTCATATCGTGCATCTGGCACTGGCCATTTGGAATTTTTGGCAGGTTAATATCTGAAACATAAATAAGCCTGACTGGTGTCGATGATGTTGTCTGCATGATCAACTGTTAGTATTTAAGAAGGGAAAATGTGGAGAGGTCTATCAGGCTTTGAATTTTCAGTTTTTCTAAGATTAGAGTACTGGGTGTGGAAATCAGTTTAATCATGTCGTGTCATAGTTGACAACATTTGAAGAGAGTTCTAGCTCTCTGAAACCTTGATCAACAATCGGCAACTAGATTTTGTGATACTGATCTCTAAAAATTGACAAGTCAAACCAGAGACTTCTCTTTTCTGTCCTTTAATATTTTTCTAGAGTCATGCTATTATGCATCGCGGATTACCTGAGTGATGAAGAGAGTTCCCTGAAGAAGTGCTTAAATTGACATGCTATCATGTACACTTTGTGCTGTGGTCTCTTGTTTCTACTCTTCTTGCTAAGTAATCTCAGTGTGTGAAACTTATCTAATCTTTGCTATTCAGGCCTTGCTCTGCTGCAGAATAATAGCCAGTTTCCTGAATCATATGAGGACTGTATGGAAGCTCCAGCATTTCATCTTCAGGAGGCTGCTATGTTGCATAAATTTGCAGAAGCTGCTTATACTGTATGTTTGAACAATACAGCCTCCAAAGCTTTTCTTTAAATGGTAGATATCTCTAACCTGCATGTGTGGCATTGTGCAGGGGCCGCTGCTTGATGTTGGGAGAAATCCTGCCTTATTTTTATGTACATGGATTTGTAGGCAAGGGATTTTAACACCTTGGAGCCGTAAATGGTATACTATCCCTGGTTAGCTCGTTTGAAGAAACTCAACTTGTTTCTTTGAAGTTTACTCTTTCCAGTTTCCATACTTTTCCCTTGTGTCTGATCTTGATACGGACAAATACATATTATATCAATGTAAGAAACTTCCGTCAATTATTTGCAGGCGGCCTAAACTTGATGGTGATAATTGGTGGCGAGGTCATGCAGCTGCCTTCCTTAAGTTTATAAATTTTCCTGCTCATGTTCTTCGACGAGGTCGAATTTGTAGGGTAAGTTTGTTCCCTTTAATCTTCTGTTCGAAAACCAAGAATGAAAATGGATTCATATGAATGTTGTGTCTCCATTATATAGACCAAAGCAACATGGCAGAAAGATCTTGTATGACTTGTTTCATTTGACAATAAATGTAAACGGATTCACAGTAAAAAGTTAGTTTTTTGTAGAAAACAAACTGTTATCGAAGTTGTTTGATATGTTTTTGTATTTATCCATCAGAATCTTTCTCATCTATACGTTTAATTATTCTGTTGTGGCAGGAGAAGTGTAAAGCAACATACTTTGTTGTAGTCTTACATTATCTTAGATGTGTTGTAATTGCTGTTCGGGGTACTGAGACGGCTGAAGACCTCATAACTGATGGTTTAGGCCGTGCGTGTTCACTAACTGTTGAGGACTTGGATGGACTAACAAAGTCAGTCTCTATCTCTTTCTTATACAAAAACAATATTTATGCTTGTTAGTTTGGTTTCACAAGTTATATTAGTTGATAGGTAAATCTAAAAATTATCTGCAGTTCACTTAGTTTATAACTCAAAACCGTGATATCTGATGTTTCAAGTCACGCATGCTCTCTCTTTTTTTTATCTGATTTATGTTGAGGTCTCACTACCCCGCCCGTCAGTTAATGATTCTCCTTTTTGCTGTTTCATGTGTTTTTCTGTCAGTCATGTACATGGTATAGATACATCTCGCAAACACTATGGGCATTCAGGAATAGTAGAGGCTGCAAGAGATCTATTTATGCAAATAGAAGGAGACCCCAAATTTGGAGGTACGAATTAAGCTATAACTGTCACTCGGTGTTGAACCTTTGCGATATGTGTTCATAAATTGCCACGATACAAGCTTCTCTACGCTAATATACATATGACTAAGCAGAGTCAGGATCAATTGGGTTCTTGTCCTCATTGATTGGTGATGGGTGTGAGTGTGATGGCTACAGCATTCGCATTGTTGGGCATTCTTTAGGAGGTGCTATTGCCTCATTACTGGGAATAAGAGTATGTTTTCTATTAATAAAAGGTTACATACCTTTCTTTTACATATCTTTCGTTCCTGAGTTTTCTTTTCTTTTTGTCGGTTAGCTTCGTTGCAGATTCCCTAACCTATATGTATATGCCTATGGACCTCTCCCAAGTGTAGATTCAGATGTGGCAGATGCATGTTCAGAATTTGTTACAAGGTAAATTTTTGAATCTGGCTGATTTTGATGGTTTAGATTACAAGTCACTAATTTTTTAGGCACTTGATGCAATTCTTAACAGCATTGTACTCGATAACGAATTCTCATCACGACTTTCATATGGATCAATCCGCCGGCTCCAAGTAGCAGCAATCAAAGTACTGTCTCAAGACCCAAAAGCTGATACAGCACTCATTTTCAGACTCGCACGCCGGTTTTTGTCTGCGAGCAAACGCCAACGAGAAAATATTGAAGAAAGAACTTCAGAAGAAGCAATGCCATCAATAATTGGTAACAACTTTAATCTCACTCTGATACTCAGTTCTTTTAGTTTTTCATCAAGAGAAATTACCTAATGAGAAATATTTGCTTCTTCTTGTTTTTCTTGGTAAGTTAACAATTCACCTGAAAGCCAACAAGATCAAATATACCCAATATGGGAAGAAGCTGAAGCAGAAATGCAGCAAGATGACGAAGAGTTCATAAACCCGTTTCACGGTATGGCCTCAGAGGATAATCCCGTGTCTCAGTTTATGGAAACAGGCCCAACAAGAGAAGACGATGATGAAGCTCCCGAGATGTTCATGCCAGGTTTAGTCATTCATATTGTACCCGAAGGAAACAATATGAGTGTGCCGATATGGCGAGGATGGCCAATCTGTGATGTGACTGATGGTTACAAAGCTTATGTTGCAAACAGAGAGAGCTTCAAAGAAATTATGGTTTCTCCATCAATGTTCCTTGATCATCTTCCTTGGAGGTATATCTCTAATCCACAACTTCAATTTTTTAAGTCAAACTCTCTGAATCTTAGCTACTGCATTTTTTTTTTTACTTCAGATGTAGACACGCGCTGCAGAAGGTTCTAGAATCTCGGAATCTCTTCTTCGATCTGACAAGTGAATCTGATTTAGTATGACACAAGACATGAACAGGTTTCTCTAAACTTCGATTGAACAACACAATGTGCATATATGTTCTTCCTATTGAAACATCAAACAACATAATGAATGAACTTTTCATCTATTTTCAAAATGAATTTAGTTATTATTTTTTCGTTTTTTTGATGGAGGCCACTAAGAATCTCTAGATGCTAGTAGAAGGAATCGACTCGAACCCTCTTGACGTGTTAGGACAAACTAGAGATATAGATTAGCATTGTCAGCTGGTCGTTATTATAGAATTGTTTTCAAATATACATTGTTTATTTTATACCAAGTTATAGCTTTATTTATTAGAATCAAACTCAGGAACCCTCACTGCAGCTTCCTTAGAGAGAAGACTCTGTCTCTCAATCTGTAAAAGTATGGAAAAGATGAATAAACCAAATTTGGCTGCAAACACTTGAATAAGTTATGCGAACAATAGAAGACAGGAGAAACCAAGAAAAAAAAAATACCCATAAGTTATAAGTTAAACCAACATTTGCCGCTAGAAGTAGAGCAACCCATTCACCATACGAAAGGCCTTGGAGAAAAACAACACCAAGGGCCATGTACTCTTCTTCTACTTCATATTCTTCTTCACGTCCTCCTCTTCTTGTGCTTGATACTTATAGTTTTCATCGAGAAAACCCCAGAATTCGAAAGATTAGAAATCTCAACGTTACAGGCCGTTGGTTGCGTCTTCACTCACCATGCTAGTAGCATTCTCGGGATAAGAATCAAGGGGAGCCTCAACCGCCTCGTCCTGTTCATAGGAATGCCAGCGCGGAAACTGCTTGAAAACCAAATGCACATCCAGTGGAAAAAGATGACATGGGGGTCAAAATTAGGTACAAGTGAGCTAAGAGCTTGTTTGAGTCAAAAAATAGTTGGACGATGACAAAACTTGGCTAGGGATGCTTAATTACCTGCCAAATATGTTCTGGAGTAGAGAGATGCGTGATAAAACTTTGAAAGCCTCAGCCAGCAAGTCCATAGCACACACACCGCAAACCCAGGATTGACCTGTTGTAGTTCACTTATTTTCGTCAAGTGGCCATGTATCTGTTAATCTGTGGAACAAAAAAAAGAAAAGAAATAGTAGCGAGTTCAGCAACAGAATTCATTCAACAAGACAGTGAGATGAGGAGAAAGAAACACACACCTGCCAGAAGAGAATAGGCTTCTTTGAGTGGAAAGGGGGAAATAGTGTTTTGTATCCTCTCTTACTTAGAGAGTCAAGAATCATAGCGGCCTCTGGTGGACGGGATATGACCATCAGATTACCTGGAGGTGGAAAATCGAAAACACGACACAAGGCAAGCCTTGCCACGTCTTTGGTACCTGTTTAAGAAACAACTAAAGACTTAAGAATCTCTAATCATCCCTCCTTACTCTAACAAGGGAATAAGGATGGAGAAGATACTAACCGTAGGGGGCGTTATAAAGAGAGATTCCCGAGGAAAGGAGCGCTTCAAGGATAGTAAGCCAACGGCAGTGATCATGTGATAGGAGGACTTTCAGAAAGATATATTTGTGTTGCGGGCAAATATATAACTTGTTTGCAATAATTCGATTAATTTTCTAAGAAGATAAGGATCGAAAATTTTACCTAAGAGTAAGCAGAGTCTCGATATCGACTACGGTTTTGAAATAACTGTTTGAGAGAAAATATAAAATACCAACGCTGCAATATATATATATAGGCTGGAGAATGGGCTTCTCTTTAATGGGCCTACAGTTTGTTACGAATCGGCCTTTCCCGTTTCTTTTACAGGCAAACTCTCTCAAACGGAATCTACTATAATACCCAATAAGCCAAAATATATATAGATATAGGTTTTATTATACTGGAAAATTTGTTACTTAATACCCAATAAGCCAATATATATATATATATATATATATATATATAGGTATGTTCGATTTATACTTCAAATATATTACTGCGTAAATTCATACTTCAACTAAACATAAATTCAAATTTGTGCAAACACATACATTAGTCGTCAACGGTGTTGAAATTCTATTAAACTTTTATGACTTGTATAAAACGACGTCGTTTCGTTTCAAACGCAAATTTGAAAACAAAACCAAATTACGTCATTTGGAGAGGTTTTTATTTATTTTTTTTTATCTTTTTAATCCAAAATGAAAGCCTCTTCTTTCAGCGTCTGCAATGTCTTCAAGTATACATTGTTTACTTTTGTAGCAAGTTATAGCTTTATTTAGAATCAAACTCAAGAAACCTCACTGCAGCTTCCTTAAGGAGAAGACTGGTCTCTCAATCTTTTAAAGCATAGAAAAGATGAATAAACCTCGAACCAAATTTGGCTGCAAACACTTGAATTAGTTATGCGAACAATAAAAGACAGGAGAAAAGCAAAAAGTAATATTCAAACAAAGGTTTTAGACTATTATAGGAATTCTTACTAATTTTTGTCAAAACTATCACATCGCAAAAATTACGTTCCAAGATTTTTTTTTTTTTTAAATCATGCAGTTTTATACTCTTATATATTTAAAAGTAACAAACGCAACACTATTTCTTTTGATAATTTACTTAAATTGTGATATTTAATTGTAAAAGTAGACAACAACAAAAAACGAAGCTAATAATATCTCAAGTTGCTTAGGATGCTCTTAAAAATCCACAGATTTTTAAATTGGGGAATCATTTGATAATTATTCCTTTGCATAATATTGAAAAGAAGAGAAGCTGAGTATTTGGACTCTATGTATGGACTCTATGGTCTATGGAGGCTCTTCTCCTTAATAACCGAAAGTTTTATTAGTTTTGAATTCCCTTTCCCAAAATTCGACATTCTTCCACTAAATTTGGTATTTGAAGATGGCTGGTCAAGTCTCACGAATGTTTCATTTTTGAAATTCAAATTAAGTACCGAAGTGATGCCTGGTGTCATGATCTAAAACGAGGATCACCAGCATTTTTTTAATAACATAATTCATAGCACTTGAAATTGAATATTTAAGGTTTTTAAAAATTTGATCATTTAGACCCGTTTGTCTAAAATTGCATGACATAAGTATGGACTGCTTCGGTTTTTACTTATCATTCTATAAATTTCTTTTAATTGTCAACAGTTCTTTATTTATACAAATTTTATATAGTTCGATGATTGGAGATGTGCCTTTAGTCAAGTGGTTAAGTCCACTTGATTCCGCTTTCTCCACCGGAGTTCGACTCCAGTAGGTCGCGTTATCCGGCCCGCGTAATAGATATTGACTATGGATCGGGCTTTATCGATCCAAAAATATCCAAAAAAAAATATATATATATAGTTCGATGACTTTGCAAATCGTTTAGACTATGCATATTCATTTACGATATCAGATCAGCTAGGTGAATGTTATTTCTGTAAGGTAAATTAGTAAACCCAAAAAGAAAAACACAACTAGTGAATAATTATATGCATATATAGGAATAAGTCAAATAAGGATCAAAGCAAAACTGGGAAGAAAAAAAATATCAGCTGTAGCTTTTCTGTCTCTGTGTCTCTCGCTCTGCTCTAAACATTTCCAAATTCTAAGTCAAACTCATTTTCTTGCCGCGTAAATTCTTCCTTCGTAATTCGTGCCAAACAAATAACACCTGTTTTTTTTTTTTTTCCTAAAATTTTCATTTGTTCTACTTTTGTTTTTGAGAAAAAGCCACTCTTCCAAAAAATTATGTAGACGGATATTTTTTTTTTTTTTTGTCATCTATGTAGACGGATATATGTAGAGATATATATAGTGCAAGACTTTTTCTTCTCTTTTCTACTAAAAATATATATATAAAAATGTCAACCTCATAGTGACAAAATATGTCAATCTCGCTTGGAGAATGTCAACATATGTCAGTTATACTATTGTGACATTAACATAATTAGAACTTTAGCTAAGGTGGTGGGTGAAGTCCTCGACTAATACCGTGGTCCGTACGTGTTTAACTTACTGTTTTTTTTTCCGTTGGATAATGGATTTTGCCATCAAGCTATGCTTTCACATGACACGCGTAAACATAAATTGTGTGGGTGGGTTACTTTGTGTTTAAACGTTACTCACTATAGAGAAAACCATAATTCTCTTCTTCTATAAACGTCACTCACTACAAGTCTATAAAGAAAAGGAATTACAAGTTTATATATGGGCCATTTACATATTTGAGTAGCCATATATAGATTACATTCCGTCGTTCAATAATAATAATAAAAAAAATTATGCATCAAATAAGTGGTTTCAAAGCTATTGCTAAATTTCTTTAATTGCCATCGATGTAAAATGTATGAAAGATTGGCCATGAACTTTACGTCATTTTCGTTATCAAAAAAAGAAAAAAAAGGTTTACGTCATTAATTCCTTAAAATTGTAATTAATTCCTTTTATGGCCAAATTGTAATTTTAGGCCATGACAAATATAATTGTAATTAGTTCCTATTAATTATGGCCGAACATACAAATGATCATGATACCTCTTGATTTTTAACAACTAGATTATTTACCCGCGCGTTGCGCGGGATTTTAGTTTAAAATGTTTATCAATGCGAATCTTTGAGTATAAATCTAATCATTTGAATTTTACGATCACACTCTTCACTACAATTTTGCTCATTATCTTATATGATTCACTCGTTGTTTCCCGGCATCTACTCTCTTTTCACCTTATATTGACTCACATATAATATACTTGATTGTGAATTAGTTCTCAAGATATATCGTATATCATTTCTCCTTCCTATCTTTGAATACTCAATTCTTTTTTTATAAGTTGCATATTTTTTTTGTTAAAGTGAACATCATAAAATTTGAAAAAATGTTTTGTCATAAGGTTTGTTTGATCATGTTTTGGTAAATGTAAAATTGTTTTGTATTCAACAAATCTCATATATAAACTCATTCTTATTCACAAACATCGGATTAAACGTCAAATTTTTTACTTTATCTTGACTCTGTTTAAAAAAAAAAAAAAAATTCTTTTTCACATATAATTTGACGTATAGTATGATTCTAGATAGTATTCTTAGTTTTGATTTTTCTAAATATGTAAATTACGATATCAAAAAGTTATTCTAATTTTAAAATACGTTTATTTATATTTAAAAACAAAATCATCTCTTCAATATACCATTATTATTCTAATTTCCAAATAGCATTCTCAAATATTATTACTATACACTTTTATTATTCGATTAGATTATTTTATTTTATGTGTGATGTTTAGGATAAGTTTTTTATTTATTTTAAACCACTTTAATTTTTTTCAACCTATGTTAGTTTCGTAAACACTGATTAATATTTAGTTTTTCTTCTTAGGTATTCATTTGTTTTTAAAAAAACCCACCACTTTTTAATATAGAAAATATTAGTAGTTATAGAGAATTTTTTTTAATTGAACTATTAATATTATATTATAATTAGAAGTAACAATAATATGTATTCAATCCCTCTTATTTTTAATCAGTATCATGAATTGATAATTTAACATTAATAAATATATTCTAAAATTTCAGAAGTGTATTTTTCAGAAATAAATTAATTTTGTTGTAAGTAAAATCCTTTAATTTTGATATTTTTTAACTCTTATTTTCTTTAGCCTACTAAATATTTGTAATTAGTAAAAATAATTGTTGTACCATAAAAATATATGATAAGTTTCTTTTTCCTATCTCTAACCATTTAAATATATTAGATATAATTATCTAATTTTATTTATATCCAATCTCTATTCAATTTTTTTTGTTATATATTTACTTTTACATTTTTTAAATATATATTTATTGTTTTTCTTTAATGAAACATAATAATAGAGAGTGTTTGAATTAATTTTATTTTCAATGTTTTGTTGTGATAAATAAGATATGTAGAATCTACATGAAAAAAAGTATGATGACATGGATGCTGATGTGGACACTATAAGAGGAGAGAAAACTCTCTCATTATATATATAGATTCACCAAAAACAAGAAAACTATAAATTTTGATTTTTTGTAAACCAATTGATGAGTTTTATTCAAATGTGAAAGTTAGAAATAAAATAAATAAAAAGTAAGTATATCTGATTTTTAAAAATGATGATACTTATTTACAACCAACCACTACGAATGAATAGTTTTTCTTTAGTAGCAACTAGCAACTAGCAAGCAACAAATTCTAAACTTGTGAAAAAGATCCCAAAATGAAAAAGTAAAAATGATAACTCACAGAACAACAGATAGCGTTAGAAATTTGACCTTTAGGAAACAACATCGAAAATGCCAGTGTACCTTTCTTTTGCCTTTTTATTCTTTTCTTTTTGTCAGCTTAACTCTTTTGCCCTTTAATCTCTTGCTTACATAAAATTTTGACCTTTTTTATACCACTTTTTTTTTTACATGTGTTGTTTTATTTGTAGTTTCAAAATAATGATTATTTCATCACTTATAAGCCATGGATCGATCTTCAATATTTACATTATATTCTACTATATATATATATATAAATAATATTTTTATCCTTTGGTTAATGTCGTAATTGTTTAATTTTTATCTGTTAATTTTACTTTCATTCATTTAAATTAATGTTTTAGTTTTCAATTAAAATACATTTCCCGTTTTCTCGAGTATGATTTACCTGGAGATTTATGAGCACTACCGCACAACACTGTTTAAGTTAAACCATAACCATTTCCCCTACTACAGTTCAGAATTTTTATTTTTATTTTCGTGGAGAAGACTGTAGAAACATTGTACACCTCAGCGGCATTTTTGAATTTAATCAAACTATGGAAAGACTCTAACAAAAACTTACCATAATCAATTTTAACTGAAAATAATATTATCAATCCTGATTTCAAAGGTGCAGATTTATTTTCAATTTTCATATCTATTATATAAATTTTATAGTTGCATATCGATGACCACAACTACCCTATAAATCTTCCCAAATCTTAATCGAATACCTTAGCTAAAATTATTGTTAATATTTTTCTTTTTGTCTTTATACCGAGTATAGTAAAGTATAGAAGAGAAGCATGAGGAGTGAACAGAAATCATAAGATTAATACAAAAAATTGTTTAATTATTAGAACCGACCACATAAAATATTAATACTTGTCTCCCAGCAAATGAAAACTAGTACTAACAATAACTTTTGAATATTTTTAAATTCTCAGTCAATACTCGCCGAACATATTGTAGCATTTTCTCTCTCTGTGTTCTCCATTCACATTTTCACTCTATAAATATGCATCTCACTCGTTGTCTCTCTTTATACTTCAACCAATTAACTGTTCTCTATCTCTTTCTTTCTCTCTCTACACTGCCGTCCAATAATGGCGGCCAAAGTCTTCACTCAAAACCCTATATGTTCTCCATCTCTAATTAGAGACAAAACTCCTCAACAAAAACACAATCTTGGCCATTTCTCTCTCTCCAAGAACACCTCTAAAAGACTCGTTGTCTCTTCTTCTATAATGTCCCCTCCGATTCCATCTTCTCCGCTCGCTCTCCCTTCTTCTTCTTCTTCTTCTTCTTCCTTTTCTTCTTCTCAGGTCTTTCCTCCTTCAAGAGCACCTGCAGCAACTCTACCGTTGTCTCGGATTTGGAGAGAGATACAAGGAAGCAATAACTGGGAAAATCTTATTGACCCTTTAAGCCCTATTCTCCAACAAGAGATTACTCGCTACGGGAACTTACTCTCCGCTTCTTACAAAGGGTTTGATCTAAACCCTGACTCCAAACGTTACTTGAACTGCAAGTATGGAAAAAAGAACTTGCTTAAAGAATCCGGAATCCATGACCCTGATGGCTACCAACTCACCAAGTATATCTACGCCACTCCAGACGTCAACCTCAACCCTATCAAGAATGAGCCTAACCGTGCTCGTTGGATTGGTTATGTAGCGGTTTCTTCTGATGAATCAGTGAAACGTTTGGGGAGGAGGGATATTGTGGTGACGTTTCGTGGCACTGTGACCAACCATGAGTGGTTAGCTAACCTAAAGAGCTCTTTGACTCCGGCTCGTCTTGATCCTCATAACCCTCGTCCTGATGTCAAGGTCGAATCCGGGTTCTTAGGTTTATACACATCCGGTGAGAGCGAGAGCAAATTCGGGCTAGAAAGCTGCCGTGAGCAGCTTCTCTCCGAGATCTCGAGGCTTATGAACAAGCACAAAGGCGAGGAAATGAGCATCACGCTTGCGGGACATAGTATGGGGAGTTCGCTAGCTCACCTTCTAGCTTACGACATAGCAGAACTCGGTATGAACCAGAGAAGTGATGAAAAAGCTGTTCCGGTGACCGTGTTTTCGTTTGCGGGTCCTAGGGTTGGTAACTTGGGGTTCAAAAAACGGTGTGAGGAGCTAGGAGTTAAAGTCTTGAGGATCACGAATATAAACGATCCGATCACCAAACTTCCCGGTTTCTTGTTCAACGAGAATTTCAGATCTTTAGGTGGTGTTTACGAACTTCCTTGGAGCTGTTCTTGCTACACTCACGTGGGAGTCGAACTCACCCTCGATTTCTTCGATGTTCAAAACATTTCTTGTGTCCATGACCTCGAGACTTACATCAATTTAGTTAACCGTCCGAGATGCTCGAGATCGGCAGTTAATGAGGACAATTTTGGCGGCGATTTTTTGAACAGAACAAGTGAGATGATGTTCGGTAAGGGACGACGTCGAGCGTTGCATTTAACAAACGCAGCGACCAATGCGGCATATCTACTTTGTTCTATATCCAACCATATGTTGTATTATAATATCTTTTAGGTCTAGATTGATCCAAGCTACAAATTTTGATCTTTTTTAAGACAGGACAAAATAATTGTTGCCCTATCTTTTACCTAGCAAGTACATATATAGATGTGTATATGCAAAACCTAATATATTTTCGTGTATATGTATTCAAGATGGTTTGCAACTATTTTCAAGATCTTTTTTATCTGGTTTTATGTAAATATCATCAATTAACGAAACACTTTATTAAAAAAAACATATTTTCAAGATCCAAGATTATTTATTGCATCAGATCTCTCAGCTATCACAATGTGTGAACAATTTTTTTGTTTTCTTTATGTTATGTCCTCTTTTTACTTTGTTCTGTTTTTTGCGTTATCACTCGATCGAATTGACCAATTATATAAAGTATGATTTTACTCTCTAAATCATAAGACATATTTATGATTTTCCAACTTATTGCAAGAATTGCACTGTGGTTTATACTAGTTTTATCGCTTAGTTTACCATCCGCTAGCTTCAAACATGTACATATATCGCATGTTGTTAATAAATAAGTTAACTATATTGTCTTGTATACTAAAACTGTTTCTCTGGCAAAACTACTATATATATAATTTCTTGATTTGTTATTAAGAAATTGTCTTGTATACTAAAACTATCTCTTGCAAAAATATTATACAATATATAATATTTTCTACAGGTTAAAGCTCTCAACAATTGATGAAGTAAAAGAACTCAAGATTGTGAAGGAAAAAAAGGGACATCCAATATCAGGCGTGTGTACATATTAGCATTATCACTTATAAAAGTAGACAGATGTATTATTTTGTTATGACTTATGATTATAGTAGAAGTGACGAGAGCAACGAAAGTACTAGACAAAGCCATTTGTCAAAACTTCAACATCATCGTTGTAAGATAAAAATGGCCAATAAGAAATCATTTGTCAAAATTTCAACATATATTTTGATATTTTCTAAATGATCAAAGTCATACATAAATTTATTTATATGCTCAAATTTAATCATCGAATACATACCATATAAAATATGTTTACTGTATCTATTTGTCAATGATAGCAATGGGTCTTATATACTTTTTTTTGGAGCCTTATATAAACGCAAAAAAAAAAAACTACTATATTTCCCATTTTGTATGCTAAGTGTGTCACTTCTCGTGTTGTGCGAGGGTCTTTTTTTTCATTTTCTTATTTGGAAGCTTTCATCTATATATATATGCACTACCTTATTCTATAACATAAAAACAAAAAAAAATAGGTTATACTATATACATATTTCCTGGTTAAAGAGTAATTTAATACCTGTCTTTGTATGTGTAAGAATATAATTTATACGAATTTGATTTATACTGGCATTAAGAAACTGGACGTTAATGTCAAAAAAAAAATGGACGTTAATTACGCTTACAGTTATCTTGACTTATGTGGAGAACACAAATGAATTTTCAATGTTGAAAAATGTGTGAAATTTTTTAAATTTCACAAATCATATGAAAATTTCTTTAAAATCTGGATTTTATTTTTAAATGTCTAATACTTTTGACTGAAAAATTGGATAAACAGCATCCACCACATTACTTTTGCCGCAGAAAAAAAAAAAAACACAATTTTTTCTGTGAAGGTAAATTAATTAAAGGGAAATTGTTAAAAATGCCTCTTTTGGTGTGCCCCTTTTCAAAAATGCCCCTTTTAGATGTCCATTTTCAAAAATGCCCTTTTTTAAATCTAAAATTTTTATAAAGTTTTATTAGGTTGATAAGGTACTTATGGATTGTAACTACTACTTGAAGACTCGATCCAAGTATTTATAATGTTTTATAAGGTGTTTTTAAAGGTTTTACAAGTTATTTTAAAGGATTTTTAAGGTTTTTCAAAGGTTTTACAAAATATTTTAAAGGTATTTAAAATGTATTTATAAGATATTTAGAAAGTATTTATAAGATTTTAGATATGTTTTAATAATATTACATACATATTTGGGTAAATCTTATATTTTTAAAAACATTTTTTATAAGGTTTTAAAGAAGGGGCATTTTTGAAAAGTGGCATTGAAAAAAGGGCATTTTTGAAAAGTGGCATTGAAAAAGGGGCATTTTTGCAAAAGCCCCATTAATTAAAAGTAAGTCAAATAAAATAAGTTTCTATAAAACTGAGTACATCCATATAAGTTTATTAAAAACTCAGCGGAATTGATTATTGCTAGAATTATTGAAAGTGAAAAAACCAATTTTCTAGAATTTTTGAAAATGAAATTAATAATACGAAAACATGCTAATTGGACAACCAATTATGGAGTTATTTTTTAATTAATGTTTGGTTGAAAATATATATATATGAAAACATGCTATGTGAACAAAGTTTTCAAATGAAGGAGATATGCTGATCCAAATTATTTTCATTTGACAAATACACAAAAGACTTCTTGAACAGGGGGAAAACTAAGAATTGTGTTTGTAAATGGATAGAAAGAAGGAAATAGTAAAAGTGAAAGAGAACGGGGTTTGAAAGAAAACTGAGAAATCCATGCAATGGGGACCTTGATCTTTGGTTTGGTGAATTGGTGGTATATAATTAATATGTTCGAAATAGCTAATTATTTTGTACAATGTTTGTTTTTTTTTCTAAAGTACAATCTTCCATTTTTGTTGTATTTTGCGTGTGCACTGACGTCTTATCATTTATCGACGTCACATCTGGACAATGATAATTGTCAGATTAACTAATTTGATGTTCCCTATATCATCTTTTTTGTTTATTTTTGCAATTAAGCAATAAAGTTGGATTTTATCGAGTCATATGATTTTTTACCCAGTCATATCATTTTTACGGAGTGAAATGGAAAATATTTTTCTATTCCTTCAATTTCAGTATTTTATTCAAGAACATTACTACTTCCACAAAATAATGTATATTGTTTTCGGTTAAGTTTAATTTGGTTACAGATTACATCATTCAACATTAAAAAACATGCCAATGATAGATAAAGACATATATTAGAGGAGTTATTAATTCAATTTCAATTTCGATATAGCTTACGAATCACATGGGGTCAATAACGGTGGGGCTAGAAAAACACGTACGTTGGGAGACCAATGTGTACCATTCCTGCATGCGCATCAGATGTGTTTATATTAATTTCACTCTTCAAAAAAACGTTTTGCATGTCAAAGTCGTAATTAATAGAGATCTTTGATCTATAAGATATCGCTATCATAATTGCCCTATCTGTGGGTACGCCAACTAAGGAGAATATACTAGGTTGGCATTTTATAAGATCCGAAAAATATATAGTCAAATCGGGATATCATACCGCACGGTTAGGAAATTTGGAGACAAATCTCTCATTGATTGGTCCAGACATAAAACCGTTAAAAGCACATTCTTGGAAAGTGCATTGTCCACCTAAGATACGTCATTTTTTATGGCAAATTTTAACGGGTTGTGTACCAGTTACGGAAAATTTACGGAAAAGAGGAATTGATTGTGATACAGGTTGTGCTAGATGTGGTGAACCAGTGGAAACAATCAATCATACAATCTTCCAGTGTCACCCGACACGACAGGTTTGGGCCCTCTCTCAGATTCCTACATCAATGGGAATTTTTCCAACGGAGTCTATTTTTGCGAATTTGGACCATTTATTTTGGAGAATACCTTCGGAATTTGACTCTTCAGCCTTTCCATGGATTATCTGGTATATATGGAAAGCAAGGAATGAAAAAATATTTGAAAATATTGATAAAGATCCATTAGAGGTATTACGGTTAGCGGAAAAAGAAGCACAATTGTGGCAGTCTGCCCAAAATGAGTTTCATCATGAAACTCATGGTACTGTAGAATTGGTTAATCGGTCTCGAGTGGGGAATACTTTCACTTGACTCAATTTATTCAGGATACCGTTGCTTTTTGGATGGATCGTGGAAAGAAAGTGAAAAGTTCTCCGATACAGGATGGTTCTGTACATCATCAAACGGAGAGCCGCCAACTGTGGGAGCTGCAAATCTCCGTCGAAGTTTATCTCCATTACATACCGAGTTCGAGTTCGAGGCCCTTCTCTGGGCGATGAAGTGTATAAATAGGTGCAGATAATCAAGAGGTTGAGTTCCTTACAGACTGTTCTGATCTGGTTAAGATGGTGTCTTTTCCAACCGAATGGCCGGCGTTTTCAGTGTACTTAGAGGAATTTCAGAGCGACAAGGAAGAATTTTCATCCTTCTCTTTATCTTTAATTTCTCGCAATGCTAATGTAAAAGCGGATCATCTAGCACGGAAAATTCGTACAGAACCGTTTCATATCACATTTGTAAACAACATTCCACATGAGTGGCTTTTTTGAGCTCTAATTAATTTCAGATGACAAAAAAAAAAGTCGTAACTAATAATCCGTACGCATCTTAATTACGACTCCATTTTATACTGTAACACACTAATTCAGGGATATGTATAATTCAGACAAGACGAGATATCGTTTCATTTACTTCTTTCCTTTTATGGAAGGATATTGTGAACATAACAGGTACGGTGAAGGAAGAAACGTCCATCTTTGTGGGCTCTAAATTTTTAAAATAATTACAACAATATCAATTGTTTGGGTAAAAAATTAACCGAATTATTTTGTATTACTACCGGAAAAAGGTTTGCGTTAAAATGTATGTATTCATGAACCATGATATAAGCATTTACTTTTGTTAATTTTACAATTAAGCAATTAAGTTGGATTTTATCGAATCATTTAATTTTTTAACTTTAAAAAAAAAAGAGAGACATTTCTATGATCTTGCAATCTTTAAATTAACACCATTACCGTAAAAATGTGAGTACAGTAGACAAAAATAATTGCATTCCACTGAAAAACTGAACATCTTGGGAATCTTAAAGTGCATCAAAGAGTCGCAAATATCATATACTGTATTTTTTATCAAACCCAGCCCAAATATTCGTCTTGTGGCCCAAAGCCCAAAGGCTAAGCTGACTATGTGTATTATCTTTCGGAAGATCACGTGAGGCACATGTGACATCCAACGAATAAGCCAATCGCTGAAAAGTGAAGACTTTCTAAGGGCTTGATTGGTTCTCCCGCTAGCACCCTCCTAGCGGTTGCTAGCGGTCGGTTGCGGTTGTTAGCGGTTGGTGCCAATCATAGAAACCGCTCCATACCGCTTCAAAACGCTCGAAATCGCTGAATTTCAAAAGCTCCTTCCCGCAAGCGTTTGCGGTTGCGGACGGTAGCGGTTGGATTTTAAAAAAAAAAAAAAAAAAAAAAAAAAACAAACAAAACGTAAGTATCATATATCATTTTATTCATTCATCACCTCATGTGTAACTCTTTGAATATTTTTCTTAGCATCTTTTTTTTCTTTTCATTATGTATTGCTTTGCTTTTTGATTGAATATATGTTTCGATTTATTTTCTCGAATAGAAAATCACTTGCTTTTTGATTGAATTCAACGTTATTTACAGTTTACCTCATTACTTGATACAATTTTTGGTGTTAACCCAGTATAAAATACTATCTTATTACAAAATTTCTTTATTTTTGAATAACTATTTAGTACTTTATTTATGGTTTTAATTATTAAGCATGTTTAATTTTTCTAATATTATCATAATAATATATTAGTATTTTTATTTCTTTTTTTGTAATATTTTTTATTTTTTTGGTCATTTTTTTATTTAACTGCTACCGCAACCGCTGATTTACCAGTCATAAAACTCCCGCAAACGCATCCATTTTCAAACGCTAAACCAGTCGTTCAAAACGCTTGGTAACGCTTAAAACCGCAACCGCCCGCTTCCGCAAACTCCCGCAACCGTAACCGCAACCGCTGCGTTTAAACCAGTCAGACCCTAATTATCCCATAAACAAAAGCATCATCTCTCTCTCTCTCTCATCTTTTATTTTCTTTTCGAAACCAAACTTTGCAAATCTCTCTCTCTCTATCTCTCTCCATTTGGCGATAGAAGAAGTCATGTACCAATCATCATCCTCCACGTCATCATCATCGCAGAGATCATCGCTTCCCGGCGGCGGAGGACTGATCCGTTACGGCTCAGCTCCGGGATCGTTTCTAAACGCTGTGGTTGACGAAGTCATCGGAGGAGGGTCATCGAACGCTCGTGACTTCACCGGTTATCAACCGTCGTCGGATAACTTCATCGGTAATTTCTTCACCGGCGCTGACTCATCCTCGCTGAGATCCGATTCGACGACTTGTGGAGTCAACTCATCTGACGGACAGAAACAGCTAGGCAATAATAATAATAATAAAGATATCTTCCTGGACAGAACCTACGGTGGATACAACGAGATCTCGCAACAACACAAGAGCAACGACATCGGAGGAAATAGCTCAGGATCTTCTTACTCTCTCGCTAGACAACGTAGCTCTCCCGCCGATTTCTTCACCTACCTCTCCGCAGATAAAAACAGTTAGTTTTTTACTTTTTAACTCAAGATTATTACTATTTGTGATGAGATATATTTAGACAGACACGTTTACTCAATTTCAGACTTAGAATTTACCAAAAATCGTAATGTAGAATATGAGATATAGTTTTAGTTATTCAATCATTCATTCATTGCTGAACTAAAGATCCATTTTTTTGGTGAAATGAAATCTAATCACGAGGCTAGCTGGGGGTATCTTCGGCATCTCTTACTATGAGTTACTGTATGTAGTTTTTGTAAGTTAATTAATGACTATATATATATAAAATAAGTTGACATTTGATATTTAGGGTCGTTGCTAAATTAGCTTTGGTTGGTACTTGTGCAAGACGTGATCCTCGTATTTTCGAAATGACGAAAACACCCTTTTATCCCTAACCACGTGCTTGAAAATACAGCAAATTGTGGTGGCTCGGTTACCCTTAATTTGGGATATTATTTAAATCTTCGAGGAATCCTATAACTCAAGTTGCATTTTTTTATTAAGGGGATGGGATTTTTTAGTTCGTAACCAATAGTTTCTCTGCTGACATGGCGGATATCGATTGGTTGTTTAGAAGATTATTCAAATAGAAAGCGATAGATCTAGTTGGTGGATCTGTACCTTTTTAATTTTTTTTTTTTCCTTTGGTCCTGATGATTCGTGCTTTGCTTCGTTGTTATCTAATAATAATATCTTCCACCAAGCCTGGATGTGACTTCCACCGAACCGGCCACCGGCCTGAACCGGAACTCAACTAACCATATATCCACAAAATTACTTTTTATTCAATTACACTAATATTTAAAGTGAATGTGAATTCCTTTTTCTGGTAAATTTTTTTTTCCCTTTTTTCGACGAGAAATTCTTTTTTTTCAAAATTACACTAATGGTGTCACAAATCGTCGGAAAAAAAAAAGTGAATTCTGTTTCCAAAATTTTCACGTAATGTCATTACAATTTATAGTTTACTTTGTAAATCAGATTTCTCGTTGAACCAACCAACCAGTGATTATAATCCGCAAGGGGGGTCTAATGCGGGACGAGGACATTCGAGACTGAAGTCTCAGCTAAGCTTCACGAATCACGATTCTCTGGCTCGGATCAACGAGGTCAATGAGACCCCTGTCCACGACGGTTCAGACCATTCGTTTTCTGCCGCTAGCTTTGGTGCTGCAGCAACTGATTCTTGGGATGACGGTTCCGGTTCAATAGGGTTTACCGTGACTCGACCCAATAAACGATCCAAGGACATGGACTCTGGTCTCTTTTCACAGGTACCTTTTGTTTCCATGTGTGATTTGAATTTTTTTTTCTTTTCCATGTGTTAGTAGTTTACTCTAAGCATGCTGCTTTAGTCAAACCACATGAAATTTCAAAATTTCCCTAAAAGGACAACAATATGTAAAATATTTTGTTTTAAGATAGACAAATAAAATTTTAACTACTTAATGGCCATATATATTGTTGGTGGGCTCAAATTGGCCAACTCTTACCGAATCTTTTTATCACTGATTTTGCAGTATAGTCTTCCTTCGGACGCTTCAATGAACTACATGGATAATTTCATGCAGCTTCCAGAAGATTCTGTACCCTGCAAAATCCGGGCCAAACGCGGCTGCGCCACCCATCCTAGAAGCATCGCTGAGCGGGTCAGTTAAAAACACTTTATAATTTATTTAGCGATGTATAATTTATTCACTAAATTTAGCTACAAATTCGTCGCTAATCATGTAGAATTCTTTTCTTTTTGCCATCCTATCCTAACATGCATACACAATATGTATATAGGAGAGGAGAACGAGAATAAGCGGGAAGCTAAAGAAGCTACAAGATCTTGTCCCCAACATGGATAAGGTTACTTTAATTCATATCATATTTTATATATATATGGTAACATTATTTTGAAAATGTTTATTTACTAATACAGTATTACTTGTTGCTGATTTTCTTAGCAAACAAGCTATTCAGACATGCTGGATTTAGCTGTACAACACATCAAAGGCCTTCAACATCAACTTCAGGTTCACTACAAAACTATTAATTATCTTACTTTTTCTGTTTAGGTCAGCTGAATCCATTTTCAGAGTTCTCTCTATTTCATGACCAGTATAGATATATTAACACATTTTTTTTTTTTTTTTGGTAAAAGATATATTAACACATTTTCATATACAAACGCAGAATTTGAAAAAAGATCAAGAGAATTGCACGTGTGGATGCAGTGAGAGACCAAGCTAGCTAGCTCAAACCCTAACGGTAGGGATCATCCTAATTTGATTTGCGTTGTCCCGATTTCATCATATGAGAGAATTAGAGAAGATGTAAATAAATAGATTATATTACATGTTTATTCCTCTTATAATTAAGCTTCTCATTCGTTATCGTTATAAAATAGAACAGTGACAATTGTCCATTATGTTTTTGTTTCAATTAGTTTTATATTCTGAGTGTTTCTTATTTTGTAAGGATTATGCTATGAATTCTGAAACTAATTCGAGTTATGACTTATGAGTAAAGCACACTAGCATCCATTATATAATTTTCTAATTCTTTAGAAACATGCAAACAGATAGAAAAATATATGAACCGGAATACTAGTTTAGTAGCATTAACTTTCCTATTATTAACAAAACTAACTAGCGTGTATGCACGTTGCGAAGAAAGATTAATTCAAAATTAAAGATGAAATTTCTTTAATTAATTATATGCTCTATACTTAAAATTCTCTTGGCTGCTCGTATTTAGTTTGTAAATTACGTGAAACGTCAAGGTATTCATGATTTAGTTGAATTATCTGGCTTTCTAAGTTGTAAGCGAATTTGTGGATCCAAGACTTGGCGTCAGTTAGGACAAAACCGAAAGCTGAAAAATATATCTCCTTCCTACGTTACCAAGAGAAGGCCACCAACGTGGACGTGGTGTATTAAAAAAAAAAACAAAAAAAAGGGAAAAGTCGTAAATTAAAAAATAATTAGGATTAGTAGATAATTAAAACTGATAGTATTTGGGAAAGAAAAGGGAACGATATTAAAGAGGGGCACTTAATGCGCAGTATGTCCGTCCTCTTGTGCCAGCTTGTTGCACCGTCTCCTCTCTTTCTCTCTCTCGAAACCGTAATAGAGAGAGCAGAAGAAGAAGAAGAAGAAGAAGAAGGAAGATAACGATGTCTTCGGACGACGAAGGAAGAGAGGAGTATCTCTTCAAGATAGTTGTCATCGGCGACTCTGCGGTCGGTAAATCAAATCTTCTGTCTCGTTACGCTCGTAACGAGTTCAGTGCGAATTCCAAGGCGACGATCGGAGTCGAGTTTCAGACGCAGAGTATGGCGATTGAAGGTAAAGAGGTTAAGGCTCAGATTTGGGACACTGCTGGTCAAGAGCGGTTTCGTGCCGTCACTTCCGCTTACTACCGTGGCGCTGTCGGTGCGCTCGTCGTCTACGACATTACCCGCCGCACCACTTTCGAAAGCGTTGGACGTTGGCTCGATGAACTTAAGAGTAAGTCTCCATTAATGGGATGTGAATTATGCGATTGACTATTATTTGGGGATTCTCATGATCTAATTAGGTCGTACGGATTTGACTTAGAATTGGGAATTTTGAATCTAATTTTGGTAGACTTCTGGAATTTGTGACCTAGCTCGATTTTTTTGAGGGTTCGAATCTACTAGAACAGAACAGAGGATTATTGAAGAACCGCTTTAGATTCATACTACTAGACTTCTTTTTGCATATCTTCAACCTTGTGTCTTGTATGTAAAACTGTTGAAAGTTTCGGCATTTGTTTTGAGATCTAAGACTGATTCATTTGCTCTCTTTGTTTTTGTTCCAGTACATTCGGATACAACGGTGGCGAGAATGCTGGTGGGGAACAAGTGTGATCTAGAAAACATAAGAGCAGTGAGCGTGGACGAAGGAAAGGCCCTAGCAGAAGCCGAGGGGCTCTTCTTTGTGGAAACATCGGCTCTTGATTCCACCAATGTTAAAACAGCTTTCGAAATGGTGATACTTGACATCTACAATAACGTGAGCCGTAAGCAACTCAACTCAGACACTTATAAAGATAAACTCACCGTGAACCGGGTAAGTCTTGTTAAGGATGATAACTCTGCCTCCAAACAAAGCTCTGGTTTCTCTTGTTGTTCTTCCACTTGATAATACCACCCAATATTATCTTTTTTGTTTCTTAATTTTATTTCCCTTTTCTTTCTCATTGTAACTTTATTGTTTTTTTCCTTTGTCTCATAGAAGAAAAAGAAGAGAAATTCATGAACTGTAATTTATTTGTCACATTATAAGTTTGGCAAACATTGAAAGGATCTATTCATTCTACTTCGTTTATTTCCTATTTTAAATAAACGAAAGGAAACTAAATTTGATTGGTTGGTTTTGTGATTATTTGGGAAAAGCGAGGGAAAATAAATCCAAATAGAAAAAGAAAAAAAAAAAAAAGATGGCCTTTCACCGAGTTTTCTCTGGTTTTTGTACAACGAAGATGAACGAAGAATAATCTATTCTTTCCCTTTTATTCCTTTTTTTTTTTTTTTTTCCCACAATTCTTCAAATTTTGTTCTCTATCCATTTCTCACGGTAGCGATGTCATTACCTCCGTTTAGCTGCCGCTTTCTCGCGGCGGCCGTGACCCTCTATCTGATAGGTCTGTTGTGCGTTGGGGCTGACACGAAAGATGTTACCGTTCCCAACATTCCAGGTTGCTCCAATGAATTTCAAATGGTAACAGATTTCCCCAATTCGAATTTATGGAATTTAACTTCTAATTTCTTACGAAGATTTGGTTAAGTGTTTGTTCATCAATAAACCGGAATCGTTGTCTTGCGGAACCGTACGTATATCTCATTGATTGAATTGAATCGTCTTCGATATTGCATTCAAATGCAGCTTTTGTTTTCAGCGTCTGCTGTTAAATTTCAATAGGTTAGGTTAATAAATCCTTTATTGAAATCTATCTATGAGATTTCAACTGAGATTGGTGATGTGGATGGTAGTTGTTCATGGATTTTGATATAAATTGATTACTATGATATAAATGTTGGAACTCAATTTTTACACCAGTGGCTCCGGCCAACTTTCCGGCGAACTTTGCCGTTGAAGTCCGTCACCGGAATGACCCGGATAGTGGAATATTTGGATTCCTTGTAATGAGCGTTTGGATTACGGAAAGAGATATCATATCTCGCCTTCATGCGTTTTCTTAAATCATCTTTCCAAATCGTTTTCTAAAAGTTCTTTCTCTGTCCAGGTCAAAGTCGAGAATTGGGTCAATGGAGAAAACGGTGAGACTTTTACAGCCATGACTGCACAGTTTGGCACCATGCTCCCGTCTGATAAAGACAAAGCTGTTAAACTTCCGGTTGCTCTTACCACTCCTTTGGACAGTTGCTCCAATTTGACTTCAAAGGTCTTCCTTTTATTCTCCACCTTATATTGTACAGTCCTAGCTAGGACTCATACACGACTGTTGTGAAGATGAGTTTTTTGTTGTTGTGATGTTTTCTTTTTGCAGCTATCTGGTTCTATAGCGTTATCTCTACGTGGCGAATGTGCTTTCACAGCTAAGGCTGAAGTTGCACAGGCAGGAGGAGCTGCAGCTTTGGTGTTAATAAACGACAAAGAAGGTTTAGATTTTGTGTTTAATCCCCGAACTGTTTTCTCATGTTGCTATTTCTTACTTTGCGGTTCTTGTTTCGATGAGCCACTCACATCTGTTTCCCTATCTTTGCTTTTTTTTAAGAGCTTGATGAGATGGTTTGTGGTGAGAAAGACACCTCCTTAAATATTTCTATACCTATTTTGATGATTACAACATCATCTGGAGATGCCCTGAAGAAATCCATTATGCAAAATAAGAAAGGTAAGGTCTAAGCCTTTCATATTTGTTGCGCCTATATGATCCTCATAGCTTTTCTAGTCCTATTCACTCAAACTGCCGTGTTGCAATTCTCAGTCTCAAATTTTCTATTATACTCTATCTGTTTCTTTTGATGCCTATGTTGTTTCCTCTGTGTTTTCTTCTGATGCAGTGGAGCTTTTATTGTATGCTCCAAAGAGCCCAATTTTGGATTATGCAGTGGTCTTCCTCTGGCTAATGTCTGTTGGAACAGTTTTCGTTGCTTCTGTTTGGTCACATTTTACCAGTCCGAAGAAGAATGATGAGCAGTACGATGAATTATCACCCAAGGTTTATTATACTCTGCTTTTGGGGGGTTCTACTGAAACTTTGTTTTTGGAACTGAGTTCTACCGAAAATAAACTTCACTTTAACATCTGAGCATAGAAGAAATCATGAAAGTATAACTTTATTAGAAGTGACAACAAGATAAAATAGTCTAATTAGCTCGTTCTGCCTCTAATATATCTGCCTCTTCTATTGATCCACTGTCTGAGTTATACACTAATTCTTGTTCTTTTTTATATTTTCTGAAAATTTTGGCAGAAATCTTCAAATGATGACGCTACCAAAGGTGGTGCTGAAGAGGAAACTCTTGATATCAGTGCTATGGGTGCTGTTATCTTTGTCATATCAGCGTCCACATTCCTCGTTTTGCTCTTCTTCTTCATGTCATCGTGGTTTATCTTGATCCTGACCATATTTTTTTGCATTGGTGGTATGCAGGTAATTGTGGCTAATCTTGAGCATATCCTTAGTTTCATGATTCAATAGCTAGAATTATGATCAATGTTTGGTAACAAGTTGATGGTTAACTTTCTTTAGCATTGTTTACCTGGTAAAAATACAAAACATGATGAACTCTTTATGTGGAATGAAACAGAGGCTTGCTAAGCTAAGCATTGTTTTATGTCAATATCATAATTATCAATATATTTTTCTATCTCAGGGAATGCATAATATTATCACTACACTCATAACAAGGTACTCTCAGAAACCCGATTAAGTTGTTGAACCATGAAAGAGCTCTATTCCAGCTAGTTAAAAGCATCATGTGATGCTTTCGCTTTATTCATGTTTTTATTTCTGCAGGAGATGCAATAAATGTGGCCAGAAAAATGTAAAACTCCCTCTGCTTGGGAATACCTCAATTCTCTCACTCGTGGTTCTGTTATTCTGCTTTGTGGTTGCTATCCTCTGGTTTATGAAGCGCAAAACTTCGTATGCATGGGCCGGCCAAGATATTTTTGTAAGTCCTTTTTAGCCTGGTAATTTTACAGTTGTCTAAAGCCAAATTATCCCTATGTATTTTGTTTCTTCTTTGATTTTTTTCCGTATGTCTAAACACAACTATTGGCTTGACGTACTCAACATTTACTTTCACTTCTTGTTCAAATCCAACTCAAGGTTCTGTTTTGTTTTCGACATTTATCGGTTGACCACTGTAGCTATTAGCTTAGCATGCTTTTGGTTCAGTATTGTCCTTAGTTGGCTTTCTAAGGTTGACGTGTCATGTGACAGGGTATTTGCATGATGATTAATGTCTTGCAAGTGGCTCGGCTACCTAATATCAGGGTAAATTTTCTGTATGTATTTTCCAACTAATATTCTTTTGTAATCCCTTTGTATGTGTTCTAATGGGTGTCTCACACTTAGGTTGCTACCATTCTTCTCTGTTGTGCATTCTTCTATGACATCTTTTGGGTATTCCTATCACCACTAATCTTCAAGCAAAGTGTAATGATTGCGGTGAGTTTATTTTCCATCAATTTCCAAACTGTATCTCACACCTTAACATTTAGTTCTGTATCTGCAAGGAGAAGAATATTTAATGTTGTCCATCAAATCATATGATTCTTATAAACTTAAGCCTCATCAAACCAGAGCATGTTTACCATAAGTGTGTTGTACTTTTAGTTCCGAGCATGATTTGTGTCGGATAATTGCTCAAAACACTCGAAGATTGAGTTTGTGTTGCACTTGTTGTAATATCATCACAGTATAAAATGTTTGCACATAGCGAGAACGAAGAAGGTCGATGATAGGTTAACCTCAATCACGTACTAGTTGGTTACTATACTCTTCTGTTTGTGTTAATCTATGGCAATAGGTTGCACGTGGGAGCAAAGACACTGGAGAATCTATTCCCATGCTTTTGAGAATTCCACGGCTTTCTGATCCATGGGGTGGTTACAACATGATCGGTTTTGGAGACATTCTTTTCCCGGGCCTTCTCATATGCTTTATTTTCAGGTAACCCTCTCATGCATTGGCTCAATAACGATTATGGTTCACGACACCAATTATATACACATCCTCTGTTTCAAACGCTGTCCATATTCAATATGCGTCATCTCAATTTGTTTGTTGACCACTTTTAAACGCTTTTACGTCTCAGATATGACAAGGAAAACAACAAAGGAGTCTCGAATGGATATTTTCCGTGGTTGATGTTTGGCTACGGACTTGGCCTTTTCTTAACATACTTGGGATTGTATGTGATGAACGGACACGGTCAACCTGCATTGCTCTATCTTGTCCCTTGCACGCTCGGTATCTTGTTCATCTCATGAAAAACTCTGAATTTTGATGATTAGTCCCCTATATGCAAATTCCATTGAAACCCAACCAAATGCAAGATTTCTTACATGTTGTTCGGTTTGCAGGAATCACGGTCATTCTCGGGTTGGTTAGGAGAGAACTCAGAGACTTGTGGAACTATGGGACTCAACAGCCTTCAGCTGCAGATGTAAATCCATCTCCAGAAGCATAAATTACTTCAACATACATAACTCAAAACTCTGGAGACTGAAGAACAAGAAGAAGAAGAAAAAACATCAAAAAAAACAAAAATTTTCTTTTGCACATAAAAATATAAGAAATCTACACTTTGGTGCATATACATGTAGTCTCGAGCCCACCAAAACGTATATAATGTAATGTATATGTACACATACACAAAATCAAACAACTTCTGAATCTGAATGAACAAGTTTGTATACTGTACAAATACGAATAGGCATGTGCTCTCAAATTACTAGTTTTTTTTTTTTTTAAAACCAGCTTTAATATATTTTGATTAATTTTACAAAGTTCAAAATTTAAATATACGGAAAGAATTTGGATCAAAGTATAATTATTTAAGGAAATAGGAACTAAACACTACCCATCAAGACAAACAAGAGACAGATAAGACAAAAAGAGATTCTTCAATCAAAACGGTGTCGTGTCTTTGTTTACACATATGTACACTTCGGTGGTTGCAGAAGTTATTAAACAGTTTTCGAAGAGCAGATCTGGAAGAGGGAAGAAGAAGAACTCTACTGGTTAATTTTAGCCGGCGGGAAAAGCTCTTCTCTCAAACCATCCCTCTTTCTCTTAAACCCTAATTCTCGGCATCCTTCAAAACCTAACAATTTCAATTTCAATATCAATTAAAGGAGAGAGCGAGAACCCAACAGCTTTGTTACTCTCTTCCTTTGAATGATTTCAATGTCGTGTGTCCCAAAACCTTTGGAGGAAGAAGAAGAAGATACCCAAATCAAAACGGAACTCCATGACCACGGTGATATTCCTGTTCGTTACGCCTCTCTTGAGAGCGTCTACTCCGTTTCTTCTTCCTCCTCTTCGTTGTGTTGTATTAGCGCCGCTGGTTCACACAAGAAGGTCAATGCCCAGAAGAACCCAATGACCGATAGTTTTGAGTTGCAGCCTCATCGGCGACCGGAGATTGTTCACGTCTATTGTCGCCGTAAGAGGAGGCGGCGGCGGCGGAGGGAGTCTTTCGTTGAGTTAGCATTACTTCAGAATGAGAGAAAGGATGGGATTGTAAAAATTGAAAATGCGGAGCTTGATGAGGAGGAGGAGGAGGAGAAGAAGAAGAAGCAGAAGAAAAGGAGGATTGGTAATGGTGAGCTCATGAAATTGGGTGTGGATTCGACTACTTTAAGCGTCTCTGCTACCCCGCCTTTACGCGGATGTCGAATTAAAGCTGTGTGTAGCGGAAATAAACAAGATGGATCTTCCCGGAGTAAGAGGAGTTTTGTCAAAAATCAGGAGAAGGTTGTCTCAGCTTCTGCTACAGCTAAGAAATGGGTCAGGTTAGGATTCACCTACCATTAATTCTGCCGGTTATACCAACTCTCTGATCTTAGAGATAAGTCATTTGTTTGACATGTTGAATAGTGGCTTCTTCTACTTGTTCACTGTTGTTTTGCACTAGTTACTTTTGGTGTTCACAATATAGACTTTTAGTCTATTTGTTAGTTTGCTGTTGTATGATGGACGAGTTTTGGCATGGCAGGTTGAGTTATGACGGTGTCGATCCTAAAAATTTCATTGGGCTGCAATGCAAGGCAAGCTTTCAGCTATATAGTTATGTGGTTTAGCTATTTCATTCTCTATTTATGAGAGGGTCCTGTTAACAGTTGATTGTTGTCTAATCATTAGGTTTTTTGGCCATTGGATGCTGTTTGGTATCCTGGTTCTATCGTCGGATATAATGTAGAGACAAAGCATCACATTGTAAGTTATTTCTGTCTATTGAATCTGGCTCATGTCATTATTTTGGTGATTGATGGAATATCTAAATGCTTATCTTTTTCACCACTAAAACATACTACAGGTCAAATATGGAGATGGAGATGGCGAGGAATTAGCTCTTCGTCGGGAAAAGATCAAATTTTTAATTTCTCGTGACGAGATGGAGTTGCTAAACATGAAGTTCGGTACTAATGATGTCGCCGTTCATGGTCAAGATTATGATGAACTGGTTATATTGGCTGCTTCTTTTGAGGATTGCCATGATTTTGAGCCTAGAGACATCATATGGGCGAAACTAACAGGTGAATGCTCTAAATCAAACCGATTTCTGTATTCTTGTAGACGTATTTTCTTATCTTGTTGTAGAAAATATTTAGGCATAGAACCTCCCTTTATGGTGTAAGAAACATGATGCTGTTAGGAAGCATATTAGTCGCATTCTTTCTCTTTGAGACCTAATTGCTGTTAGAATTTTTTGGTGCTTAGTACACATGTATTGCCTAGCCTTCAGACATTCTGGTTTCCAGAATAACCTTCTGAAGAAAACTAATTATGCATACTGAGAATCATACTGTTGTGTGTGTTAAACTTTTCCGGACAGGTCATGCTATGTGGCCAGCAATTATTGTTGATGAGTCTGTTATTGTAAAGCGGAAAGGTCTAAACAACAAGGCATCTGGAGGAAGATCTGTCCTCGTACAGTTTTTCGGCACCCATGATTTTGCGAGGTCAAATCTTCTTAAAATCTTGTTATACCACCGAATTGTTGAAATTAATGTTACGCATCATAATTTCAGAGTGGAAATTGACTAATTTTCCTTTGGTTAGAATACAAGTCAAACAAGCGGTCTCATTTCTTAAAGGGCTTCTCTCACGGTCTCCTCTGAAGTGCAAGCAACCTCGGTTTGAAGAGGCCATGGAGGAAGCAAAAATGTAAGTTTCTCTTGCTTTTCACTGGCATTCTACTTTTTTTATTTTATTTCCCAACATAGTGAAGTTTGTTAACAAACAGATTATCTGAACAAGAACATGATGCCTGTGTTAAATTGCTGTAACTCTCCTCACCCAGGTACCTAAAAGAATATAAGCTTCCAGGAAGGATGGATCAACTTCAAAAAGTTGCTGATACTGAATGTTCGGAAAGGACTAATAGTGGAGAAGAGGACAGCTCAAACTCGGGTGATGATTACACAAAAGATGGAGAAGTCTGGTTGCAACCAACAGGAATTGGAGATTGCTTGCATAGAATAGGCGATCTGCAGATAATGAACCTTGGTAATGTTTGAAACTAACTAGTATGTTGGATCATCCTTGGTTGGAATGAACTCTGCTCATTATGCATAGGCGTGTATATCACTTGTCTTTGTCTGCCAGGAAGGATCGTGACAGACTCAGAATTTTTCAAGGATAGTAAGCATACTTGGCCTGAAGGGTATACAGCTATAAGAAAATTTATATCACTAAAAGGTCAATTATTTACCAGTTTTTGTGCTTTCTATATTAATCAGGCAGTTTTGGTCTCATATATGCGCGATTTCTTGCTTTGACTTTAAGCAGATCCTGATGCATCTGCCATGTACAAGATGGAAGTGCTTAGAGATGCCGAGTCAAAAAATCGCCCTGTTTTCAGAGTTACAACCAACAGCGGTGAGCAGGTTAGGTTTCTAGGTGGAAGGCTTGTGTGGATAGAAAGTTTGTTATAGCCATGTGTTACATTAATACTTGGTTTTTGGACAGTTCAAAGGGGACACTCCATCTGCCTGCTGGAATAAAATATATAATAGGATAAAAAAGATTCAGAGTGCTTCTGATGGTCCTGATGGTTTGGGTGAAGGACTTCATGAATCTGGTACAGATATGTTTGGCTTCTCCAACCCAGAAGTCGATAAACTTATTCAGGTTTGTCTTCTTGAATCTTAAATTATATGTAGTGGTTTTAGTTTTTTCTCCTTTTACTCCTTCATTCACTGAACTCTCAGGAGTTTTCGCTAGGTTCTCCGTTGTACTCATTTCGGGACCCTGAAAACTTTGCAGTGCTCTGCCTTCTGCTTTGCAGTTAAAACACATAAATAGGCATCCTTTATGTCTGGCATGGAAGTTCAAAATTATTAAGCTATAGGCATTAAATCTTTCTCCTTATCTCTTTGTGGGAGAAATTCGAACTCTTATAGAAACTAAGGGTGGGTCCTGATCTGCATCATTTATAAAGGAACCAAGGTTTCACAGAAGATTTCACCATTACGACAACTAATCTATATAAAAACAAATTGTGACTTTTCTTTATGTATGTGGTGTAGATTTCTAATTTCTTGCTTTGTAATATTCTTCAGCTTCTATCAATTGCATTTTATATATGTTGTGCCTACAATAAGTCTTGACCTACATGGCAGGGGCTATTACAATCTAGACCACCTTCCAAGGTTTCTCAGCGCAAATATAGTTCCGGAAAGTATCAAGATCATCCTACTGGTTACCGACCTGTACGGGTGGACTGGAAAGATCTTGATAAGTGCAATGTCTGCCACATGGATGAGGTTAACACTTCTTTCTTGATAGAACGTTTTGTATGCATATCTAATCGTGTATCTTTAATAAGTTAGTTCTGACTTCGATTTTTGTGTCTGCAGGAATATGAGAATAATTTGTTCTTGCAATGTGATAAATGTAGAATGATGGTATTGCTTTCTCTGAGTTGTTGATACTATTATATATCCTTTTAGTGGCTGGCATCCTTTCTTTTTAATTGGTGATGCTCAGTTCAAATTTTTTTTTGATCTTGGACTAGGTCCATACTAGATGCTATGGGCAGCTGGAACCCCGTGATGGCATTCTGTGGTTATGCAACTTATGTCGTCCTGGCGCTCTTGATATTCCTCCTCGATGTTGTCTTTGTCCTGTAGTAGGTAATTGAACCCAACCATTTTGGTATGGAGTCTCTATATTCTTTGTTAATAGCCAACAAAATATCTTTCAGGGGGCGCTATGAAGCCGACAACTGATGGGCGCTGGGCTCATCTGGCTTGTGCCATATGGATCCCAGGTATAATCTTCACCATTTGATTTGTTACTCTGCATATTTCTGCTTTCTACTAAGGATTTTGAAGGCTTTACCTTTATTATCCAAGATGTATGAGCAATGATTGTGATATTATCCAGAAACCTGCTTATTGGATGTCAAGAAGATGGAACCGATCGATGGGGTTAATAAAGTCAATAAGGTTTGAGCTCTATTCTTTTTCAGTTCCCCTTACATCTGTTGTCTTAAATGGAGTTAGTTACTTTTCAACTAGAGAAGCGCAACATAATCTAATTTTCAGTAGCCATGTGATGCTTGAATAGTTGTCTTTTTTTCTTCACACTTCAAAACAGGATCGTTGGAAATTGTTGTGCAGCATCTGTGGTGTATCTTATGGAGCTTGTATCCAAGTAAGAATTATTTTGATGGCAAGAGAAAGCTGAATCATTGTGTACCATTCACAGATGACAATATTTAATTACATAAATATTAGTCACTGAAAAAAGTATTTAACGAGAACAATGATGCCGATTTTCAGTGTTCAAATAGTTCTTGTCGAGTGGCATATCATCCTCTATGTGCACGAGCTGCTGGTCTCTGTGTTGAGGTACTTTCATATCCTACAGGGGAATATAAGATTCTGCGTTCATTCATATACGTTTACTGAACACACAGATTTAACAAAAGAGATGGTTCTAACTATGATAGCATTCTTGTACTGTCATTGTAGCTTGCAGATGAGGATAGGCTTTTTCTTCTATCAATGGATGACGATGAAGCAGATCAGTGCATCCGCCTGCTTTCGTTTTGCAAGAGGCATCGACAAACATCAAATGACCACTTAGAAACAGAGTACATGATCAAACCAGCTCATAATATTGCGGAGTATCTCCCACCTCCTAATCCATCTGGCTGTGCTCGCACTGGTATGCAGTTGCATTGATCAATAGTTGCTAGAAATAAAACTGTAGATTGACTGTACCTATTTGGGATGGAATTGTTTTGCTCAAAATTCTCTTACCGCACATATGACTATGTGTGTCTTTTGGTCAGCTTTAATAATCTTACATTATTCTCTTAGATTATTATATTTTATGCTCAGAGATCTGATTTCATGTATTTTTTTTACATTGTGTTTGCTTGTATTCATGTTCACATCCAAAATTCATAAAAGAGGGCACTGTATAGGTCAGTATAGCTTTATCTTACAGGATTATTAACATCTTTTCCCTCTGTTTCTCGTAGAGCCATATAATTATCTTGGAAGAAGAGGACGAAAGGAACCCGAAGCTCTTGCTGGTCCTTCTTCAAAACGATTATTTGTTGAGAATCAGCCGTATATTGTTGGTGGATACTCTCGACATGAATTTGCGACCTATGAACGCATTTATGGATCAAAGATGTCACAAATAATTACTCCAAGCAATATTCTATCTATGGCCGAGAAATATACATTCATGAAGGAAACCTACAGGAAGAGATTAGCATTCGGTAAGCCTTTAATCAGCAATCGTAAAAGATGCTACTACTTGTCAAAGTTGCTGCTATGATGCCTCAGTTTTTCATGCCTTTGGGGGGGGGGTTTTGAAGATCAAATTAGTGGAATTTCTGTAAGATAAAACTGGTAGGATTTTATTTTCTACTTTAATTCTTGGGATGTATGGTGCATTCCTGTGATGGGTCTCTGAGTATAGTGATCATTTTTACTTATATTGGATTAGATGGGAAACGTTTCCCATAAAGCCTAAAATATCTATCAAAACTAATTTTCTTCTACAGGGAAATCGGGAATTCATGGTTTTGGGATCTTTGCAAAGCTTCCGCACAGGGCGGGGGATATGGTTAGACATTCTTAAACTGAATTGTCCATTCTTGCATAGTATAGCATCAGTCATGACAATATTGTGAATTGGGTGGTTGCAGGTGATTGAGTACACTGGTGAGCTTGTTAGGCCACCAATAGCTGACAAGAGAGAACATCTTATATACAACTCAATGGTGGTACGTATCTGACCTTGTACATTTTATACTTATTAGAAAATTCTGAGCAACATTGGACCTAATTATCAGCACATTGATCTGTGGATTTTCTCATCTAGACCAATATATCACTTTACTTTGATGTATTTTATTGATCTCTTTCTCTGGCTTGAGCCCGGAACATTCTCGTAGCATTCTCTTAATAAATCTGTGTTGTTAGTATCTACGCATCTTCCTAACTTTTACTCTCTTAATTTTAGAATCTGATATATTTGAACTTCTTTTATGATATAGGGTGCTGGGACCTATATGTTTAGAATTGATAATGAGCGGGTCATAGACGCAACAAGGACGGGAAGCATTGCCCACCTTATCAATCACTCATGTGAGGTATGGTCAAGTAGTTTTGACAATTTGTTATTTAATCTAGTTAGCATCTGCAATATCATCACATTACTTATTGATATGCTTCTGTACAGCCAAATTGCTATTCAAGAGTCATTAGTGTTAATGGTGATGAGCATATTATCATATTTGCAAAGAGGGATGTCGCAAAATGGGAGGAGCTGACCTATGATTATAGGTTTTCCTTCGTGCCCTTTAGTTCACGGGTGCTTTTGAAATTCCATTATTTCCTGATTTTTAGTCTTCAACATTGCAGGTTCTTTTCAATTGATGAGCGCCTTGCATGTTACTGTGGTTTCCCAAGATGCCGGGGTGTTGTTAATGACACAGAAGCCGAAGAACAACAGGCAAATATTCATGCTTCTCGCTGTGAGTTAAAAGAGTGGACAGAGGCCTGAGAGGTAAGCTATACTTGTTAGTATGTTAACTTGGGAATAGTTTGTTCTTTGTAGCTATTGAAAGCTAGTTTCCAGGTTAGTAGATGTCTTATATCCATTGAAGACAATGACTTCTTTAATGCGTCTTGATATCTTCGATACGGCATTATTTCATGGTGAGGCCAGCCATTTGTATTGCAAATATGGTTTCATTAGTCACAAAATAAAACTTTTATCTCAGTACAAGTTGTCTAATTTACTTACAAAATCCTTTTGTTTACCATTGAATGGAAGCTCCTAACCATATGTTTTGACTTGCATGTGCTTACTTGATCCAGATCATCACATCTGCCATTTCAACAGTCTGCACGAGATCTTTGTAAGGATGTCACACGTTTGCGAATTCTCATGATTCTGGCTAACTTTCCTCTCTAGAGATGCCCATTAATCTCCCTAAACACATACTGTGACTCTCAATGCTCTTGACTTGAAATGGTTCGATTATATCCCTGTTTTGTAACAATCCATTTCTTGTACAGATACTAATTATATCTTACACAGTAAAGCTTTTTGTAACAAGAGGCACATTACATTCTTTGGGTAAATGAAAAAAAGCAGCATTCTCTTATTTCTCCGGACTCAAATGAGCCTTAATCTGCTGTTTCACCTATCTATCAGGTTCTTTATACATGATGGTTCCATTTATATCCATATCAATGCTACATAACATTTGATTTCAGAATTTTGTATCTGGTAAGCGCTGATTAGAGATTTAACAAGGGATTATATATGTTTTTGAGTCAGGAATAAGAGGTGTATAGTTTTCTACAGTCTGACACACATGTGAAGGAAGAAGTCCTTATCACTCCTTTAAGTCCTTTGTAGTGTAACTTTATTTCCACCTTTTTTTGGTTATCTGTGCATGTGACCATTATTGGTCGTATCCCTTGACCCATTCCCTCACACGCACACACACAAACAAACGCACGTGTATGCATGCTTTTGTGTCACTGTGTATGTGTATATATATACTCAGCTTCGGAGTATGATGCTTCTGTAGTTCAGTTTACTTGTGTCCAAATGTCAAAACCTCTCAAGTTCCTTCTTTGGTCATCTCTTGCTCTATTGCTTCTTCAGATAGGTAACTTCAAAGCTTAAAATTTTTCCTTATAATTTAATATATAGACATGTGAATGGGGTTGTATGTATAGGTTCTGGGGCAATATGTGAGAGCAAAAGCAGCGAACCAGCGGTGAGGCAGACACAGGTGAAGTGGAGAGAAGGAAAGATGTTCAGAGTGGAGGTAATGAACAAATGTCCCATGTGTCCAATCATCAACCTTCGTCTGAAATGTCAAGGATTTCCTCAGACGCTTGTGGACCCCACACTCCTCCGCGTTCTCTCCTCTTCCACCGGAAACTGTGTCGTCAACGATGGCCTGCCGCTGAGTCCTATGCAGACTCTCTCCTTCAACTACTCCAACTCACACCAGTTTGCTCTGCGCCCTCTTTCTTGGTCTTTTCAGTGCGAGTAAATCAATAAGTTAGTTAAGTCAATAAAATGTTCATCATCAATCTGCTGGTTTTCTTTGTATTATCTATATATATCAGACCTTTTTTTTTTTTTTTTACCATTTTAGCAAAATGTTGAATCTATGTACAAAAGATAAACTATATGGAGTCTCTAAAGGAGGAACATAGTCATGAGGAGAAGTACAGAGAGTAGAAACAGACAGGTATCCAAAGGTAATGCAGAAGAGATAAAATGTGAGCCTACTAGATGAACTGTTCCTGTGCCTTCGTCTTTTACTTTTATGCTTGATGAGCCTGCAAAGAGAGATAAAGCACACATAAAATTTTGTTTCAAATTCGAAATCGTTATATTGTTTTCAAGTGTATGATATATAGCACTTACAGTTGTACTCAGTCCATCCAATGAGCTGATTTTCGAGATCGTAGAGAACAAGTTTGTTTGAAAGCACCAAATCTGCAAAAGAGAATGTAAGATACTGTGGGCATTGGATTGAGTCACACAGGGTTCATTGTCACTGAGAGCAAGAGCATACAATGGGCTTTTTCCACAAACTGAATTGCAATTAAACTAAAGTCATGCTTTCGTATAATGTGACTGCAAACTATGTATCCAATTAAGGTACCTCCCAAAAGTGTCATGTTTCTCCTATCCCTGGACTGCATTGCGCTATTTTGCCAACCAATGCACCACATTCCTTCCTGTGAAAATTTGGTGTTATGAGTTCGCGGTGCAGTGGATAGCAAGATTGAGAGCAAAATAAGGCTGTAACACGAATATTACAAGAGCGAAAAATCAATCAGAAAGGTTGAAGATGCTTACGTAAGGGAACAAATAGTCATGAGGATAAACCCTAAGGAAAACCGAGTTCTCGAAATGGAAAGTGACATTCGGAAACCCCTCATCAACTCTGCAGCAAAGGTAAGATGTGGTTTCATAAGAAAACTATTGTGTGATACGTTGACAACACAATGAGCAGTTGCTTGCATGCAAAACATCCACAATGATATCCAAAGATATTCTTGGTAAATGCCTATTTAAAATTTGTCAATTATAAAAGCAAGACGTAAAACTAACCTTCCAGAGTACTGAAAGCATTTATAATCTTTATCCACTATGTGTACTTTCAGAGCAGGCTCCTGCGAGGTTATCTAATAAAAGAACCACATCTATGAGAATAGACTCTGCAGTTCAAATGTCTTTAAGAACTGGATATTTTCTTGAACTTACCTTCTTCACCAATGGTTCATAGATTATCTCTGGAAGATAGGCCAAGGTTGTACCACTGTCAATTATCGCTCCTTTTCTATCTCCAGGCTGAAATAAATCCGCTGGGATATTTAGGAACTCCTGACCAACTTGAACTGCTGTCATATTGACATTGTAATGTGGTCTACAATTAAAAACAAAAATAGTCTGTTAACAAAAAAGACCAATAGAAAGAATACATTCACCAGCTCAGACGAAGCTTTCAAGTAAAGTACACTAATGTTATTTTCTTTCTCTACACAAGAACTGCAAGAAGATTCACTCAACTATTCGTTTAAAAGTCCAGCTATTCCAATGTACTCGAAAGAATACTGAATCTCGGTGAGCGAGCATATAAGATTAGTCTAAAGCAAGACTATAACAGGAATAACATGGTGGCTGCATCTACCAGTATCTCATTGTGCTTCTTACCAAAATGGAATAGGTATTGATTGCATTTGAAGCATATGATTCCACAAACGCAAGAAAAAGGTAAAATTTTATAAAAGGAAAACAATGTTGACATACTGATTGGGTACCAATGGTGTCATGTTTACTTTTGGTTGCACAACACGCCCAATAGCAAATATACCACCTCCATTTCTTCCATCTAAGCAATGAGCAAATATCTTTTTCACTCTCCCTGATGAGGCCAGCTGGGAAATCATGGAGGAATTAGCTTTCCCAAATCCAAGTATTCCGTCAAGTGCTTCTTCATTAGAAGAGTCTAGATCTCCTGACTGCCTAGCACCACACCTTCAAGATCATATAAAAACATTAATATCTGGAAGAGGCAATGAGGAATGACGGATTAAGCTTCCTTGCCATATGAATGATAAAACCTTGTAATGAACAGTCTACTCTTTTACAGATCTCTGAGGGATTTTAAAAGTGACCAGCAATTCTCAGGCCAGGATACAAAACTAAAATAGAAATTTGGTATAAATATGGTATTTCTAAATTACTAAGTTTTCCAACGTGTAGAAGCATATGAAATGAGCTGTGCTCGGGAAGATACCTTAGCAAACTAATCAACTGTCACAATGAAAAGCACAACATATTCAGTAAAGGTCTATTTGTGATATTCACTATATGGTGGAGAACCTATTCACATGTTACTTTCAAAATAAAAAAGAATAGATGCTCAGAATCTCAAGATTTTTTCTTTAAGCAATTAAGTTTTATCTGTTTGTCATTCGTATGTGCTTTAAGAATTGTTGGTCAATTAAACTTTGTTACAGCCTTTTCCATGCCTTTTTTTTTTTTTTTTTTCTGTTCACTTAAAAAAATAAAACCTTGACCACAAGCAAGGTGAAATTGTGTTCTGTTCAGTGAGAACAGAAAGAAGTTTACCATGTTGCAGCAGTTTACTAGTTTAAAGACAAGTCATGTAAAGCGAGATTACTAAAAGTAACTAACCCAAATATGACACTCCCATTAGCTGTTTGAGTCTTGAGATCACCAGCTACACTGTCATACTGCACAACATCTTTGACAAAATAACCAGCAGTAGAGCTACCATCTCCATAAATCTCAAGATAAGGACAAGACATATTAGCTTTGCAGCCTGAGAGAGGACCACCACTAATCTGGTAGCAAAAATCATCATCACAAGAGACCAACTTTCCACTGTCTGATTCGTCAATGTTGTAGAGTGTAAGCTCAATCTATATAGAGAAAGAAAAGCGCACACCCATTGAGTTGGAGCAACGAAATTACAAACGTAGATGAGACACAAAACAAGAGGGCTTACACCGAGAGTGCTTCGTCTAGGACATTGTTTGCACTGGATGCAGTTAACCCACATAATATCACTGCCTGTGTCGACTTGAACATAATAGCTCTTAGCAGGTGTTCCAATTCCAATTTTTGCATAATAAAGCCTGAGAAAACAATGAAACAGAGATCAATGCAAGTTATCTAAAAATCTCAACTTTAAACTAAATTCCTCTAAAAATCTCGAAATCACCAGTGATCAGAGACGCTAAAGAAACAATAAGAAGTCTTTAGTTGAATCTGAAAGTTGAGAGAGAGAGAGAGAGAGAGAGAGAGAGAGAGAGAGAGAGACCCGGGGATATCAGGACGACCAGTTCCACCAAGGGGTAGATCGATTCCGGCGAGAATTGTGAGCTGACGCCGGTCATCGTGCTCCTTTAAGGCGCTTAAAGACCCTTGAAGCCTTGGATAACGGTACTTAACATTGAAGACTCCGGGATTAGAAGATACGGATATAAGACAAGTGAGAAACCAAATCAGCGTGATTCTTGCGCAGATGGGGAAAGAGACGATTGAGAAAGTCATCTTCTTCCTTCTTCCCCCGTGCCTGATTTTTACAGCGTCAGTCGTCTCGGCGGAGAAGTTGAGAGAAACCACCGGACCGGCGACGACGACGACGAGGAAGTTCAGAAATTCCAGAGTTTGTTGGTCAGTTCTTCCACCAATACAGCCTTTCTTTTATTTTACTAATTTTTAGTTTCCTACGTGGACTTTTCAATTTCCTTTTTTTTTTTATTTTCCCAATTCGATTCGACCCATTAATTCGAAACTTGTTGGGTATTTTTTTTAGTTTTATTACAAATGTAAATTAGGTGTTCCTGACACTATTACAACTCATATTTTACTGTACAGTACTATTATCCTTTTTGTCGTTTCAATTGTAACAAACTTTTAAAATTCAATTCCTTCATTTTAGATGAAAATCATAGGATATTTTTTCCATTATTTTTAGATAAATTATGAGTTTTAGTATAATGCGTATATACACAAAATGACAAAACCATGTGAACAAATTTATGACATATCATTCGCAAACCACATTTATGTTTCTTCGCTTTTCTCTATTTTACACACATTCTTCAAATACAATAATTAAATATGGTTTTACATACAGAAAAATATAAATTTTGTTTGCATTATAAGTTCTAGAGGGACAAAACACACATATTTCTTTTTTACTACAAGCAATTTCACTTATTAAGTAATATTTCTTCGGCGAAGCAAGAGAGACTTGAGAGCAATGGCGATACATCATAAGACTTACGAAGAGGAAGAGGAAGGTACAGTTGATGGGTTGAAAGGTTTCTGCTCTGCGCAACTCAGCTCCTCGTTTGGCCCCGCGTCTTCTCTTCCAATACCCAAGAGGTCGAGGAAATACAAGTAGTGTGAGATTATGTTGTTCATTGGATCAATGGAACCTTGACCACATGTGTACTCTCCGTACAAGACGTTCATGGTGCTGCCGAAAGTCGGGCCACGCTTGGACAAAGTGTCGTTCTTTGTAGGTTTCCAGTTTCCAACAAAGATGTCGTGAGCCGAGGGCTGATATTTCTTGATTGGAGTCATCCATCTCCAGATTGCAGCTTGGAATGCAAGTGTCGCATTCTGCTCGATGTACTCGGGGTGGTTCAAGAGATCAGCTTTCAGGGCTTCCCCAGCTGCACCGTAGTTGAAGTTCCTTCAAATAAACACAGAGGTAAAATACCTTCAGCCTCCGATGATCGTTGAAATTTGAGTATGGAAGAATGCAAATTGTTTGATTTCACAGTTTTCATCTAGCTTCAAAGACAAAATGCGTACCAGTAAATGGGTAAGGCACCACGTCCGTAGTATTCAGCTCCAGGACTGCAAGGGTACTTGAATTTCCAGGACTCGTCACAGTAGGATTGCATTGGGCTCATTTCCCTGTTATAGCACAGACCCCAAGCTAAAGGCCCTCCTGTTGCGACTCCATAGCCACCTATAAGACATCACAGTAACATCCATATTAATGCAAAGCTTCTTACAACATAGAAAACCACCAACTGCAACCAAGGGCATGTCCATTTTCATGATTCTGGATGTCTGAGTTTGATCAGATTAATAAGATGAAAAAGCAACGGAGCTAAGCTTAAAGCATCCATATCTTCTATTCATACCAGATTCCCAAAATGGTTCAGTTTTGGATGGTCAACTCTATGTAAAAAATGAAGAGAACTTACAGGACGTTTTGCTGGCGACATGACCGAGAAAGGCAGCCATTTCTTTCTGTCCCTGGAGCTTTCCTCCAGTGGTACCAAACCCAAGAGGCTCATAGAGGGCAGCAGCAGTAATGAAGGACTGGTAGTCCCAGAAACCAACAGCGTGAGCTATTGGAGTGTTCCTTTTGGAAAAGAGTTGCTCAAACTGATAAACCTGAAAGTAATCTGATATCGTCTGGTTACAGCAGTATTTGGACCACCAGCTGCATTCCCATCCCTGTGTGCACACCCTCTCTCCCCTCACTTTCTTCACTTTAATCGTTTTGTCTTCTCCATTTGCAACCAAGGCCAGGAATGATACAGCCAGCAGAACCAGAATCACTATGGAACCACTCCGGATTGTCACCATATCTTACAACTATGGAACAAATACCAGCTACAAGCTGCAAACATCAACAAACAAAAAAAAAACAAATTTAGAAACATCCATTTGTCCCCAATAAACATCTGAGAACAATACTATTAAGAAAATAGAACACAAATTACTAACAATACAGATCTACCTTAAACAAGAAGAACTTAAAACCAAAAGACCAAAATCAACAAAGGAAGCCAAAAACATGGAACTCTTTAAGTTCTTTAGTCAAAAACTAAGAAAAAGCCCTAATAGCTGTTAAATTGACCAATATTATAACAAATTGGAGAGATTGATGTATAAGATTACAATCTACAGTGTAGAAAATATGTGAAGAATTCAAAATGTGAGATCACGAAATCAACAATCAAGCAGCGAGACAAAATTCCCGAGTCAAGATTTAGCTAAATCGTTACCAATATTAGTTGTGGAAAAATTGCTTACCCGCAATGCAGATCAGCTACAGATCCAGAGAGAGATCGAGAAAACTAGTTTGTGATTCAACCGACAAAAACTACCCTTTTTGCTTCGTTGCCGAGAAAATAAGAGATTCTCGGGAGAGACAAGGAAGAAGAAACACTAAACTAAAGCGGGTGACGGATCAGCAGTCTCTATCAACCGTTGGATTGGAAAAGAATCAACGGTGAAGATTGCGTTTGGTGTAATGTATGTGTCGGTATGAGAAGACAGCCTGGTTCGTGTTGTGGGCCCTACTTTACTGAAGTGGAGCCTTCCACCGACAGCCGCACACCACCAGCAGACCTGAATTCTTAAACAAACCAACCGGTTTACTTCGCTTTTTTTTTCTGGATTTTCGGTTCATGTTATGGCCCAATGGGCTTTTAAGTTAGGCCTTTCTATAAATCTCAATTTTGCCAGAGTTTCCTCTCTCGTCCTTCTCTTTCCTCTCGCCACTCTCTTTCTCTCGTTGTTTTCCAACAGTAACAACAATGGCGTCAGCTTCGAAGCAAAACCCTTCTTCATCCAAACCTCCTAGGCATCCATCTCCGATCACTGCTTCAATCCCCTCGAAACCCGGTGTATCTGAAGAATCCCAATTTCGAAACCCTAATAACCCTTCGACGTCGTCGAATTCACCGATTTCCATGGCGGTGGAGGATCAGATCCTGGGAAGTTCCAGCCACATCACACGCACTGAGCTTCTCCGACGCAGATCGCACAACCTGAAGCAGCTCGCTAGATGTTACAGAGACCATTACTGGGCTCTAATGGAAGATCTCAAGGCGCAACACAGATATTATAGTTGGAACTATGGTGTTAGTCCTTTCAAAGATGAGAATCATCAGCAAAACAAGAGACGTAAGGTTGAAGGACAGACTGGGGATGAAATTGAAGGTAGCGGAGACAATGACAACGATGGCGTTAAGGCTGGTAACTGTGTGGCTTGTGGTAATGGATGCAAATCCAAGGCCATGGCACTCACCAATTACTGTCAGCTTCATATTCTCATGGATAAAAAGCAGAAGCTTTACACGTCTTGTACTTACGTCAACAAAAGGTTGGTTCTCAATTTCGAATTTCATTGTTTATATAACTTTTGATTCGCATATTTTCTCTTCCTTTATTTGTGGTTGTTTCGCATTAGGAAATAATAGGTGCTTCAATAAATGCTAATATGTTTTTGTAATTCTGTGAAATCCAGTTTTTTGAGACTGGTTTTGTTTCGTGGTGAGAAATTGAAAGTACTTTGCATTGTTGGTAATGTGATAATGGGCGAAGAATATATGAGTTAGGATTGTCTGCATGATTATATATTCCTGAAGTTCTTATTGTGATGGTCTAGCTGTTATGGTAATAAACATGGACCAGGTGTCAGATGATATGTTCTTTGTTATGTGACTATGTCATTTGTGTTTTTATATCTCTGATTGGAAAGAGCTTAATTTTTGCGTTCTGAAGTGCAACTAGCATGTGATGATTATATAATCATCTCTATTCTAACTTTGTGTGGTTTTATCGTTCATGCAGAGCTCAGTCAAAAGCAATAACGTGTCCAAAACCAACACTTGCATCGACTGTTCCTGCTCTGTGTAATGTGCACTTCCAGAAGGCCCAAAAGGATGTCGCTCGAGCTTTAAAGGATGCTGGTCATAATGTTTCTTCAACAAGCAAGCCTCCCCCGAAACTCCATGACATAGTAGCCGCATTTGTGCATCATATTCAAGCAAAAAGAAAAGATCCACGAAAAGAGGGCAAATTGAAAAGCTTAGTAAAAGAAGAAATTGCAAGCTAAATCAAACAGTGAGCAGGAGCTGTTTGTTACCACGATTGTGCAAAACAGGAAGGTAAGATAACTGGCTTTCTATCAACCAAAGTGAGAAAGACAGGTAGCTGATCCTGTTTGACTGGTGATAGATAGGGTAGTCATCTATGCCTAGTAATGAAGAAAGTTTATCTTTTATATGTAGTAGATCTTGGTCACACAGAATGTCTTATTAGAATTTTCTTTTTCGTTGTTAAGCTTATCAAAGCAATGATGCTTTTAGATTGACTAGCTTCTAAGATGTGTCTCGTGGTTTTCGTTCTATTTTTAATGGATGGAGCTAACAGTCATTTCCAATAATGAGTAGACTTTGATTCCAACATACAACAGGTTGTGTGATCTTTCGTATTTGTCTATGGTTGTCTTGTTGAATGAAGCAAGCCACGTTTATAATATATAGGTCCGAAATCTTTATTCAAGTAGTTAATGTACCTGCATACCATTTGACCGACCCTGCTTCTGCAATGACATTGACAGATTTAGCTGTGAGTGCCTCCACAAAGTAACTTACAACTTACAAGGAGCTTCAGTCAAGCGAGGAGCAACATTGACACAATGGTTTAGTTAAGCCGTCTAGGTCGAAATAAGGATATCTTTGGACATGGATATAGCAATTGACACATAATGTTTTAGCAACTGGTAGCTTTCATGGCTGTGTGAGAAACCGATGTTCTTTGTGTGGTTCCTGCTACGTCCTTTGGAGACTCGATCTAAATCTATATTGTCTTGCAGTGTTCTAAGTTTGCGGCTTGATTTATTGCAAACTGGTTCATATGTTTCCGATTCTTGTGAGCAATACGTATATGAAAAAGGGCTTGAACTGCGCAAGTATAGAAAAAAATTAATTACATTTTAGAGCAACAATTCCTAAATGTCACGAGTCAATACGTATTCAGAATTTCATTGATAAGGCGGCTATGTAATTTGAGATGATTAAGTCCTCTCAAGACTTTGTTGAGTGGAGTCGGTAACATGTATTACAGAACAGTCATCAGAAGCTATTTAAGCTTATATTTACACTCACCCTCAAGATCCAGAAAATGACTCATCTTCAGTCGCCATATTGAGCATCTAGGACTGTAATCAGCCATCCACGTTTTCACCAGTATGGTTAGTTGATGAAGAACGAAAAAGATGGAAACACGCAATATCTGCGTCTATCTTGTTTCTTTTCCTCTCACTCGATTCTTTATAGACAATTAATGATCATCACCAAATTAGGCAATTTAGCCACAAGATTGTAAGCTTCAACACACATTAAAAGGAATGCGTCAAGACTGTCAGAGGACAGTAGTAATGGCATTACCTTCATAAAGAAGGTTATGTTATAGATCCAGTTACCAAGTTAAGATTAGTTACCTCAGCAAGTAGAGGTCCATAACCAGTTAGTAGTAGCCCTCATAAACACAAAGCCTCTCACCACTGCACAAGGACAACAATCCAGCTTTCATTCATATCTCACTTGTAATAAGCTTTACACAGTAGCTTCACACACTTCATCACGGTTTAATATGGGAAAGAGGATGATCATATTGCATCACACTTACTTAATAGACACAGTTAGATTTGTTACCTCAGCGGAACCATGACCAGTTAAGTGAGTGAATGCTCTTACTACTGCATAAGGAGAAGAATCCAGCTATTAAGATGTCAGATGTTAAGCTGTAGATGCCGAGACCAGCATGTAAATGAGAAAGAATTTGATATTTTTTTATTCAAGTGATACCTTTATTTCCGTTCATAAAATCATTAGACTAGATACTACTAGTACTAGACATACATGGAATAAAGTGAGAATCATTGTTGATATTCAGTTAAATTTCAGACCTTCCAATGCATTTCTGAGATCTCCTCCTTAGCTAACAATGTTTGAGTTATTGTTGTTCATTCGCTGGTGTTGAGAAGTGACAATGATTCATTCAGCTGCACAATTGGACAGTACAGGCAACGGCTTGTGCCCAGTATTTGAGCCTAGCTTTCACATCATCCGGATTATCACCTGTAACCAACAACAAAATTGATAACATTTAGACTTCATATCCCAATCTCAGAGTCAGATTTGTGGCCTCTGTAACAAGCACTGGATGTTACAAATCCTTGTTTTAACACTAGCCCTAAAGCAACAAACTTTGAATTTAGATCACCAAATATATTTACCGGGACTAGAGATCTTCCAATTGGCAATGGGAGTGGAGGTGACCGGTGAAGGCGACGGAGAATCTTCCACCGACGAACTTTCCGGTGATTTATGCTTATCGTCTAAGAACTTCTGGCTCATTGAATAGCAAAGCTCCAAAGCAGGTAGAGTGTTGCAGAGCTCAGGGATCTCGTCGTAGCTGAAACCAAACCCTAGATCTAAACAACCTTTGAGATCTTCGAGATCGTCATCCGTCAAACTCTTGGATCTCGTCAGATCGTCTTTTTGATCATCCACAGCAGCAGTCTCGACGTAACCTTCCAGTAACACTTGGCTCTTCTTCCTCTCCAGCTTCTTCCGACTACTACCTTCGCCGGAGACAAATGATCCGCGGTGAGAGATCTCAACCCAGGCTTCGTTGATTCCAGATTCATCGACGTATTCTTCCAAGGCACTGGCAGATGTTTGCCATGGATCTGATGATTTGCAGCGAGCACAACCCATCACTCACTCTCCTCTCGGCTCTCTGTGTTTCTCTTTGTCTTGTGTCGGGAGAAAGACATTAGAGTCGATTTGTTTACTTATAAAAGCCGCGATGTCTGATGATGATGATGGTGATGATGAATGATGATGATGATGTGATGGGTTGGCATCTTCGCGTGACTAATGTCGTTTTAAAATTAGTGATCCCCGACAATTAGGGTATAATTGTCAAATGCCAATGATGAATTTTGAAATTAAATTGGTAAATTGATCCATCAAAGGCATCAAATATTGTTTTTATTGTATAATTTAAGTGTTACAAAAAAGGGACATTATTTTTTATAAGTTTAATTTAATAGAAGTTAACATGTTAGGGAAAAAATACGAAAAACTTAAATGAACAGTACAACTGTCCAAAATATATATATAGATATATGTCATTGTCATTCTTTTAGTTTATATATCTTTTTTACATAGTGCAGATAATCTAAGAATTAGTCACAGAACACTGCATCTGCATGTATATGATATGATGTTATATGTTTGTTATGTGCAGATATAATCATGAACTGTCATCTACTGTAGATGATAGATAATTAACCCTTTTGAATGTGAAACACTGTCATTGTAACGACTTGGATGTGACAAAGATATACACAGTTGGTCTTGCAGCTTGGAGGGGACACGTGGTGGATAAGGAGTGGAGAGATTGGAAATTGAAGATATGGGCCAACAAAAAGCCACGTTGTCGCTCAATAATTTAAGTGGGAGGAGAAGAATACAAAGTCGCCATCATTATTCTTCTTCACCTCACAATTATTCATCTACATTATATACGGTCACCATGACCCATTGCAAATACTCGATATATATAGGACCAATTTTTATACTACATTTACTTCCCTTTTCCATGCATATTTATGAATGAAATGTTATAAGAATGGCTTCTTTTTTTTTTTGTTAAGCTAAAAGATATGTTGTTTTCTATTCAAAATATTGCCATGAAGGCATAAACTTAAAACAATGAAATGTTATTCATATGTACAAAATCAACGCAGATCGAGAAGATCCGAAAATCAATAGTGATGATGAGATCACAAATGCAAGCTAAGGGTGGCATTGGAATCATTTTATTTGGAAATCACCACATTATTTATATTATTTAGATGTTCGTATTTCTTATCGGTTCTTATTAGTATCACCATTATTCGGTTCAGAAGTCACCATAATTATTAATTAACAAAAAGTGACACCATTTACTTTTTCTTATGAAAAGCGAATAATTGATTTTGCACAATTTGCACTCGTACGTGGTGTGAGGCTGCGAGCCATCACGGAGACACTGGTAGGATCCACATGATCTAACGCTTTAGGCTTTTTTTTCCCTTTAGCCCCTTAAAGGTTTACTTACACACGTCACTTTTGATACACCAACAAAGATAAAATAATTCATAAAGACACAACACAGTATACAATTAAATAAATACTAACATTATTATGTTTATGTGAAAGAATGGAGTTTTTTTTTTTTTTTTATAACTCAGGGGAATTCCAGACCTATGGAGGGGCCCAGACTAATCCCCTGGAGGAGGTGCAGCCCACATATAGACTCTCTCTCTGGGTATGCAAATGGGCCGAAAGCAAGGATCCATATCCATGTGGCCAAGTGGAGATCTAGCAATTGCGCGCTTGCGGGGAATCGATTCCTGGCCTAGACCAACAGAACAATTCCTCCACAAATAGCAACCACTAGACCAAGAACACTTGGTTGAAAGAATGGAATTTATGTTGTTATTTCGAGGAATCAACATGGAGTGACCCGATCCATTGGTCCGACGAAGTACTACCCATCCCATTTGTTTTAATCCCGAGTTGTAGATTCCGTGATGCATAATGGACGATCGGTTCAATTTTACACGGACTCCGCTTGAGAGTTGAGATGCTGGAGTTGACGTTAACTATTTTATTTTTTTATTTTATCTTTTGTTGGTTATTTATTAGTTATTATATATATTGTCATAAAAACTCCATTTTGGTTTACTTGAGATGTAGTTTCCTTGATTTTTCTTTTCTTTTCATCCCTATTCATATTCTCTCTGTGAGACACTTTCTTACAAGGAAGCTAATGGGGAACATACAATATTCCCAATTGCATGCATGATTAATAAAAAAATTAAGTATGACTTTTCCAATATGTAATACTATATGGTTTTCTTACATGATATTTTTAGACTGAAATCCAGAGTAGTCTCATCAATGTGACGTGGTGAGATTTTCACTTGTCAACCATTTTTATTATTTAAAAACGTACGATTCCCAATTGTCTTTGGTAAACTCTTGGTTAAGGGGAAGTAGAACAAGCTAGTTTTTGAACTTATTAAAAAGACATCGGAAGATGGGGAGTAAAAGCTGAGAAACTTAAAGATTGCTTGTGGCAAAAGTAAGAGAATTGTACACCCTTGTCAAAGACCAAGTCTTCTTCAATTGAATTCTATAAAAAAGAGGACAACATCGTCTCTTCTCACATTGTTTTCTCGTATGGATAATAATTCCGTAATCAAAAGCCAGGGTGAGCTCGAAATCCAATCGGAGGCCGAGGCGGAGGCGTATGAGTCGTATGTCAACGCAGCTTTAGAAGATGGTCAGACCACAAAAAAATCTGTCCAACGGAATTATGCAACTGTTCTGACAGAGGAAGATATTCGAGCGCTTATGGAAATTGACATTCGAAGTGTTTCAGATCTTACTTCCCTCTCCAAAGCTGAAGCCACACTTCTGCTTTCTCACTTGAGATGGTAAAAGAGTTTTGATTGCGTCCCAAAATTTGTTCTAAGATTTGAATTTCTTCTTCTACAAGCAACCCCTTTTCTTGATCTCTCTGTTTCTTTTGTTTTATGTACTTAGGGATGTTGATGATATTCGTGAACAATGGTCTGCTGGTGCTCAGATTGTTAGAGAAAGCGTGGGCTTATTAGAACTTGATCCACCTTCTGATGACAACGAGGTAATTATTAACAACAATCTTTGATTCAAATGTTTTTAATTAATTCTACTTTATTTTGTTCAAATCTTTAAGTTAACGCAAGATCCCTTAATGTTCGTATAGTATTTTTGCGGAGCCTGTGGCAAATCAAACCCACATAAGAACTTCGCATCGGTCTCTTGTGGCCATCGTATATGCACTCGCTGCTGGAAAAGTATGCATTAATATCTACCTCGTTTAGATAAAATGATTTTTCTGACCTTATTTATATAAATGACATGTAATATTTATAGGCCACATCAACAAAATCATCAGTGAAAAGCCATCTGCTGAATGGAATCTTTGGCTGAAATGCCCTGTTCGTGTTGGTCTCCACGCTTCTTGTCCAGCTTCTGTTGGTCGAGATATGATTGAGGAATTTGCTTCCAGGGAAGAGAAGTTCAATTACAATCAATATCTCCTTAGAACTTACGTTGAGAACAGAGAGACGGTAATGATAAGGCATTAAGGAAAGCAACGTTAGATAGATCATAGAGGATAATTTGAACCATTTGTTGCTTAAAAGGTTTATTATATATTTAGCTTTTTCTTTTTTTTTGGCATTAGATGAAATGGCATCCTATCCGGGGGTCTAGATGCGCGATTGATCTTAGTCCTGATTCTGGAAATGCCAGTGTCTCCTGTCTCCGTTTGGTTAGATTCTGTTGGAATGTGAGTTTTCTTAGCTTGAATCTTTTTGTCTTTAATCCAGTTTCTATTACTATATATTGAATCCTAGCTTCAGTGCAGAGAGGATGCTCACAGCCCTGTGGACTGTAAAACTGCTGCAAAATGGTTAGCAATACACACGCTTCTGATATCCAAAACCGGTCTATTTCCCATTTCTGAAATGTTTTAGTCCTTTTGGGTTATGACTTTAGGCTACTAGAAAATGCGGTGCCTTGTCCCACGTGTATGCAAAGTATCCCACGAAATCAAGATAATTCACTGAAGATGAAATGCTTACCTTGTAACTACGAATTCTGTTGGTAATATACTTAATTGTTTTTCTATTAGTTCATGTCTTGGGGTTCATTATTATGATCTTACTATTAAGTTCTTTCATGAAATGTCCTCTGCAGGTACTGCCGTCTCGACTGGATTGAACACCTGGAAGGAACTGGTGGTGATTCATACACTTGTAACTTCAATGCTGTCTCGGTACTTTATCTGATGTTTCATGGTTTGCGTTATTAACCAATATCTTTTTTATTGATCTTTTATACTGTACCTTTTCTGATGTTTTGTAGAGTGATCAAAGTGGGGAAATGTCAGAATCTGATCCAAATAGATACGGAGATTGCTATGAAGATTGGAGCAGTAATGAATTGGTATATGCATGCACTTATTTTTGAACTTCAAATCCATTTTACACTTATCAAAAAAGGAATTAATTTCTTTTGAGCATGGTTTTTGGACAGTTGATGCAAAAAGCAGAAGCAAACCTGCCAAAACTAGATACTGCTGTAAGAGAAATCTTTATCGCCTTACTATCGTTCTGTTTCAATCTCTGTAGATGAAAGTCGAATCATTTTTTTTTTTTTTAATAATCTATTTTCCAGATTAAGGATCTAAGTAACACACAGTTAGAAAACGTATCACAGCTTAAGTTCATCCTAGAAGCTGGGCTTCAGGTTAGCAAAAGTAAAACTAGTGCGAGAAATCTATGTTTTGTGTTTTGGTCTCCGACATAACTTAGGTGATGCATACATGATACAGATCATAGAATGTCTAAGGGTCCTGAAATGGACTTATGTTTATGGATATTACCTTCGAGAGGATGAGGTCGGGAAGCAAAATTTATTGAAGGATACGCAAGGTATGTAACTTTTGTATATGTATATGCATAATTACTGAGAGAGATTAATTATAAGCTAACATATTTTTGTTAATCAGAGAGGTTGAAGAATTTTGTGGAGAATCTAAATCACTGTTTGGTGACTAATCTGGAGCCGTTTCGTTACGAGGAGGAACCATCAAAGGATTTCAAAGCCTTCCGCATCAAGTTAACTGAACTAACTAGGTTTGATACTCCTTTGTTTCTTGTATATATAGCAAGATCCAACAATTAAACCCTAAAATCGATCAACTTATTTATTATTTTTCTTTCATAACAGCTTAACGCGGAACCACTATGAGAATGTGGTAAAAGATATAGAGAATGGCTTAGCTAGCGTTGTCTCTGAAGGGGAAGCTAGTGGTTCGGGCCGTAATCATGACGATTAATCGAGGCTAATTGTTAATTTCCAGTTTATGCACACGGTTTTACTACCGAGAAATTTATTTTGTAATTGCAAGTTGCAGTCTAGGCTGGAATATTGGACATATAAAAAACAAAACGAGAATTTTCTCTTTCTAATTTTTGAAATTACTGTTGTGAAAAATGTTTGACTTAACTAAATATATGAGAAAATATTGGGTGTGAGTGTTATGGACTCTTTTTTTTCCTTCTATATTTAAAGAAAAAAATTAAGCGGAGATCAATTTTATAATCTTCAAAATAAAAATAAAAAATAATAATAATCTTCCTAGGTTTGAGGCAAAAACGTTGTAATTCATACATAATATATCAATGGTACACATTCGTTACATTTAGATTGATTCTTATTGCCTATGTTCCTTGAAATTGTGACTTTGGCAAGAATTGTGTTGCTCGTTTGTTTGTGTGATGCATCTAATTAGAAGTCTGTTGAGGCTGGTGGTGCCAATATGAATCCGGTCCTGAAGTCTATTAAATACTCGAATCGAGAAAGTCTTCATTTTTAGAGATGATGTTTGGGGTTTATATTCTCTTTCAACATTTTGAAAAAACAAATCCGTCACATCTACTTGCTAATTCATTAACTAAAGAGATAAAACACCAAATGTAACACGTAACTCTTAATCATTTAAATACAATATACAGTATAAAAGTGGTTTATTTTGGTTATTTTGGTTGATTCAAATGAAATCGTTTTTCAGTTCGATTTTGGCTTCATAGAGGGCTGAAACATTGATTTTCCTAGATTTTACTAACATTGAAGAACTAATGACATTTTTTTTACATTACTCTAGAATCTAGATCAAAAAAAGTAAATGTCAAAATATGTGTATAACACAAAAACAAAAAAAATCTAGTATTTTTTAAGAAAAATATTATAGAATTTACTTTTATAAAATTTCCATTTTTGACATAAATTTCTATATTTCTTTAAATTGTTAACCTTTAAATAGAGTAGTAAAATAAACTCAAGCCGACGAGACGATAGTGGCAAAAGTCCATATCTCTCATCTACTCGATTTCTATAAATCGCGATCTCCGGAATCGAGAGAGAGCTACCAATATTTCTCTCGATCAAACTATCCAACTTCTTCGGTTCCTTATAAAGCAAGAACCTTTTTATTTATTTTGGTATTGCAACCCCAAACCCTACTTTGTCCAGCGAGAAAAGAAGAGGGCTTTCGTCTGATTCCGCTAAATCTCTAGTCTTTATTTAAAGATCATGGATTCCGATGATGATATGCTCGATGCCCACGATATGGAATATGGAGATGATGATTTTTACAGCGGCGGCACCGATGATTACGACGATAGTGATGATGTTGAAACTGATTACGGGTTTGGTGAGGCAGACGCCGATGATTCCGCCATTATCGCCTCCCATCGCTCTCAGGTGGCTTCCACTTCTTCTTACTTGTCACTTGTTTTGTGTTTCTTGCTTTTGCAGATGGCGAATATTGGAAGCTGTTTTTTTTTTTGTTTTTTGTTTGTTTGATTAGGTTAATATGTCTCTTTGTTGATTACTTCTTTTGGTTGTTAAAGTTTGGAACTTGTTCCCGTTTTGAGCTTACTTTCGTCTAGTCTTTAGTAGGTTAGTTTTCCCATTCTGTTCCGGCTTTGATGGGATATGCTGCTGAGCTTTAACAAGTTTTTTTGGTTAGACTTTTGCTTTATTCATGCAATGTCTAGTCTCATAGTTCTCTACCTGTTTATTGGTTTTATTTCATATCTGCTCTTATTTTACTTTGACCATATTGACACAGTGTTGTTGTAATGATGTATGCTTCCAGATAAATTATGTTGTTCTCAAGGAAGAAGATATTCACAGGCATCAGAACGATGATGTTGGGCGAGTTTCCGTGGTCCTCTCCATAACCGATGTCGAAGCAAGCATTTTGCTTCTTCACTATCACTGGTAAATTCCCTTGACAACTGTGTGATTTTGTTATATATCTCCTTGTTTCCTATGTTTTCTGTTACAGATCCACAACATTGTTTATCCTCGAATTTTTTCAAAACAACTTTTCTCTTCCATGAGATTGTTTTGATCTGCTTCGTTTAATGGACTCTATAGGCTCTTCGTGAGCAAACTAGTGGCTTTCTCTAGTTTCCTGATACTCTGAGAAAATGTGTCTTTTTTAGGGATGTTAGTAAAGTTCATGATGAATGGTTTGCGGATGAGGAGAGAGTTCGGAGAACTGTTGGCATATTAGAGGGACCTGTTGTTCCAACACCTGATGGCAGAGAAGTAATTCCTTTAATTCTCGACTCGGAATTGTTTTCTTTAATTCTCGCTTGTAAATCATGTTTCACTGACGCATGATTTGATGTTTAGCTTACATGTGGAATATGCTTTGAATCCTACCCTCTTGAGGATATTGTATCGGCTTCTTGTGGTCATCCTTTCTGCAATACATGTTGGACGGGTATTATTTTTTCTCCTCCCTTATCGATAGATGCTTACATCTGTAGCTTCTTCAGAAACAGGGACTGTTGATTTATTACTTTCCTTGGATTTATCTGATTGTTTATCTAGTTAGCATTTCGGTTTACACAATTTCAAAGATATTTGTCTATGAATTTAATTGTTAAGCTTTAGTTTCTTCCATGTCTGGTATGCGTAGATCTAAGTTTTATATACTGTTTTTCCTACTAAAACATCTCTTTTCTGATACATTATGTTTTATACTATGCACTTTTATAGGTTATATAAGCACAACCATCAATGATGGCCCAGGATGTTTGATGCTAAAATGTCCTGACCCTTCTTGTCCTGCTGCTATTGGTCGAGATATGATCGATAAATTGGCTTGTAAGGAAGACAAGGAGAAGTATTATAGATATTTTCTTAGATCTTATGTTGAAGACAACAGAAAGGTAAGGCTTCCAAGATAATATATATCAGACTGCATATATTCACGCAAGAAGCAGAAACTACTTGATGCTCTTGCTAGTTCTTTCGATCCGTCTATATCATTTAAACATCCTTTGCTTAATCTTGTATGGAATGTCGTCCAGCTTTTCTTCTTGAATTAAATCACAATAATACCAACGTATTTCAATGCATTTGCTTTGAGCAAACTATACTACTTTGTCATCAGTTTTTGTGTCTATGATATGGTGTGTGTCTAATTTTAAATATTGCTCCAATTTGTTTTTTTCTGTTTCAGATGAAGTGGTGTCCTGCCCCAGGATGTGAGCATGCAATTGATTTTGCTGCTGGGACTGAAAGTTATGATGTTTCGTGCTTGTGTTCGCATAGCTTTTGCTGGAATGTAAGTTCTTGGAATCAAAGACCTCTAATCTACTTTCTTTTGACATTTTTTTTTTGTTTTTTGTTTTTTGAGCCACATTCTTTTGACTATTGGTCATTTTGGAACTGTTATAAATTTGAAATTCCAGTGCACTGAAGAGGCTCACCGTCCTGTGGATTGTGACACAGTTGGGAAATGGATACTAAAGAACAGCGCTGAATCTGAAAATATGAATTGGTATATGCTCCTTTTATTCGTATTCATGCTCCCTAATCTTCTGGTTATTACTAGTTTACTACCATATATCTCACTGAAGAAATATGTTTAGTTACTACTGTCACTATGTTATTTTCCATTTTATTATACTACTTAATCTTAGTTTTTCTCTTCATACCCAGGATACTTGCCAATTCAAAGCCTTGTCCAAGGTGTAAGCGGCCAATTGAAAAGAATCATGGCTGTATGCACATGACATGCACACCACCTTGTAAACATGAGTTTTGTTGGTAATGCTTTCTACCCATCTCTGGTGTCTTTGTTTGGTTGTTACCTCTTTCTCTGCAAAGTGATAGAAATGCAAGATGTGCTATTGAACGTATCTTTATTTGAATCTTTAGGCTTTGCCTTAACGCATGGACAGAACACGGGGAAAGAACTGGTGGGTTTTATGCCTGCAACCGGTATGAGGCGGCTAAGCAAGAAGGGTTGGTAAGACTTCTTGTACTTATTTGATCATTTGTGGTGTAATTTTCTGCAATCACTTGAGCTGATGGTTGTCAATATTGTTTTGTTGATATCAATTAATTTTTTCCTGTTTTAGTATGATGAGGCTGAAAGGAGGCGAGAGATGGCAAAAAATTCGCTAGAGAGATACACTCATTACTATGAACGCTGGGCAAGCAATCAAGTGGTATGCTCAATGTTTATTTGACTTCTTATGCCTTTTGTGATTTTTCCATCATATATATTTACTTTTTTTGAGTGATTTGGCAGTCGAGGCAAAAAGCTATGGGGGATCTGCAGAAAATGCAATCAGAGAAGGTAAGAATTATTAATCTTATTTTTCAATTTATTTCCTTCATCTTTATTTACCGAATGAGAGAGTTAATTCTTCTTTAGAATGGAGAATGATGTGAGCTAGCAGCTTTTCCCATTGTTTTTATTTGCAACACCTAATTGGATCCAGAATAAGTAGAGACTGCATTGTTGTTACTTTGTGTATTTTGATTTGAATTTCTGGTGCCTATACATATGTGCAATTATATTAAAATTTGAACGTTAGGTTTTTGGCAGTTTCTCACATGCTGATGACAAACTTTTCTCATTTTTCTGCTAGCTTGGGAAGCTTAGTGACATACAGTGCACACCAGAATCTCAGCTCAAGTTTATCACAGAAGCTTGGCTCCAGGTTAGCAGCTAAAATCTTCAGATAAATGAGATTTATGTACAACGTCTCTCTGAATGTTCCCTCATTTATTTTATACTTTTGCAGATCATTGAATGCAGACGGGTACTTAAATGGACATATGCATATGGATACTATCTACCAGATCATGCTAAGCGACAATTTTTTGAGTATTTGCAAGGTCAGAACTCTTATCTGTAGATTTGGCTGGAACAGTCATTTGTGTCAGTGAACCCTTGAAGTTGAAGTTTCTCTTGTTGATCTGATCAGGGGAGGCTGAGTCAGGTTTGGAGAGGCTCCACAAATGCGTAGAGAAGGATTTAGAGGTGTTTCAAATTGCTGACGGCCCTTCAGATGAATTCAATCATTTCCGGACAAAATTAACTGGTTTAACCAGGTAATTGTCTTGTTTACATCTATACGGCTGTTTAGTACAGAACAAGAAAAGACATCAGTTTTTCAGACAGATCAATATAGAATCCTTGTTGATTTTAAGATGAGTCTATCTAGTCATAAGTGTTTGCTATTATATTTAGATTGATTGTTGCATCTATAGTCAGATTCTGTTGTAGGTTTAGGTGAACTAGTTGAGACTTTAAACAATGCTAACCCCAATGCCTTCTATCTGTGTATAAACAGCATAACAAAAACCTACTTCGAAAATCTGGTGAAAGCTCTGGAGAATGGTCTTGCTGATGTGGATATACAAGCTGCTAGCAGCAAACCAGCAAACTCTAAATCGTCTAGCAAGACAAAAGGCGGTGGAAAAGGTAAAGGAAGCTCCAAAAATGGCGGGTCCAGCAGAAATCCAGATGACAATTGAGATCTCTCAGGTTTCAGTTGCATCACTCAGTCTCTCCCACAAAGGTCGAGATTACTCGGGAAGAAGAAGAAAGAATTTTTAAGAGTTCAGCAAATTGGAGAAAGGTTTGGGGTTTACAATACTTTTGAGTACACTCCTGTGAGTTTGAAGGCTGTTAAGGCACAAGACTGCATGCACAAGTGAACTATCTCTCTCTGTCTTAAGGTTTCATGTTAGTCTTTGGTTACCCTAAATATTGTATAGTATAAAAGAATCTGCACATTGTTACTTTGGCTTTTAATTGCCTTTTGAACCAAACTCAAGTTTCTTTTCCGAAAAATTTCTCATAGTTCAAGCGGCAAATGGTACCACCATTGTGTCATAAGAAAGCAATATTTGGCTCTTTTACAAAATTGCTGGTCAAAGAGAACCTTTCGTGCTACTTGATTATTATGCCTTTGTAATAACGCTCGAAACACAACTCCTTCAAAATCTCCAAGAAGTTAGTGGTTGGTGTGTCATTGTCTTCTCTTTTATTTTTTTAAAATTGAATGCGACATGTACTCCTCAACGTATAATCTCAATGCTTGTTACTGAAACATCTCTTGTCTGATTTTTTCAGGCTAAGTTTTACAGAAAGTGATTGGGCACTTCAATGGCTTTCACAAATGAAAAAGATGCAGGATCTAAGGGATTTGTGAAGAGAGTGGCTTCATCTTTCTCCATGAGGAAGAAGAAGAATGCAACAAGTGAACCCAAGTTGCTTCCAAGATCGAAATCAACAGGTTCTACTAACTTTGAATCCATGAGGCTACCTGCAACAAAGAAGATTTCAGATGTCACAAACAAAACAAGGATCAAACCATCAGGTGGTGTAACACCACCACAATTAAGAAGGGAAAAGATCGATGATCGTGGTGGTGGGATCAATAACAAGTTTGTAAAATGGAGAAGCTTTGATGATAGTGATTCTATTTGGTTATCTTCAGATTGTGCATCTCCTACTTCTCTTCTTGAGGAACGCAGGTTATCTGTTTCGTTTCGTTTCTCGGTTGATGAGAGTGTAGTCTCGTGGTTATCAAACCTTGCTAAAGCTTCCCTTTCTCTGAATCATCAAGAAGTAAGTTCCATTAAAGACCGTCCCAGAATCCCAAGAAACACTAAAGAGAACATACAGAAGAAAGATTCATTTAGTTCTGCTCCAAATCTCACCGTTATTGATTCTTCTACTCAGAGTTCACAAGGAAAGAAAGTTAACTTTTCACAATCTTCAGGTATAGAACTTGAATCAGGAAATCATTCTCCTTCTCTGATAATCTCCTCTGATGTACCATCTGATCCGAATAATCACACGGCAACTTCTTTGGTTCGTAAGATAAGTTTGGATGAGAAAAGTGCAGAGATTGTGGATTCTAAGAGCAGTAGTAGTAATGTCGATGAGCCGCTTTTCTGGCCATATGAACAGAGATTTGATTGGACACCTGAGGATATCTTGAAGCATTTCTCAATGTCACCTCGGAGAAAGAAATTATTCAATGCCAAAGTTTCTGCAGGTAGCTCTCCAAGATCCATGAGAGCACAACTTCTCCAAGCAAGAAAACTAGATCTTAAAGATGGTAGTAAGAGAAAGCTTGTGTTCAATGGCCCTTTAACAAACGCATCCAAGATTCCAGAGCTCAAAAGAACTATCAGCAATAACAGCAACAAGAAAAATGACAGCATCAAAAACGAGCCCATCAGGAACTGCGTGAAGAGGAACAAAAGTTTGCCATCAAGGTTGAGAAAATCAAGCAAAACATGTTCAAAGGTTGTACCTTTTGAAGTTGCTGAAGAAGTGATTGCCGTAGAGAGAGCCAAAGTGGAAATAACAGCTAGAAAGCTCATAAACCGTAGAAGCAAGACAATGTTGGAAGATGATTTCGCATTGATTAATGATTTTTCAATAGAAAACGCAGTGGGGCTTGGTGAGTTTAAGGGTAGAGAGGGTATAGATTCAGAATTTAACTCTGACACTTTCTTGTTCGATGATTCTCTTTGAAACTAATAGATTATGTACTTGCCAAAACAAAAACAAAAAAAACTCTCTTTGGCAACAAATTTTGTTCCTGACTTTATGAATTTTCTTTTATAATCAGATTCTCATTTGAGTAGAGAAGGCTAGAGAAAACAACCCTATTTTGATTGAATGATCAGTTTTGAGGAATTTGACCTAAACACACACATCCTTTTAAAAGCTTGAGATATATTACAAGAAATCAAACACCAATATACTCCTCGTCTTCTTTGCGGACAGCTGCTCTCGATATGGTTTGAGCTTCCGCAGTTGTCAAGAAGTCGTTTCTCAATAGCTTATTGAAAGGGATTAGGAGACGGCTCTGTATTTGGTGGACATCACTCGCGGTCAGACCCGTCTCAATCCGGTGATAAGGGTTTAGAGGGCTTTTAGTCGTTGTCTTCTGGGACTCAGCCGTAAGGCTCAAAAGGGCGAAGGTTATGGAGCTAGCGATGAAAAAGTCGAAGCCCCATTAAGATTTTCAAAGTATTGTTGTGGGTATCTTTTCTTTCTGGTAGCAAATTTCTTCATGGTCTTCAGGAAGAGTCTCCCTCGCTCTCTTCTTCTTCTTCATCTTCGTCTTCTTGATCAAAGACAATCTTAGATTTTCCTTTCCTTGCGCGTTGTTCTTCATCATACACCATAGGCTCGGAACAAGGAGGGTTTTGTGGGGTTCTCAAAGCTGAAGAAGCAGGAGCTCCATAAAGATTTTCATGGTTTTGTTGTGAGTTTCCTCTCTTCAATAATCTCTTGTTTCTTTCTTCTTGTTTTTCTTCTCGTTCAGAAGCATACTTAAACGCTTCATCAGCATTAACACAGAATCTATTCATAATTTTTTCTCTTTCTTCTTCAGAGACAGCCCAGAGGCATTTGGATAATTTCCTTTCCTTGCAAGGAGATGGAGATGATCCTGTACTTCTTCAGAAATAAGCAATATATCCGCAAAATCATACAATCTCGACCACATCTCTTTCCTCGCAGCTCTGAAATATGATACAGTAAAACTCACGATTCTGATAAACACAATAGATTCTGATAAACACAATTGAATCGTCGTTCATAAAACGAGAATCCAAATCTCATGTGATAGAGCTTAGAAGTAGAAACAGCTCTAGCAACAATGAGATATCAAAAACCCTAAAGAGTTTACAGAGAGAATTGAAGAAGAAGAAGATACAAACTTAGATATTTTTCTGGTTATCCTCCACAATCGATCTTCGAATTCTATTTAGCTTCAGTTCTTCTCCTCATTTCCAGCCAATCATTAGTTGCCAACTCACAACTTACACCTCCACCAATTAGATTTCATTAACCTTCCACGTCATCCCAGCCTACCATTTTCCTATAACAAATCTCCCCTCCTTAGAGAACCTTGACCTCAAGGTTCATGGTTTTCCAATTTACAGAGTAATGATGAGACGGATTTCTCTCAATATCATAAGAACTTGTTGTATTTAAGCCTCCGTTGATACTTCTTAGCACCTCAAAGTTTCCATTTCTTCGCCATCTCAGTTTTGTACTTAAAACACCAATCTTTTAAAAACTTACTCCACCAAGAATTGGTAAGCCAAGTGGTTCTATCAAACCAGTGTAGTACATAAACCACATTCAGCCCACAGACATATGTTGACTGCTCACACCAATCCGCCACTTCGAAGAAAAACCCTGTGATTTCTTCTCTTGAAGAACAAATGATCTTGTGTAATTTCAGTTCTGAATTTGCATCAGTCCACGCCAACATTTCCATCGATTTTTTGGCACAAATCGTTTCATGTTGCAGCAATAAACTTTTCACCAATTGCTCCCCTTCAAAACCTGTTTGGCTAGAGTGATGTTTAGCTTCCAAAGAGCACAGTTCCTCCGTAGGAACTTCATGAACACATATCATGGAAGGTTGAACTTGATCTTCTCTCCGCTTATGAAGCTTTAATGCCTTCACATCTCTGACGGAGCCTTGCCTAATACCCTGAAGAAGAACCTTTTTATGTCCTAAACGGAACTGCATCTCTAACTTCTTAAAATCACAAGTTATTGGCCCCAATGTCCCCATCCACTGAGCGCCTAATACCATATCACACCCCTTCAAGGGAATTATCATAAGATCAGCCTGAAATTGTGTGCCTCTAAATTCCCATTGGAACTTATCTATTTTAGCATCAACCTCCAACATTCTCCCATCATCGACTAAAACTCTAGCCATACTTGCAGGTTTTAAAACACATTTCAATTTCTCAGCTACTTTAGGATCCATGAAGTTGTGTGTAGAACTCGAGTCAAGAAGTATATACAAGACTTGCTTCTCATAAGAACCCTTCACCCTCATCATTCGATAATCAGAGATTCCTGAAACTGCTTTAACAGAAATATGAGCTATTACTCCAGTTTCCTCCAATTCAACCTTCTTTGCATGTACTTCTTCCAATTCCCCACCATCCTCTTCAGCTCCAAATCGTGGATTTTTGTACTTCTCATCACCAACATAACAAAGTTTTTGATCCCTTCGCTTACTCATATCTTCAGTGGATAAGACTTTGTGAGGCTGCGTTGTAGTATCCTTAGGTCTCTCCATACTAGTAAGAAGTACTGTTTTATGATCAGTCTCCGGTTTGGATGATAAAATCCCTTTAGACTGATTGCTACTTCCACTCCATTTAGCACCAGACCAATTGTTTACATTGTTCTTCTTGGGATGTGCTCGCTCATACAATTTTCCAATCAAGAAACATTGTTGAATCGTCTGAGGTTGAAACATCTTGACATTCACTTGAGTATCATTTTCCAGTCCTGTCAAATACAGACTTACCAAGTAATCTTCATCTAACTTCACTCTAGTGCTAATCGACTCGAAACGAGCATGATAAACTTCAATTCCTTCAATTTCCTGCAACAATTTCAGTTTTGCAATCGAATCATCCACATGCTTATTATATCTCACTTGCAACAGCAGTTTGTAACTCCACCAATCATGCCTAACATGCTTCCACCACATTGATTGTACAATTGATTGGTGCAAAGTCGCAACAATGTCATCGAAATGGATTGAAGCGATACCAACTTTAAATTCCTCCGGAGTACGATCAATTAAGAAGAATTGTTCAATCTGAAACAACCAATCCATGATTTTATCACCATGAAATCGTGGAAAATCAACTATCTCTAACCTTTTAGGATCTGCGTATCTCGAATGCGATCGAAGCCACATCTCTGATACCGTTTCACGAACCACTGCGGTCGCTTCTCTAGCCACCGTCTCCTTGATTGGAGTTTGCGATCTTGTCTCCGCCATGGATTCCGAGAATCTGTTGGCTCTGATACCTTTGATACAGTAAAACTCACGATTCTGATAAACACAATAGATTCTGATAAACACAATTGAATCGTCGTTCATAAAACGAGAATCCAAATCTCATGTGATAGAGCTTAGAAGTAGAAACAGCTCTAGCAACAATGAGATATCAAAAACCCTAAAGAGTTTACAGAGAGAATTGAAGAAGAAGAAGATACAAACTTAGATATTTTTCTGGTTATCCTCCACAATCGATCTTCGAATTCTATTTAGCTTCAGTTCTTCTCCTCATTTCCAGCCAATCATTAGTTGCCAACTCACAACTTACACCTCCACCAATTAGATTTCATTAACCTTCCACGTCATCCCAGCCTACCATTTTCCTATAACAAAATACATACTCATTGTTATCTAACTGAAAGCTCAAGGTCTGTGAGAGCAAAAACGTGAGGAAGAAGCTAATTAGAGAGAGAGAGAGAGAGAGAAACTGAGCCAAGGTGTGAAAGAGAGTGTCCTCTCTTGCCCTATATACTCCTCTACTTACATTAAATAACGTCACAAATTAAATATTATTGTCAAAATTAATAAGCTCACCGATTAACGTCCGTCGAATTTAATTTGCTCCTTGATTTATAACCATATAAAAAAAAAAAAAACAATTTGGTTTGACAAAAAAACAAACAAATAATTTGAGCAGTTTTTATCATCTGACTTTGATGAAACACAAAAATTGGCTCTTATGATTCTCACCACCGGAGCCGCTTCAACAATTCCCATCGCCGCTCGAGTTTTTAACGCTATGAATCGCCGAATGTATGCTGCTGCTACTCTATCATCTGCCAAATCCATCTCCGCAGAATCCCTAAATCCTCGTCCGGATTCCAATTTCGATTCAGGTCTCCTCTCTCTCCGAATTTATGTACTGATTCGTAACTGGTCCATTTGTTTATTACTCTAGTTGCTTGTTTTGGTATCAGGAGCAGCCATTGGAACTTCTGAGTCTGAGACTCGAGTCTCTTTAAGGAAGAAAAGGCTAAAGCAGGAAGATTTGGAGCCTGTGCAGCAATGTTCCAGCAGAGGAATCAATGCCCGCAAGGTATATATATAAATCTTGAGAGCTGCAGAGATTTGTAGGCAATTTGTTTATCCCTTGGCTTAAACAGTTTAGTTATTTCCAGAAACTGTTCAAGCCATGTATTATATGAATTATGATCCTCTTGGTCTTTGTTTATGTAATGCAGGAGATGTGTGGATTGCCTGATATAGAAGAGTCTCCTTACAAGAAGACTAATGGATCTGCTTCATCTAGTAAGTCTCACTGTGTATAGTTACATTTTCCCCCTCTTTTTTTTATATATATATATATATACTCTCCAACTCATAGCTAAATTTCTTGTATGAAATGGTTTTGCAGGGACGTCAAAAATAAACTCATTTATAAAATCAACAGAAGCTAGCACTTCGATCAAAACAGCAGGTTTTCTTTAACGTACTACAGTTTGGGTACATTTATTCTTTATGGAAAAAGGGATGTCCCTAAGATGTTTATTTAGGCATACCACCTGAAAACTGGAAAAAAGTGCTCGAGGGTATTCAAAAAATGAAATCTTCAGAAGAAGCACCGGCTAATGCTGTAGAATGTGATAGAACCGGAAGCTTTTTACCTCCAAAGGTAGAAATATCTTACTCTATATGGAATTGAGTTATTGCTGAGTTTGTGCCGATTGGTTTTATGTGGAAGTGTGCAGTGAGATAGTTTCATTGCTTTCTCAAATATTACTTCCCATTTGTTTTTTTATTATTACTTGGTACTCTATGCATAGATTGGGAACCAAGTTCCAAGTGGTTTACCGTGAATTGGTAACAAATGCTAGCTTACGATTAGAAAATTCTCTTATTCTGAATTCTTGCTTCCTTTGTTGTTTTCACATTTCATAAATTGAAATTGTGCTTAAAGGTAGATAGAAGGTCGCCCTTCTTGTTTTTGCTTTTGACCTTATCTCGCCCTATTTTTAGGAAAGGCGATTTTATGTGCTCATAGGAACACTTCTTTCAAGTCAGACTAAAGAGCACATAACTGGTGGTGAGATTTTAATTACTTAGCCCATGTTGCAAGAACGCTTAATTTCAGCATTCTAGTATCTCTGATATCATCTAAATCTCTAAGTTTCCTGATATTATATTCAAACACTTCTAATATGCAGCTGCAGTAGAACGACTTCATCAAAATGGCCTTCTCACTCCTGAAGCCATTGACAAAGCCGATGAGTCAACCATTAAGGAATTGATCTATCCGGTACATTATCCCTTTGTAATCTTACTTCATGTTGTTGAAGGGCTCTTTGACTCTGCTATGACCCCATCTGCCATATTTTTCATGAGAAGTATTTAGGAAATGAAAAGGAAAGGAGTGAGAAACTATAAATGGAAATTGTTGTTATCATTTTAATTTCGATATGAAACTTACTGTTTGCCCTTAACTTTTAGGTTGGATTCTATACTAGAAAGGCTACTAATGTGAAGAAAGTTGCAAAAATTTGTCTAATGAAATATGACGGTGACATTCCAAGGACTTTGGAAGAACTACTCTCACTTCCAGGAGTTGGTCCTAAGATTGCTCATCTGGTAAAAGTTGCCAATATTATTCAAGCTTTGTAAGAGAGATACTTGTTTTCAAAGTTCTTAAAAGGTTTCTTTTGATGTCCTGCGATAGGTTTTGCATGTAGCCTGGAATGATGTTCAAGGGATCTGTGTAGACACACATGTGCATCGCATTTGCAATAGACTTGGTTGGGTGTCTAAACCAGGAACAAAACAGGTGCTTCTCTAACATCAGGCTTATGTTGAATTATATATGGCTATGAGATTGATTGAATGATTTCTTAACACTTGGTAAAATTTTACTTCTTCTTTTGTTTGCTCATCTGCTCTTGGTCACCTATCTCTAATTTGTGCTTGACCAGAAAACCTTGTCCCCTGAGGAAACTAGAGTAGCTCTGCAACAATGGCTTCCAAAAGAAGAATGGGTGGCTATTAACTTTCTGTTGGTGCGTCATTCTGGGAGATCCTAACTAAATGATGCATGGCCATACATAAAAAAATCTACTTACGACTATTATGAACATTTCATATGTCAGGGATATAAATGCTTGAAACCTCTATAACTCCAATTAATCTTCATCCTCTCTATTTTGTTGTCTGAAATATAAACAGGTAGGATTTGGACAAACGATATGCACACCGCTAAGACCACGCTGTGGAACTTGTAGTATCACTGAGCTTTGCCCTTCTGCCTTTAAGGAGACCCCGAGCACATCATCCAAATTGAAGAAATCTATCAAAAGCAAGAAGCTTTAGTCGCTTTGGCTGTGTATTACTCCTTCTAGATCATTTTTTAACCCATTTTGTGATTAGTTAGTCCTCGGTAAAAGTTAAATTGTACCCAAGAAATTGTATAGCTTTACGGGGAATGCAAGAGCATCCCACTTGTGTAACATAAAGACTGAAACTTGGGCAAGTATACTTTTAATTGATTATTACGAAAAAAGCTTATAAGATAATTCAAGAACCTTTTAAATGTTTTTCCACTAAAAGCAAGTGATTTGGAGTCATCTACCTTGTAATCTATCTAATTTTGTTAGCAAACTTTAAATTTTTTTGAATTGCCCTCATATAGAATTAACTGATATTCTTTTTTTGGTCAAACCAAAATTAACTGATAAACAAATTGAATTTTGCAAGACGGAAGAATCCTCCTTACTGATGGCTGTCACATTGGGTTTAAGAAATGTTAACGGTCATAAAAGTTTTAATTTTTAAACTAAAGGTATAAAAGAATGAAAGTTATGGGGTTAATATTATGACATATGATAAATTTCGGGGAGTACTTTCAAAATAATCTAAACTTGGACTAGGAGAGAGCTAGGGATAGAGATATTCTTACGTCCAAACAGAGAGAGTGGGGAAGAAAATTTTATTAAAGCAGCAGCCGGAAAAATAAAAAGAAAAAAAAAAAAAAACGCTCGAAGAGAGAAAAAAAAAAAAAAAAGAGGGAGAAGAGCAACGAAGACGGACCTGCAAATTCTGCAGTCTCCACTGACACTTTCGATCATTCTCTCTGTTCACCTTCTTCAATCCTCAGGTTTCTTCGTCTTTATGTTATCATCTATCTCTTACGCTTGTTCAATTTTGCATTCTCTCCGTTCATTTCTCAGTTGATTTGTCTCGTCGAGTTCTTTGGCTAATGCAATCGGATAAACAGTCGTTTTAGTTGTTGATTAGCAAGAATCTCTTCATCGTTCTGAACAGGAACCGTTGATTTGATTGAGGATGATCATTTTCACCTTCAGTTTCTAGGGTTTGGTTTAGAATTTTCTTTGTTTCGCTAGGAGGTTTAGTGGCTTTCTCTTTGGGGTTTATCTCTATGAATGCATGTCTATTAGGAGTCGGCGTACCTAGAAAGGGCGTGTCTATGAGAGAATGTTAGATGTGTTCCTTCTGGGATTCTTTTGATTTGCGAAATTTGTTTTTCCTACAATTCTTCTAGTGTTTGAGTGTTTCTTCTATTCTACATGTCTGATTCCTGTAGATTACGTTGTTTGTGGTATTTGAGATATTCTCTCCTTTTATCTGATAGAAATTGCAACTTTGTTTTGTTAGTTTTGAAATTATTTTTCATTTAGTGTGCTGGTTATGGTGTGGAAATTTGATCTGTGAATCTTGGATTTGTAGTTTATGGAAGGAGATAATCATCAGAGGTAGCATTTCTCCATGCATCCTAAGCGATCAAGTCAAGGAGATGGGTCAGTTACTAAGCCAGTTAGAAGCAGTGATAGGCTTAGGAGGAGGCCCAAATTGTATAATCGCTCATACGTATACTACTCACCAAACATATTACATAATAGGAAAAGAAACGCAAAGACAAGAACGGCAGCCTCTCAGATCGCAAAGATGCTGCACAAAGGGAACCGTCCAGCGAGGGCATCTAATGCCGCGGTAAGCATTACATGTTTCTTCCTATGATATTGCATCAGTGCTATAATATCTGGCACTTCACCTTGGTTTACTTTAATTTCTTTGATAGTTTTATCCTTCAGTACATCATTGGTAAGTGGATATATATGATCATCTGTTTTTTTTATCTTGTATTGATTTTGTATTTTTACTGGTTATTGTGTCTGCGGAGGGTATCAGGGGGACAACATGAAATTAGTCTGATCGGTTCTTTTCTTTGTAATGCACACTGTTTTTCTTTTTGTCTGATTAAACCAGAATGTTGATAACATTGCTCATGACTTACAGCCAATTGCATCTGATCTCCGGCGTTCCACGAGGAAGAGAAGAATTTCTGTAAACCTTGAGGACTATACAGACAGTTCTGGAGCGGAGGATGAAGATATGATGGTCAGGATATATTCCTCTTTAAAATGGCACTTCGATAACGTAACTTAAAGCTATCTTATAAGTACTGTGGTATGCCTGCTGAAAATAAGTTTCTGTTCTTTTTCAGAGTCCAGCATATCGAACCTTGAGGAGTAGAGTCTATAATGGAGTTCATAAAAATTACTCAACTTCAAAAAGTAGAAAGGATATGGATGCTGAATTGGCACCACGTCGTGAAGGTCTCCGTCCTCGTCGTTCAAATAAACGACTGAAAACAGAATCTGGTACTGACCAAGATACATCAGAAGAGAAAGATGGCCAAGATGAAACCGAGAATGGGAATGAATTAGATGATGCGGATGATGGTGAAAATGAGGTTGAGGCTGAAGACGAGGGTAATGGAGAAGATGAAGGTGATGGCGAAGATGAGGAAGAAGAAGATGGTGATGATGATGAAGAGGGTGATGAAGAACAAGAGGGAAGGAAGAGATATGATCTGCGAAACCGTGCTGAAGTGCGGAGGATGCCTACAGAAGAAATCAACAAGCAACAACAACCTAGATCTCCTCGGAGAGTATTGCACCAAGGCATGGGCACCAGGGTTGGAAGGCATGTTAGGAGAGGTGGGTCTCGGCCTCACAAGCGCCATCGTTTTACAAGAACAGATGATTCAGATGATTCTCTTCTTGTGGACGAGTTGGACCAGGGCCCTGCAATTCCCTGGGCTCGAGGTGGAAACAGATCTGGAGCACCTTGGCTATTTGGGGGTTTGGACACGTATGGGTCAAGTTCATTGGGGTTGAACGTTGGAGCTTCTGGTTGGGGTCACCAGAGTGATGGTTTGGCTGCATTAACTTCTGGTGTTCAGACTGCTGGGCCAAGCTCTAAAGGAGGTGCAGATATCCAGCCACTGCAGATTAATGAGGATATAAATTTTGATGACATTGGTGGGCTGTCCGAATACATCAATGATTTGAAGGAAATGGTTTTCTTTCCCTTGCTGTATCCAGAGTTCTTTGCAAGTTACAGCATTACTCCTCCCAGAGGTGTACTGCTGTGTGGTCCTCCAGGCACGGGTAAAACACTGATTGCTCGAGCATTAGCATGTGCTGCTTCAAAAGCTGGACAGAAAGTTAGCTTTTATATGCGGAAGGGTGCTGATGTTCTTAGCAAGTGGGTTGGCGAAGCTGAGAGACAGCTAAAGCTACTCTTTGAGGAGGCTCAGCGAAACCAGCCTTCCATAATCTTTTTTGATGAAATTGATGGTCTTGCTCCTGTAAGATCTAGCAAACAGGAACAAATACATAATTCTATTGTTTCAACTTTGCTGGCGCTGATGGATGGCCTCGATTCTCGTGGTCAAGTTGTTCTCATTGGAGCAACAAACAGGGTAGATGCAATAGATGGCGCGTTACGCCGCCCTGGCAGATTCGATCGGGAGTTCAATTTTTCTTTACCAGGCTGCGAAGCACGAGCCGAAATATTGGATATTCACACTCGTAAATGGAAGCACCCACCTACTAGGGAGCTGAAAGAGGAACTGGCAGCTACTTGTGTAGGGTATTGTGGTGCTGATCTAAAAGCTTTGTGCACTGAAGCTGCGATTCGTGCTTTTCGTGAGAAATATCCACAAGTTTATACCAGTGATGATAAATACGCCATAGATGTTGGGTTGGTTAACGTTGAGAAGAGCCACTTTGTAGAGGCAATGTCAGCTATTACTCCTGCTGCCCATAGAGGGTCTGTTGTGCAATCCAGACCACTCTCTCCGGTTGTATTGCCATGTTTACATCGACACCTCCTTGAATCCATGAGTATAATATCAGATATTTTTCCCTCGTCAGCCACGTCATCGGATTTGACGAAGCTGTCAATACTTTCATTTGGATCTGCAATTCCTCTTGTTTATCGACCTCGACTTTTGCTGCTTGGTGGTGAAGGAGTTGGACTGGTAATTGCTTGTCGTTTCTTGTGATTATGTCTGAAAGCTTTATTATTATGAACTGAATTCACTTACTTGTTAGTCGAACAGGATCATCTTGGGCCTGCAATTTTACATGAGCTAGAAAAATTCCCTATTCATTCTCTGGGACTTCCATCTCTCCTTTCGGATCCTGGTGCAAAGACCCCGGAAGAGGCGTTAGTACATATATTTAGTGAAGCTAGGAGAACAACACCTTCAATACTTTACATACCAATGTTCAATAATTGGTGGGAAAATGTAAGTGTGTTTTTATTATCTAAATTCCACTTTGCTGCAGTGACTTTTGGAGATCATGTTTACATGTTTGCTTAATACAATGTAGGTTGTCCTGTTGGTTGTTTTAGATTGCTAGTCTGATGATCTTGATACTGATGACTGCAGGCTCATGAACAGCTTAGGGCTGTATTTCTGACTTTGTTAGAAGAATTGCCATCAAATCTACCCATATTATTACTTGCTACATCTTATGGTGAATTATCTGACGTGGAAGAGCAGACAGTATTTGACAATCGATCTATGTAAGTTTATGTTTTGCTTGTAATCACTTTGTCCAGTACCATACTACAACTTTATTATTAGCTTTTCTTTTGTTTTCCCATAAAAGCTGGTAGGTCACTTTCTTTGACCTGCTTCTCCATATAATTATATACTGTACAAACTTCTTGTGAAAGTCGGTCATCTTTTCAATGTCAAAAGGCATGCATTAGTAGCATGCATGTGAGTTAGTAAGCTGTAGATGCTTACGTATGTTTTCCAAGTTGATGTTTTTGGTTTGTCTAAAATTGATTGGCAAGTAATGATCAGATTAAGTTATTATGAACTTATACAATATATTTGACAAATTACATGAAAGTTCAGAGAAAAATTCCTGTGAAATAGCATTGCATTTTTATTGGTGTCATTCCCCAACTTAGCTACTTTTTTTTTTTTTTTTTTTGTTAACAATGTTAAGTGCAACGTAGCTACTTTTTCCTTGGTTCTCGTTACAAATATAATTTTCTTCATTCTATTGGTTTCCATGAAATGGTCCTCACGCTTATGGTTTATAATTCAGTTTCTCATACTGTGTACATTTGTTTTCAGCTATACTGTGGACAAACCATCAAGTGAAGATAGGTCTTTGTTCTTTGACCGTTTGATTGAAGCTGCTCTCTCAGTTATTTCTGGCTTAAATGGCAAACCATTTGGACCACAACCCCTTCCAGAACTTCCCAAGGTTCCAAAAGAACCTGCTGGTCCAAAACCTGCAGAAGTAAAAGCCAAGGTGGAAGCAGAGCAGCATTCCCTTCGACGATTGCGTATGTGTCTCAGAGATGTTTGCAATAGGTAAATGTGTCTGGGCCCTCACGTTAAATAAACACCCATGCAAAGTGTGACTCAACACAATATTTGGTAGCTGTAAATGCTCTCGTTTTATCTATATGCTTATGTGATAGAACAGTTGGTTTGTAGATCAGGTGCACTTCAAAAAATACTGAGATTCAGCTTTTGGAAATACTTACCTGGTTTCTTCTCTGTCATTTTTTTATAATCTTCATTACACTCTACTGCATGGCTTGCAGTGTGTTTATGTTGAAGCTTTATTATTGTTGTCTTTATACTTAGATCAAGAACGCCTTTTACTTTTTGTCAACGGAGATGAACATTATTTGATATAACAGTACTGATATAGCTCTCAAATTTTACATAGGGTAGCCTTGCCATTTCTATAATGTAGGGAGTTTCTTTAATTGTCTCTTGTTATTGGTTTTTTTTTTTTTAACATATTGTAACTTATGGGATACTTTTGCTGTGCAGGATACTATATGATAAAAGATTCAGCGCATTCCACTTTCCAGTTACGGACGAGGATGCTCCAAACTATCGCTCAATAATTCAAAATCCAATGGATACGGCTACTCTGCTGCAGCGTGTTGATACTGGGCAGTATCTGACATGTGCACCGTTCTTGCAAGACGTTGATCTCATTGTGAGAAATGCCAAGGTGCACTCCTGTTTTACAACACATCTCTTTTACATGGCTATTAAACCTTGACAATTCAAAAAATGTGGTCACTGCACTAGAAAGTTATAAAGAGAGAGTTGTTGGTTGGTGTGGACATTGTCCTTACTATTCATTTTTTTATCATTTGATATTTTGAGGGAATAGATGCTTCCTTGAACAGAATGATTCAATGCTAATGAATGAGACTCTTACCCATGAAGTTTGTTTTAACTTTATTCAATTATTATCCAGGCTTACAATGGAGATGATTATGCAGGAGCGAGAATTGTCAGTAGAGCCTATGAGCTTCGAGATGTAGTATGTTTGCAAGTCTCTAATCCCCCATTTAAAATTGCTGCAAGTTTATCATCCCCCAAATGCTGTTATCTGAAGCCATATTTGTCATTATGTTTCAGGTGCATGGGATGCTGTCACAGATGGACCCAGCGCTGCTAACATATTGTGATAAGATCGCAGCTGAAGGTGGTCCTTCACAGATACCAGATGATCTGAGTGGATCAATCCTCGGTTTAGCTCCTGTTGTGCAGATGGGAACTGTTACTAGAACCAGTGCCCGACTTCGAAATGTGCAGCCAGAGGTTAATTTAGATCGAGATTATGAAGGTCTTAAAAAGCCCAAGAAAACTACTGATGCTGTCTGTACAGGTAATGCCACTGCAACCGAAGATTTGGTTCTTGTTTTACATGTTAAGTGTCGGTGGTTTGCTTTCCCTTGAGACTTTTGAGTTCATACGATCTCAGGTTCCTAGATGTAGAAAAACTCTTTGATAATGAGACTTTTTAATACTTGTGGTGTGTGTTTACGTTGTGATGAACAGATTCAGCTGCAGACAAATCACAAAACCAAGATGCAAGCAAAGAGATGCCATCTCCGGAAGCGGCCAACACACAGTCAGCAGTTCCTTCTCCAACAGATGGTGATAGAGAAGACCGAAGCGAGCCACCAAGTAAAGAGGCATCTGCAGAAGATGTGAGTGGTGATTCTTCCAGGGATTTTGCTAAGTCGGATGAAGAAATTTCAAGCCAAACAGAATCTGTAAAGGGACTACTCATGGAACGCACTGACAACTACAGCATTCCGCAGATGGAGAGGCTCTACACTCGAATCATGAAGGGTGTTCTTGAGACTTTAGACAAAGGGCTTCGTGATGATGATAATAACCCTAAGCATTCAATTTTGAGATTTTTGTCGGAATTCGCTCAGCATCAGGCGAATTTCTGAGGCTAAATTTTCTCATATCGGTCACTAGGTAGGTTTGCTTAAAGAAAGGAACAAAGAAGTTTTTGTTTTTAATCCGGATTCTTCTTTGACTGAAAAAGCTGCAAGAACAAATGGTAGTAGTTTATCGTTAGGATTCTATTGTAAAGTTGTACTTTCATCTTTCATTCTTAGACAAAAGCCATAAAGAAAACCAAAAGGATTTCTCGATTAATCTTTAGCCTATGACCGTATCTTGTAATTGTTCTTTCTTGTTTGGCTTATAAAACCATCTCTCGATGTGGTGTTGTTACCTACTACTATACAAGTAATTTGGTCAAAGATGAAACACAGCCTAGCATCGTATATTTTAAATAACACTATGAAACGGGAATTTTAGTAAAAAATAAATGAAACAAAGAAGAAAATAATCTTTGGGTACTCTCTCTAATTCTCTGTCACTCGAGTTTCTGTTATGACCGTTGGAGATGAATTCGAGCGGGAAAATCAACCTGACGCACTGAGACTTTTGTCAACGCTTTAAAAACAAATTCTTAGACGCTTTTAAAGACTCGAGAGAGAAAAAATTCAGGACCCTTGGCACCATTTTCTCAACCGCTCTCTCTCTCTTCTTTGTTTATCTAGACTTGGCAATTTTTGTGCTCCTTTTCTCTACGCTTGAACAACTCATTTGGCTTTCGCGATTCATACAACTTCTCACCGGCATAGAAGAAGAGATGAGTTCGCGTGATAACCAAAAAAAACCCAAGACTGTCGCACAAGTAAGAGAAGAGAAAAGGAAGAGAAGAGAAGAGATGAGTTCGCGTGATAACCAAAAAAAGACCAAGACTGTCGCACAAGTAAGAGAAGAGAAAAGAAAGAGATTCTTCGATCGCGTCCCCAAAGGAAAAAGGGAAGGTCACGCATACCTTCGCAAGGATCCAGAGCCGCAAGTTGCTTCTGTCCCCAAGACTGTCCCAGAAGATAAAGATGTGATATTGGATAGAATCTTGAGTAACGTCCCCAGAAGAAAAAAGACTACCTCTTACGAATACGTCCGACCAAAAGACCCACAAGAACCGATAAAGACACCGGAAGTCCCAACCTCTTCTCGAAATCGGATAAAGGCACCAGAATGGCTTGTCCAGGTTATGAACGGCGCTGATGATCCGAAGCTAGTCATAGTGAAGACTCTGGACTCGAACGATGTTGATCCACTTCAAAACCGTCTCTCAATCCCTATCAATAGCGTAATCCAAAACGATTTCTTGACGCTTGACGAGTCAAGATTGATTGATGACGACGACATCACTAACCAAGGGAATATGGGTGTGGCATCGTTTCTTATGGATCAACGTAGTAAAAAGTGGAACGTAGGTTTTAAGCAATGGTTTATGACGACTGATTCAGGGAGCAGCTACTGGAGTTTTGTGTTGAGAGGTGAATGGAGCAACGTCGTTAAGACTAATGGATTGAAAGAAGGCGACAAAATCAGTCTTTGGTCTTTCAGGTCCAATGAAATCCTCTGCTTTGCCCTTGTTCCTCCCACGAGCTCTGTTGTTGATTCTGTAGATAAGTAAAAAGTTTTTATTTTTTGGGACTAGAAGATGTTACTATGGTTTTGGTACGAAGTTGGGATCTTTATCTTGTTGTTTTTTCTCTTCCATTAGTAAATTGATGAAGAAATTTCATTAGGAGTCAAAGTAAGTCGTGTGCTTTCTCGTTCAATGGAGGTCACTATACTCTCTGTTTACAGAAAGTTTATACTTTTGACATGACTCTGGGTTTGTTGCTTGATGTACAAGCACACATATCAACTTCAATTGCTAGTGATTTTTAGGCCTACTTTAGTTACTGCATTGGTCCAATGGTCAACTGTTTTGGTACATTCCTCCAAAATGCTCTTAGGGATCAAGATAGATTCTACTTATGTTAAGGCAGAATCCAGAAGGATCTTGAGTTCCTCTGATGATGACCCTGCAGAACTAAGACCCTTGTTGTGATTTGTGAGTGACAAACTTAAGACTATATTCTCTTCCGCATCCAATGTAGTTCTTCACCACATATCTGTCTCAACATCATCTGACTCCAATGCATTCGACGTCAAACGCTTCTCTTGACTTCAATGCATTAGCTATATATCGCCTGACTGCTAAAACCAATTCTATCCTCCATATGAAAACATCAACACAACATTTTCACAATCTTTGCCGCAGTCGATGAGGATCAAACATGTCTGACTTGACTAGAGTCAATCTTAAAATGTGTTGAACCAGCAAGTATTTATCCAACCATCTTCAGTGTTGTCACAGAGGTTGAGAGCAGCATAGCTTAATAATAATAAGTCTTGAAAGGCATAAAGTCAATAATAGTAATCCTTATATCTTCCGAGTTGCAAATTCTCTATCCTACACCTTTAATGGGCCTAAATTCTCTTCCCATTTGAAGCCCAATTACCAATTACAGCAATGCTTGACCCATCAATCCAAAGTCCAAACATTAGGCGATTCACTGCACTAATTACTGATTTTCGCTTAAAATTATATAAAAGTAAAAACTATAGGGAAAAATTACAAAAACCAAAAAGGAAGATTATGCATTTTGCCATCGCACATACATTTCCATTTAATGCATATTATTACACACACTCTCAAAAGACAATGATGTAAAAAATACGCAAGTCGGTCATAATTAATAGGGTACTAATCCCAATAGTTAAACTACAGTATTGTGCTGAAAGGAAAAAATGGAAAAAAAGACCTATTTAATAACGTCAACACAGGCACTTTCTTTTTACTCATTCTCATTCTGTCTCTAAACTTTCCTTCTTCCTCAAGCTTCTCTCTCTTTGATCTCGAGTTAGGGTTCCGATCATAATGACAACAATCGACGATGATCACACGGCTGAGAGAAATAAGATGGGGTCGACCTCGGAGCTTTATGAGTTGGCGGGTGTCAAGGCTACGTTGAATGATGCAGAACAACGCGCAAGAAAAGGAAAAGCCAAGATTGTCTCTAAAGAAGAAGACAACGTCTTTATCAAAAAGAAAAAAGACGATGACGAAGAGAGCGAGAAGAAGAAATTCTTCAGTCATGTCCCCAGAAAGATAAGGCCTGCGCTTAGATACCCACAACCTAACTTTGAAAACCCTAATGGGGCTTCTACTTCTTCTTCATCGCCTTGTTCTTCAACCTTACCCTTTGGAAACTACATCCCTGATGAGTACAAGAAGACAGAGATGAAAAACCCATCAAACACTAATCACCAATGGTCTCCATATCCGTGGCTAACGGAGTACACAAACCCCACCGAGGTGCGTGAGATGTTACAGAGAAGGAGTAGTGGTGGATTCAAGAAACCGAAGGTAACTTTTTTTCCAAGGAGGACGTGGGGGATGCCGTGGTGGCAATTTCAGGTGATGAGAGACATGAATGGAGAAGACCTGACACTAATCTTAGAGAAGACTCTGTCCAAATCTGATGTCAACCCAACACTGGGCCGTCTCTTAATGCCTTTCAACAGCTTAATCAGGAACGAGTTCTTGACGCCTGAGGAGCGGAGTATCATAGAAGAAGATATCGACAATGATGATGATGAGAAGATGGAAGTGGGAGCCATTCTCGTGGATCCAAGGTTTGAAAAGTGGGGTGTGGTTTTGAAGAAATGGGAGGTGGGGAATCATTCAGGAAACGTAAGCTGGAATTACTGTTTGACTTGTGGTTGGAACGATGTTGTTAAGGCTAATGATTTGAAAGACGGTGACAACATCGGTGTTTGGGCGTTTAGGTGCGGTGGAGTCCTCTGTTTTGCCCTTGTTCCTCTTTCTTTTACCATGAGATCACAGGGTAGATCCTATCTTCGTTTTTGAGACGTTTCTTGTGTCTGTTGAGCTTGATTAGTCTAATTTCAGGCGATTCTTGAGGTTTTTGGTCTAGTTACTACTTGGATTAGTAATTTGCAAAATTAGGGTTCTTTCTACGATTGTGATCGATCTTACACTTTTGTGGGTTTCTCTCTTTTATTATTAGCAAGTTTTTTTTTTTTTTTTTTTTTCTGATTCTATACTAATGATTCGATAAATTTTTTGAGATGAAGATGCTTTTTGAGATTGTTTGATAGTTTCCTTAACCTGAATCTTGATGAGGAGGTTACTGGAAAGTATTGTAAAACCTAAATCTTTTCTCCAATTTGCTTAACTATTGAAAACAAGTCTTTCTTTTCTTCCAAGTAAGTTAATAGCTTCTATATGAGGAGGCATAAGAGCTAAGAAAACAAATTCTCTCTCTATAAAACAACAGTCACTTTTTTCAGTTTTCACTCACATCCTCGTTCTCTCTCTCTCTCTCTCTCATTTTCTTTCTTCCTCACGCTCTTGCTCTCTGAACTTGATTTTGGTTTTCCGATCACAATGACGACAATCCAAGATGGTCTCGCGATTCTGGTAGATCAAAGGACTGGAAAATGGGGTGTGATTTGAAACACGGCGACTACATCAGTCTTTGGTCTTTCAGATGCCGTGGAATCCTATGTTTGCCCTTGTTCCTCCTCTTACATTGAGACAGAGTAGCTCTTCCAATGCTCTCCGTCTCTGCTAAGCTTCTTGTCTCTGTGGAGATTGATCTTCTTCTTGTCTAAGTTCAAGCGATTCTAGAGGTTTTTGTTCAAGTAATGGAGGTTTCATTATCAACGTTGTGGTTTTTATTGATTGATTTTACACCTTGTTGGCTTTTTTCCTCTGTTATTATTATTAAGCTTGTTGTTTCTGAGTCTATACTATGATTCGATGACTACTTTGACATAAGCATGCTTATGTGGTCTCTTGGACTATTAGATAGCAAAATCCAATTTTGATTACTAAGTCTAAGAACGAACTGATGAATGTTTTTAACATGACTCTGGTTTTGGTGCTTGGTCTACTTTAGTTACTGCATCAGTTAATACCTTTGATTTCTTGTAATATATCTAAAAGTCTGAACCGGAGAATGGAGTTGGTACAAATCTTGCTATTGTTTTATACATTCCTCCAAAATGCCCATACATATCAAAATCAGGGTTGTTTTCTACTTATGCTGGAAGTTAGTTTGGTTTCTGAGGTGCTCTTGAATCTCACTAAATCATGACAAGTTGGCTGTTGTGCTGTGTTGTAACTTAGTTAGCAAGCAATCTGCCGCAGATTCCCTAGCTTCCTCAGGATCAGACTTTTCCTCTCCATGTATTGTATAAGCGACATGATTCCCTGTGATTGTTACTTCAGCTTCATATCCACCTTTTTGAACAAAGCAACAACATCAACAGGAAAATTTTGAGTGAGTAAAGGAGCTGAACTACGAATTTGTCATATGATCTCAAAACTTTACCATCTGATGGAGACACACGATAGTTTGGTAGTACCCAGTTATTCACGAGACAGATATCATCGAGTTTCTGCAATAAATAGAGGCAATGAATCTTAATTCCTTGAACAAGAATTGATCAAAGTTGCCATAAACTAACCTGACACAGACTTTTAGTAGTAGGAAGTGTTTCACAGAGCTTCAGCCTCTTGTTGCTTTGGCATGCTGACTTGTCAAGAGATTCTTGAAGCATACGCCTCGGGTATGTCTCGTTACAGCACTCGAGTACTGTTTCTAATTGCAGCTCCCAATCACCTATAACACCCACGAGAATCACTCAGGTTCATGAAAAAACAAAGCTGTGGCAGAAAGGAAAAGTATATGGTATATACATACCTTTGATGTTCTGGATGCATTTATCACATTTAGCAATCTCGTCTTCTATGTTCCGCTGTTGACGAGTCTGCAGCCCGAGAAAACGAGAGCAGCTCTTAATCATAAAATAAAGATATATGCTATTGCCAATCAGTTTTTTTTGCTGTGTTGTGTATCTTTGAACAAATTCTACAGTTATTACCAGTTTATCTCGTTTGCAATGAAGAACTTTCAGTGCAGTTTCGGATAGAGATGTTGCTTTAGAAAGAAGAGACGTCTGTAGCTCCTCAAGGTTTAGATTAGCGTTGTGAGCAGAAACAGGAGTTGCATTAAGCTTAAGAATGCTATTAAGTCTGTCAGGAACAGCTTTCTTCCTCTGGATACCTCTTTCTTTGAGATCCTTTGGGTCAGACGCAACCTGCATTTACAAAAGGGTGATAAAGGATACTTGATGATTAAATTGTGAATATATAATTGTTAGTGTAGATTTCAGACTTCACCTCGAAACCACCTTTCTCTCCATTCGAATAGCTATCCTTACAAGGGCTCATTTTATTATCTACATTCTTAGCATTCAACGCAAATACTGTCTCCGAGTGAACATTAGGTTCCTTCGCAACACTTGTACTTCCTTTTAAGTACCGATTTTGTAACCTCGGAGTAGCTTTTCCTCTAGCTCTAGGATTGCTAAGTAGAGCGGCAACTTTTTTGGCCTGCAATTTAAATTCTTAAGTTAATTTGTAATACATTTTCCTTAACACAAGTATACAAGTATCATTACGAGAGCATACTTTAATTTCATATCTCCTTTTTAAAGCAGCATTTTCTCGTCTTTTAAAAATGTCGGAAAGTTCCGACTCCTTCGTTGCATCAGCCTTGCCATTGCTTTCGATATCATCACATACAGATTCTGGTTCTTTCTCTATCACAGATTCAGTATCTCCTCGCCTGAAAAAGCAGAATAAACTTATATTGCTACCCCCTACACTAGAAAAGATACCAAAAAAACTCAAAAGTAATGTTAAGGAATAACAACTTAGGAAGGAAAAAAGATGCAATTAAACCTGGAAAACCAATCCTCAATGAGACTGGCATATGGAAGAACATGAAAGTATTCCACTATGGAATTCATAGTCCAGTCAGAGAAGCTCTTCTCAAATAAAGGACCCTGCATACTATTTACGTAGAGAAGAGCAAATGGGGATGATTAGGAATATCATATCAATACCTCCTTAAGTATAGAATTATCCAATCATGCAACTAATGTGAAGTAAAGTGAGTTCAAGAATAACAGCTGAGAGACCATCTTTGCCAAAATTTGGGAGTCAATAGTTATTTACCGATTTTTTAGTGAATATAAGGTCCTTTGAGTTGCCATAACTATTGTAGCTAGGGCCTTTCCTTTCGATACCAAAATGGACTTACCAACTAAGCACTTCTTCGACAGGATTTTCTCCAGAAAATTTGTCTTGTGAAGTGCACTTCATTATGTAAAAGCGGACTGCTGCCTTCTCTTCACTCAAGGAGCATACCAAATGCCTCTCCAAGATCTCAATGTCCTTGTGATTAACACCTGCAAAAGATTCAAAACTGTTGAAGTAACTTAGAGAAAGAATGCAAAAAATAGAACCCAAATGATCAGTCTTTCAAACTAACCTGTGGCCTCCTTGATAGCAGCAAATGCAACTTTCTGAAAGACGACCTCTTCTTTCTGATTCTCCCTAGCAGTTTTCTCTTTTTCAATGGGTTTTTCAAGTAGTGACCAGACACCTTGTGTGATGGAACTGTGTTGAAGATAACAATTCTTCTTCTCTGAGTCAACAAGCAGAACAGCAACTTTCCTTATGGGATACTTGTTCAAGATAAAAAGATCCGAAGACGCATCTAAGCTCATTGACAAGCTACATGCATCCACAATAACCTTCTCCAGCAATACGGTTTGTCCTGAATCACCATCTTCCTTCAAATGCTGGAGCAGAGCAGGCCTCATAACCGTAGCTAAGCTACGGAAAGACTCAAAGGACAAACATTCCAGATGAGGATTGTCTTTTCTGTGGTAATAATTATAGAGCAACACAAGAGCATGAACCTGAATCAACACCATCGAAAAAAAAGAAGAAAAAAAAAACAGAAGTTAAAAACAAGACAATGCAGTCTAAATAGAGCTAATCAGACAAGCAATTAGAGATTTTGAAGTCCAGCGAGAGACAGAGGAAGTTGAGAAATCACCTGTTTGGCAACAGATTCTCGGACAGATTTCGAAGGAACATCATCAGTTGGTTTTGATGGAAGCAGAGGGTCGACTAAGCTTTCTAATAAAGCTCGAATGGCGTCCTCTGTCGGACAAGAAACCATAGTGGTGGTGGTCTTCGTGACTGGTAAACTACAATCCACCTCCTCCCTAAACCTTAAGAAGAAATTGCAGAAGAAGAAGAAGAAGCCGAATAGATTCAAGGAGCGAAGAAGTGTTGAAAAGAGAATAAAGTTGAGATTTTTAATTTTAATTTTGATGGTGTAACGAAGGAGAAAGTGAAGAACTTTACCGGGAAAGGAAAACCCTAGATTTGTTTTAAAATGTCTCCGATTACCGTTTTTGGTAATGAGAGAAGAATTCAAAATTTAGATATGTGTCAGCGCTCTCTCTCTCTCTCCTTCTTATTAAAGACAAAAAGAAGAAGATCATCTAAACTTCGTGTTTTTTCCTTTTTATGTTATTTTTTTGTTAATTAGTGGGAAATTCGAATAGGCGCCAATATTTTCGGGGCTTTACTGTAATACTGTGTCTTCTTCGAGGGTATTTGTGGAAATTCTTATCGTACAGTGTGGTTTACTCTAGGTTGCATGGAATCAGAAGCGGGTACGCGGAAGCGAAGCGTTTGGAAACGTGGAAGCGATTTTTATAGAAATTATAGAAAATGGGTACGTGTTGGAAGCATATATAAAAATTAATATATATATATATACATATATAATAAACATTAAACATTATATCATATAAAAAATTATAATTAACATACAAATCTAATACATAAATTCTAAATATCTCTCTATATTTAAAAATCAAATAGTGTACGTTTACAATAGAGAAAAGTCAAAAATTTAAGATCATTCTTCATTCTCATTTTATTAATTCCATCAAATAAAATTGTTTTAATTTTTTTTTACCAATAAAAACATCATCAAACTCAAATTTCTCGAAATTAATTTAATTCAGTTAATCATTTCAACATCTCCCTAATAAATGATCCATGCTTCTATCATTTTTCTAACTATGATATTTTAAAAAATAAAATACAAAATTAGTATGCAAAATTAGTTTTGGTTTTTCTTTTGTTGTATAAAAAAACTATCAAAATAATTTCATATTTCTTATTTATTTTGTGACATCAAATTTTTTTAAATGGAATCGCAAGCTTTCAAAATAGAATCGTAAGCTTCCAAGCGTTATGGAAGCGAGATTCTGAAAGCTTCCGAGAGCTTCCGACTCCGACTAAGATTCCGAAACGGGAAGCGGACATCGGACGAAGCTTCCGTGCTTCCTAGGGTTTACTGAGAATCTCTAGTGATTGATTGATAGGACTGGTCTGTTCAATTTGATTTTGAGTTTGACTATGGATCTTGTTTCAAAAAAAAATCAGGACTTTTGAACTTCTGTCATCCAAATTGCTTAATTTGCACGATCATACAAGTAACCAGAGAATATTCATCAAAACTTCTTGTACCTCATTTATCAATTCAGATAAGAAATCAACACAATACATTATAGTACATCCCAAGTTTGTCATTTTCAGAGCAAACCAGACACAATACATTGACCGACCGACCAGAACCAGCACACTTCTCAACCCTAAACCACCACAAAGACTCTGGTTCCAACCCCCCCAAACTCATACACAGAACAAGACACACACAGCTCATTACATACAAACAATCAACAACACTTTGAATCAATCAATGATATTTCCAACCCCAAAAAACAAAGACAGTTCTGAGTTTTTGCACGACTTTTCGGTGCTTCTGCTCTCTTCCAAGGTTTTAACAAATGCTTCCTTGATGATTATAACATTTTTTTTTTCACAATGGAGAAATGAAATGAATCAATCATTGTTCCTTCCAGAAAGAGCCAAGAGATGACTAAGAATATACGAAGCATAAGATTACACGTGATAATATATAGTATATATTATGCTCTGTGTGTGTGTCTATATATATGCATGTATATGCAAGATTTTTAGAATGTACCGGTTTAACATCCGGCTGCTTTCAAGAATTTATCGTAGGGGCTCGAAGGCGGTAACCGAAATGAATTTTGTGGAACTTCTTGTGAGAAGAATCCGAGCTGCCCTTGAGGTTGAACATCAGCCACAATTATTGCCTTCTGATCATCTTCACCAGCTTCTTCTGTCTGCAGCACACGACAAAACAAAAAACAAATGAACACCAAACCAAGATAGGATGACAATTACTGTCACAGGGAACAAACTCTCACCTCCTTGAGAAGATATTGTTCGTCCTTTTCATCGTCTTCTGACAAGGTTATAGCTTTGGTTGCTTGGGGTTTGAAACTTCGAAGCACGGACATCTTTTGCTGCTTACCCGTCACAAGAGCTTCGCACTGGTTCATCATTTGGTCATAAGGTACAGGAACGGAGGAAACAGGGAGACTTGCAACTTGCCGAGCAGTTTCTGATACCTACATATCCCCAATGAAAAAAATTACATTAAAAAGGAGGACACGGAGGAGACCAATAAAAACTGTTATGAAACATTAAGTGTAACTATTACCGATTCTAACAACTCGTTGACACTCAGAACATCTACTGGATTAGTGTTTGTGGACAATGATGTTCTGTGCCCCGACTGGCTTCCACTAGCCCCTGGGGAAATTCCTTCAAATGCCACTATGTCTGAAAGCTCAACCTGAAAGATCCACAAAATTGCAATAAGAGAATCATTCCTGAAGCAAGTTTCTCATGAAATCGTTATACCTCTTCGAAAGCTGGGAGTTCTGTTTGATTAAGAGGAGAACTAGGTCCTGGTGTATCCGTAAACAATTTTCCACCAAGCGGATGTGTATCATCTCGGGAAAAATCTGACTGAATTTCCTTTCTCAAATTTGATTGCTCCTCCTAAGAGAATTTTACACAAAAAAAAATTCAGAACAATATTTTGACAGGTCTAAACTCTTTTTCTTATATATGTTTGATACAGCTTTATCTGATGTGTTGGATATAGATAAGGCCAAACACTCCCTCCGCCAAAAATAACAGAACTATCATGAATTACACCATTATATAATTTTAAACTAGATAAGTACCTCGGATAGTGTCTGAAATTTTGATGTAAAATGACTAATTACGATCTCCTTCAGACGTCTATCATCTGCGATAATCACTGAAGAATTGAGAGCAGCACTATCATCTTTGTCAGATCCATACGCTTCTTCCTGTGGAAATCCAGAACATACAGCACGCAGTCTGATATCTCCTTCCAGCACAAGATAAGGATCAACCTATTTAGGACATGACGAATTGCATATACAGATTAAAAACAGCTGAGCAACCCAAAAACAAGAGATCTAGAAAACGGAAAACAAACAGATGCAATTATCAACCAAAGCTCACCATTTGGGCTGTCAAAGATTCTTTGACAATTGGAACTAGCTCCAGAATATTTGAAATCTTGGCACCGAAAATGAGCATATATGATGCAAAAGTGAAGATAGATCTTCTACGAGAGTGCTGCATACCTCCTTCAACATTATACCAGAAATCTACATCAGAAATAAACTCAATAGAATGGGGAGTTCAGGACAGTTGAGTTACTCCTTTTGCATTTACAAGGAGATCTCGTCCCATTGGCGTTCCACAACTTAAGGTAACTTTACTGAACATGAAAGTTCTAGCACAAGCCAATCTGTGACTAGTAGGTTTTCAACAAACAAATTAACTTCGGGAGAATCCTGTCCAATATGTAGCTGCTAAAACTATAATAGAGTCAAAAAGGAACTTAAAAGCAAAAATAGTGTTCCCTTTGATTAAAGTCCTTGGATCCTGACTAGATGTTTGTTTTATCACCCTATTATCCTATTTTAATACGTGCACAATATCAGGGCGAGAGACTATGTATAATAATATTCACCACTAACAAAATCACATCGCAAATCAACAAAAATGGCATAGCATAATCTAATGGAACTATATTCATCATAGTTAATGCAAATAAATGAGATTTATTCATACTATCTAGCTAACAAAGTAAGCAATTTCCTTAATGAACGGAACAAGCATTACCATTAACCACAATCTTTAACTTACCATCTTGATTCAATGAGAGATTTCGAAGAGAGAATGCCAGCTGAAAACACCGCACCAGAGCCATGTGATTTGATCTCTGCCATTTTAAATCATAAAATCAGTGAAAATTTTAAAAAATCAAAAGACCATTTCATCTAGATGGATTGCATCAAGAAATTAAAGTTCATAACCATCAAATTCAGTTTCAAAAACATAGTGTTGTAAGTTCATTTTGAATCTGAAAGAGTCAAGATCTCCCTGGACAGAATTCCAGTGGAATTATCCACTGTGACCAGAATGAAAGAATACCAACACTCCACCAGCCTTTAGTATGGTGGTATATCTAGAGTAAGATACATCAACTAACCTTTGCTAGTGAAAACAGTAAAGTGATTTGATATGTGCTGGCCATGGCCTCAAAATTTTCAGGGGTATTGTCGGTAGAAGTTGCTTGGATCCATAGGGATGAAAGAAGCATATTCACTTGGTGACTACTTAGTCGGAGTGAACATAACGACTGTAATAGCATGAAATCACACTAGAGTTAGCTCAGTATTAAATACACACTCAAATCGATAAGAAAGTTAATATAAATATAATTGGGGAGAGAGCGCAAAGAAACGTAGGTTTAGAAAAATAATACCTTTATACCATCATCTAAATCCTTTAAACTATCCAAGGACTGACCACTAAGCTGTTGACTGGTATGTCGTGATACACTTGGATAAGATATGTGGTTTACATCTTTACGCAGTTCACTGTTTAAGGATTTCTCAACTTTTTCTTTCTCTTCCTCCTGTAAACTAGTACTCTGGTTCCTTACTGTACAAATTCCATCAACTGACAATGTCCCAGGAACAACTTCTGAGGTTTCCTTATGTTGATCTGACCATGGCAAACGAAGAGTTCGAAGAAGCACGACGGATAAAATATTGTGTGCCTCGACTCTAGTCTTACAATCTGCATGGGACATCGCAAGGAGCAGTTGGTGAAACAAGGCATCCGGAAATACCTGGGACAGACCACAGTAACTCGGTTAGAACAGGAATAACTACTGCGAAGGTCAAATACAAAACAAAAGTTGCAGTAAAAGAATTCAATTACTTTCTTGTGGTAAGAAACATTTGGGACCACTGATACTATATGTGCAGCTCGGAGAACGGCTGATGCTGTGGTCCTAGAAAGGACTACATTAGTGGATATTGTCTCAAGAACCACTGCCAACATATCAAGAACGGGCCCTGCATCCCCAACCTTAAAAGCAAAACAAAAAAAATTGAACAAACTTTATGGGGTTTTGTATGAACTCACAGACAGGAGAGAAAACAGCAATATACAAAAATTGCACAGGCAACCCCAAGGAGTTTCAGGAGTGAAGGTAGATCAAAACCACATACTGAATGAAAAAATAACATATTACAATAAGATAAGTACAAGCTGCTCAGTTTCAAAACTCCTATGTGATGTATTGGGGTATTGAATTAGTCTTAGCACACTACAGATCATTTAGGTTTCGACACTATAACAACAAGTCCGTAACTTTCAAATGCAATAACGCCATAACTTCTTTTTTTTTCTGAACAACCTCGCCGTAACTTCTATTTTGACAATATAATACAAGAACCAGCTAACTAAGATATTTAATTGATACTGAAAGCTGAACATGGAACTCATATCACTGGCTATCTACTAACACCTTGACTAGATAGGAACAGATTTAATTAGGACGTGGGTTATGATTCATAATATACAAGGCTACTGCTGTTTACTATGTCCTTTTTACAACCTTATTTTTCATACAAGCAAAACATATAATTTTAAGAACGAGTAAACTTGAAGCCATATTCGACCATTGACAAATTTATAATATCTGGTGTACTAGGACGTAAAAGACACAAGACGATACAAGTAAACCTTGTGGAGAGGATCAGATCAAAACCACAGAAACCTCAAAAGAACAGAAACAAGTCCAACTGACCTTATTTGAGAGTTCTGCAATGCAATTTTCTAATGCATGCTGGAGGTCCGAGTTCTGCTGTGTTTCATTCACACACACATCTGATTCAGCTGCATTTTGCAGGCATTTTCGCAAGTGCTTAATCAAGTCAGCTATTACAGCAGTCATCGCGCCTGAAGCCTGCTGCTTAGCATGTAGCACAAGGCATGTGGCTACATTGACCATGTTAACTTGAAGACCTTGTTGCTTCATAACATTCTTATGATCCAAGTGCTTGATCAAAGAAGATACCAACACATGACAATTTTCTCCTGCTTAAATACTGCTTTAGTCAGTTGCCTCATAGACAAGTTATAAATATCCTGTAAAATCAGGAAAGATAGCATACTATATATATCATCTGACCTGATTCTTCCAGACGAGACTGCAGAAACAATAAAACAGAAGAGGCAACACCCTTCTGGGGAGACCAGTAATCTCCACTGTCAAAAGCAGTCAGAAGCGGTTCCAAAACCCGACGAACAGTTGTAGTTTCCTTTGCTAATTTGGCTATATTGCAAAGGCAAACCATAGACCAGTATGAGGGGCTCTTCGAAATATCCCTGAATGGATGTAATGAATAAATTAAACAATATATAGATGATGCATTTCCAGTGGTCGTAGAGACAAGTGAATATATCTCTAAGGAGAAGCCTTACATGTTTTCCAACTTATAGTCAGTCACCGGATTAGGTTTGAAAGAAACCTTTTTAGTCATGTTGGGAATCATCGTTTCTGAATTTTGATCAATGTCTTTGGTATCTTCTTGGCCCTTCTCCAAATCCATATAATTCTCCAGAATCACAGAAATAATCTAATTCAAGATGAAAAAGGGTTCACAATTTAACTTCAACGCACCAGAACTTGTATATAAATCTTGTATGTATAGACCAGCAGAAGTTGAAGTATCCGATGACTCACCATATCCAAGTCCATTGATAGTTGGGAATGCTCACCAATGAAAGATACCTGGCAATAACTATTGATTAGTAGCAAAAGTTCCAAGCAGAAACAGTTGTGGACTTTGCACCACGTAAGATGCAGCTCTAAGATGAAGGTCAAAATTAAAATAGGATTTCAACTAAAGAGACACTAACAACAGAATTAGAATTTTAACTGTAATGGAATTAACTAGTAAAAAGTAAACAGGTTGACCATATGTTCTTTACTAGCTGAATAAGGACTACCGCCACGCTTAAATTGTTTTCTTGAACAAAAAAAAAAAAAAAAACTCATCAATATGGGTGTCCGCTAACAGTTTGCAGATCAAAAGTATAAGTTCAGTAAATATAAACCATTCCACTAACATAGATAATTCGAAGCAGAAGTTCTAGCTATCTGCAATAGGAAGAGCACATAACCCGTAACATGTTGCACATCTAAAGGGCATGCAGCAGGATATGTTTAGTGTGGGAAATGTATACATCTAAAGGGCATGTTTTCTGTCAGTCAACCAAAAGAGAAAGTAAATAGGTAAAGCATTACCATGAATGCCAAAGCCTGCATTCCTGCTGAGCGTAATCGGAGTGATCTTTCATCATCCCCCATTTCTTGAGCAAGTTGACAAAGTTTAGGGATTAGACCTTCTAAGTTGAACATGTGCGAATTCACAGTCTGTATGTTAAAAGATGTGTTACCATCTGTAGTGCTAGCAGGACAAGAAGTTTGCAAAGAGACATGTAACCATGCCTCAAAAAATGCTAAATGTACCTGTAAACTTATAAAGTCAACAAGCGTATTGCAACCCAAGATCTGAACTTCTTCCTCTCTTGTTTGCTCCAAAAGCGTTCGGACAATGCTTAGCAAACTACAGGAAAATAGAGGCCTACAAGAAAAATTGACAGTTTCAGCAAAATTATGAAATTTAAAAGTAAATACGGAACCTGGAAAGAAATCTATAAAGCATAAAGGAATTCGAAAGTAAATGATCGAGCAACAAGAAAGGAAAAAAAACAAGCATTATCTCTAAAGATCTAATTTAACAAAAGCGAAAAATGATATACTAATTCTAAGTAACCAGATAATGTCGAGAAACTATGACTTACATCTGCTCCTTACATGATGAAAGAAGTTTCTTATAAATGCATAAGACGACTTTAACTGATCCAATATTTCCATTTCGCAATTCTTTGTAACATTTTTGCTCAAGGTACTCTGTAATCTGTCATCAGGGAAGACTACAACACATGAGAATAAAATTGAGAGAAGTATGCCAAGATAATTCAAAAGGGAATAGCAGAAAAATGCAACAACCTTTGGAATTCGTAAAGGATTCCTAGACGCATACTCACAAAGCTTGCCAATTTTTCTATCATTGGGCTCAGCTTCCTGCCAAATCAGACACAAGATAGGAAAACGTTGAAACTTGTAACATTCCGTGTAGCAAAAACTAATCTAAGTTTCATTGAGAATCCATTCCACATACATATTCCCACACAGTTATGCGAGAAACATGTATATCCTTTCAGAATTTAAAGTAAAAAATGAGGTTTCCTATAGTAAAGACCGGAAATTTAAAATTTCCACACAAGGTATTCAGCAAGTGTAAAACTTGAAGACTAGCCGTTTTGCGTGTCAATAAAAGTAACTAGAATCCCTCTCTATATGAATAAATAGAAACGAAAAAAGACTTAACAATTTGAGAGATGTTAACTAGTAGGAAAGAAATAAAATATGGAAGTTCCAATGAAAGAGTGGTGAGTGGGATAGAAAAAAGACCTGATTGCGAGGGAAGATTTCAGCGAGCATTTTCTTGTAGCGTTTAACGGGATGCCTAGACCTTGCCCTCAAAGAAGGACAGAAGAAACAGAGGTTACCACAGGCGGGCAAAACCCGTCTGGACATAACCCCCATCTTCTTCTCTGCCTAAAATCCCCCCTGCAAATATATTATATATCTTCAGACTAAAAACTTAGAAAGCAACAATTCCTAATTGAAGACAACAACAACAACAACAGAGAAATCAAACAAGAATTTGTACCCAGCAGCAGCGGCGATTTGATTGGAACCCTAAATTCAGTAGCTAGCTAGCGAGATCGCAATCCAGAGCACCCTGAAAACCCAGAAAAAAAAGGGGGAAAATTTAGATTATTCGATCACAGAAAGGAGAAAAAGGAATCAAATTTAGAGAAATTACGAATCCAATTTGGAAGATGGAGATTGAAGAATGAGAAGATTTACCAGGGAGATGGGGAAAAGCCAGAGAGGCAGCTTGGCTGGGGGGGGGGGAGAAGAAGGCAAATCTAATCCCGCTTGCCCGCTCAGAGGTGGCATTGCTCTTCTCTCGTCTTTTTATCATTATTTTATTTAGGGCATCTCCAATGGTACTTCAAATCTTGCTTTAAACTCTATATTTGGTGTAAAATCACTCCAATGGTGCTCTATATCTTGCTCCAAAAATAGAGATATTCATATCTCTATTTTTGGAGCACAACTTTTTTATTTACAAACTACTCCCTCAATTTTAATATATTATAATTTTATACCTAAACAAAATTATATAACTAAATTTTATATTTCATAAATTTATATTAAAAATCATAGTTACTAAACTAATTTAAATTTATATTAAAAATCATAGTTACTATACTAAATTTATATTAAAAATCATAGTTACTAAACTCATTCATTATTAAAAGCTCTCTCTTTCCGCCAATAATGTCGGAAAGTCAGTCCCAATTCCTCTTCAAATTACCAATATACCCTCTTGTAATGGATCCACCACTGCTTATATGATCCGGACTATTATAATACGGTCCGAATTTTGGAAGATTGTTTTCTGCTAAATGGATCCATTTGATTAGGATTCTTGACAATTCTTCTTTTCTTTATTTTTATTAGTTCTAATGCATAATAATTTTTAATCATTAGTTTCTTTGATTTACTTTGTTCTTGAAGATGTACAAGTGAATATTTCTGGCTTTAAATTCGGTTCAGAATTGGTTAGTTTGGTTGAGAGCAAACCGAAAATTATTAGATTCGATTTACACAATTTTTAGTTTAGTTAATACAATTCACATGTCTGCTCCAACATAGAAACGGTGTCTTATCAAAAAAAAAAACATAGAAACGGTGTAAATGTAATCAACCTATCTCATCTCAATCAATTAAGGCAACTGGTTCTAACTAATTAACCTATGTGTAGTCAGTCAGTCATATAGGGGTGTTGTTGTGGGTAAAAAAACCCAGCCCAGCCCGAATCCGAAATAAGTCTACCCACAAAAAACCCGAATTTCAAAAACCCGATGGGTTTCGGGTTTTAATGGGTAAGCCCGAAAAAAAAACCGAGCGAGTCTGGGTAACCTGTGTGTACCCGAATTTATATTGACATTTTTTCTTCTTTATTTGAATTTATAAAGATTTGTATTTTATATGTATTTTTGTTTTATTCTTTTTAATTTATTAATTCTAATACAAAGACAAACAAACAAACTTCCTATTAACTTTTTTATATAACATTTGAAACTGTAACTGAATTTAATTTCGTAATCTTTATAAATTAAATTAGATAAACATTCAATAATCTTTAAAAATTGATTCTCAACAAAAACCAATATCCAGCCTCAAAATCATCACACACCTACACGTTATCTTCGAATAAAATGTCGTTGTTATTTAACTTACTTTGATAACTCACTTGTCTCAACAGAGATTAATCAACACAAAACATAAAAGTTTGAGGCAAACCATGAGACCTGTCGAAAATTGTGTGATAGTTCTCCCAAGAACTAAAATAAAATCTTATTGATTATTGCTTTATTATTGCCGCCTTTGAATCTAGGTCATAGGAACAGAGAGTTGTTGGTTTGACTAAACATATGATTAATTAAACTGCATAATAGGAGTATCTTCGATCAAAATACATTAATCGTGTGATCCAGAAACGAAAGAGGAAGAAGAAACGGAAGAAGCAGAAGAAGAAGAACGATGTCGTTCTATCACATTGAATGATAAAAAAGCCCGTGGGTACCCATAACCCGATAGGGTAAACCCATATAAGATTCTATTTATTTGGGTACCCGGCCCGTTTTAAACCCGTGTTTTTTAAATATAGCAAGTAGATCTATGGACTTATTATTTGACGTGGGTTTCGGGTACCCAACGGGCTAAAACCCAGAATTAACATCCCTAGTCATACACTATTCACAAGACTTGTTCAAAGAACCCGGAATGTAGATTACCAAACACCAAAAACCTGAATATCAGAGAGCAGAATATGTCCTCTTAGAAACAGTGATGAGACAGGTTCCAAAGTACCTGCAACTATTCTATAGGATATACACATTAAATAGTTGCAGGTACTTTGATTATCTCATCTCCACACATCTACTTGCTTCTACAAATGAATCAAGGTTGAAACATCTAAGCTTGGTTGAAAATGAGGACTATGCACATAAGTGAGCAATGTGGAACATTCTTCATTACGAGTTAAGAAAGGCTAAACACACCGCACCTAAAACAAAGTCAGGTCAACCAAATAGACACTGCACAAACTAGTGGCATAAGCAAGTTCTAAGCAAAATACCATCCCCTTGGCTTTCAGCATTTTCCCCAACAATTTTCACTTACTAGTACTTAGATAGACTCTATTAGACTCTTAACCTTTTTACCATACCTATACAATGGTAAAAGCCCTCAACACTAGGAAAGATGGTGTCTCTCTAGCGATAAGGAAAACATTTCATGCTGTAACGGTCAGCCAGTTTCTGAGCAACGCCATCGTAGAGGAGTTTATCCATCATCTCAAACTTCTTATGATGTGTTACCGCCGTCTCAGATTGCTGTTTCGACAGCTTTTCTGCCTCCTCAAGCTGTTTCTGAAAACAGAAAACAAGAAACCACATTCACGAAAGAGCACGCAAGTCTTCAACAACAGGAGAATTAACACCATCACAGCCAATCAGATCCAATACCACAGAAAGAAACGAAAAAAAAAACAAAAAAAAACATAAGCACCTTGAGCATGAACGAATTTTCAGCAGTATGCTTACGAGCAAGCCTCTTCATTCTCCTGGCCTTGTCGAAATCAGGATCGTTAGGCTCAATCCAGCGAAAACGGATGGTTCTACCAGGCTTCTTTGGTCGATCCACAAACATATTAGGCTCAGCAGCACTAGCTCTGACAGGCCTGGGCATTCCAGCAACCATAAAAGGTAACTGTGACACAGTGGAGATAACAGCTTGTGCCATATCTTCAGTCTCCATCTCAACGAGAACACTCACAGGAAGCTCCTTTGGACCCAAGAAATTTGGTATGAAGCTGACTTTCTTGACAGTCCCAAACTGATTGAAAGCAGATTCAATAACCGGAGTTGTGGCAAGAGGCGTGAGTTCGTCTATATACACAGTACGGCGAACTCTCTCTAGAAACTTTTCATACGCTGCTTCTTCCGGAGTAGCCATCACTAAACCAAATTACAGAGAAAAAGAGAAACGAATTAGGGGTCACTAAAGTTATAAAAGAAGAAACTCGAAGCAAACTGATTCAACAGAGTTACAACTTCCGTCAACCAAATCAAGTTTCCTCGGCCAATTCGAGCACTAAACTGGCTAAAAGAGCGGTATTTCGAACAGATGCTACGAATTTTCCTGGGGAAAAAAAATCGTGGCTAGGGTTTCTATAAATTCTCCATCGAGAATCAGTTTCTGACAGAGATAGTAGCGAAATCGATGGAGCATTGAAGAATTGAAGGATAGAGATCAAAGAATTACCTTAAGCTAGAGAGGAAAGAAATATCGACTCTTCCGGAAGAAACTCGTGCTAAAGGCAATTGTCTCTGCCTCTGCGAAACAAAATAAGGAAGAAGACGAGTTTGTTTTCTATTTATATATTTTATTATTGTTCAAATATTCACAATGGCCCGTATAGCTCAGTGGTAGAGCGTCAGTCTTGTAAACTGAAGGTCCGTAGTTCGATCCTGCGTATGGGCACTTTTTTATTTTGCAATATTTTATTTTTTTTCCTTCCCCAATAAAATTATTAAAACATGTAGGTGAAATAAAATAAACAGATTTAGTGAAAGTGATACGAGATTTATTGTATTCAAATTTTTGGATTTCTTTAATATTAAAACAAAATCTTTTTCGGATACTTTCTTTGGTCATAATAGTTGACATTTGGGTGAAGTTCACATAGTGGTTCACCACTTCATCAGGTTTTAGTTTTATGGGTAGCTGTTTTTTTTTTTTTTTGGAGAAAATATTAAATCAAATTATGATATAAATTATACTAAAACTGTTATTTAGCTAATTTAATTGTTTAAACTGATGAATGTTTGGACTCAAACGTGCAACCATTATTATCAAGGTGGAGAGTACTTGCCAACCATTTACTATCTAGTTGTTTAACAGCAAAATATTTCTTTATTTAAGAGTAACTGAATTATACTTGATTACTCTTACAATAATTCAAAACGATACTTACATTTTGCTTATACTAAATGTTTAATTCACTCGTATTCAAGAATGTAAAAATGTTTTACAAGAATTTTGTTATCTACCTTCAAAAGATACACAAATCTATTAGATTATAGTATATTATTTGAATGTTGACTCAACTTTTCCCGTAGTACTGTTTCTTGCTTTTTTGTTTGGTAAAAACAAAAGTATTAATGAAATTCCCACTATAAAACATAATTAAAAATAATTAATTCCATAAAGTCATAGAGTTGTATCCTTTTAAAAACCCTCAACATGTACTCTCTACCGATTAACAATATCAACCAAAGGCATATACAGTAGTACTTTTATCTCCCTCTTCCTCCCTATTTTTGGCTAATTAATGTCTCTTGTTGCATCTCTTTTAACTTCCTCCTAGATTTCTGAATTCCTGTCCTTATCCAAGAAGTCAGGAAAGGGTACAATATTTTCCTGGGAAACCCTTTCTCGGCTTCTCGGAGCTAGCTCTCACCATTATCCTTTCTTCCTCCACGACCACACGCAGCCCTACAAATTTAAAAGAGATGGATCCGACAGAGCTAAAACGTGTGTTCCAAATGTTCGACAAGAATGGCGACGGGACAATCACGGGGAAAGAGCTGAGTGAGACACTGAAAAGCCTCGGGATTTACATCCCCGACAAGGAGTTGACTCAAATGATCGAGAAGATCGACGTGAATGGTGACGGGTGCGTGGACATAGACGAGTTTGGTGAGCTTTACAAGACGATAATGGACGAGGAAGACGAAGAAGAAGAGGACATGAAGGAAGCTTTCAATGTGTTTGATCAGAATGGAGATGGGTTTATAACCGTGGATGAATTGAAGGCGGTTTTGTCTTCCTTGGGGCTCAAACAAGGTAAGACCTTGGATGATTGTAAGAAGATGATAAAGCAAGTGGATGTTGATGGTGATGGTAGGGTTAACTACAACGAGTTTAGACAAATGATGAAAGGCGGTGGTTTTAGTTCTTTGTAGCTAATTAATATGTTTTTTTTGTGGCATTTTTTGTGTTTATTGAATCATTGATTTGATTATATTGTTTTAGGAATGAAAGGCACAAAAGGAAAAAAGATCTTATTAGTAATTGACTTCATTCTTGTTCTGTTTTCCTAGTGAAAATTTTAGTTTGACTTTTATAAATGCGTTTGATTTAATGTAATGAGAATCTAGCTGCAGCATAAGAATTGAGATATCATTTGCAACTAGGTTTGATCAAGTATTGTAGCTCTAGTTAGGAGGAATCTCATTTATAAACACTGAATCAAATTAGTCGAGAACATAAACAATATATGCTAAGAGATATATATATAGGATGAGCTTTCCAAACAACCAACAAGACTTTTTCGAGATGCACAAATCTAATTTTGTCAAGCGGATATTGCCAACAATCTTCGTTTTATCTAATCACTTTCTATGTATGGATTTGGATCGGAGATTTGTACGTGGCTCTAATTTTCTGGTTATCTTGTTGAACTGCTTATTGGACAGCTAAAACAATCCAAAACCTATTCTTGAACTAATCCAAAACCTATTCTTAAAATGGAAGTGTGATCATTTCTACATAATGTGAAATGTTTAACAAACAGTCTTCCTTATAACTAAAAGAGGTGTGAACACAACTAACTCTTATTCTTATTCTTTTTTTTCGTCAACTAACTCTTATTCAGAAATAGTGATAAACATACATGAATAGTGAAGGTCTAATTCTCGTTAACTATAGCCAAGGTTATTTAATTTTCGTAATAAAAAGAAGAAAAAACGGATCAGAAAAATAAATGAACCGCGTGTGTAATGTATCGACCACACACACTCTATACCCTTGTGTATCATGTGACAAGGATAACATGGGTCCGCGTGTAGTTTTTCCTATTCTTTTCTTTAATTTCGAAATATTTGTAGTTATGTGAATGGGCCCCCTTTTTTTTTGTCTTGATATAGCAAAACTTAAAAGTAATGTGGAAAAAAAGCTTGCATTCGTTTTTAACCAATCTGGATTTATTGCCCTAAATCATAATAAAAACTTGACTAACGAACTCTTAATCGAGTTAATCGTTCTCATACAAAATTAAGAAAAAATAACAGGAAAATACAACAACATAGGTCTTACTCTTACGGTCTTACCCCATTTGCTTATTGTTTCTCTTAAACAAACATTTCTTAAAAAACAAGAGAATATTTTATTACACACACATCTCTGCGACGAGGTCATCCAAGTTCTTGTAAGAGCTCCCACCTTCTTTAATGGCCTCCATGCCTTTCTCCCTCAGCTTCATCAACGTAACTCTCTCCGGCAAGTCCTCTCTCACCGACTCAGCCAAAACCCTAGCTAGCTCGTCTGAGTCAGGAACCGAGTCTCTGTTCTCTCCAACTCGCACTGCGGCTCTTAGTTTATCAACGACCAGCGTCGTGTTGAAGAAGTGGTCTGCTTGCATCGGCCACGCAAGCAACAGAACTCCTCCGACCATTCCTTCTAGAACCGAACCCCAACCCAAATGAGTTAGGTAAGATCCAACGGCTCGATGCTCAAGAATCATAGTTTGTGGGGCCCATCCTCTTATCACAAGTCCTTTCTCCTTCACTCTCTCCTCAAATCCCGCCGGAATCACATCTTCCTCGCCGGAGTTATCGCTGGAGTTCACCTTTTTAGCTGCGTCCCTCACCGCCCATATGAAACGCACACCACTTTTCTCCAACGCCGCCGCTAAAGCAGCCGTTTGCTCCGCCGTGAGCCGGATCTGGCTTCCAAAACCGATGTAAACGACGGAGTTATCCTCGGGACACGAATCTAACCAAGCCGAGACTTTCGCCGGCGGGACTGAGCTTTGCCCGCCACGGTCAACGCCGGCTTTAAAGGGGAGCAACGGTCCGACAGTCCAGATACGGTGGTGATTCAGGAAACGTGTTTTAACAGTTTCTACAAACTGAGGCTCGAGTTCGTAGAAAGTGTTGACGACGAGCCCGTAGCTTTCCGTTGTGGCAGTCTCGAGATCGTTGAAGAAGCTTCTATCTTCTTGAGCCCACATGACGGAGATCGAATGAGCATTGATGGGTAAGAAACAAATGGACTTAATAGAGAAAGCATCAGCTACTTTGTTAATCCAAGGGCTGAGAAATGAGCTTCCAAGGATAGCGTCGGGGAGATCCGACGGTGGTTGACGGCTGAGAAAGTCAACGAGAGGGTCGTGGAGACGAGAGAGAGCTTCAAACATGTGAACAATAGCTTCGAGAGGAAGCTGCTGGAGAGTTTCGACACCGGAAGGTATACAAGGGTGAGAAGGAAAAGGAAGGATTAGGGTTTTGAAGTGTTCCGGCGAGTGAAGTGAACGGAGAGAATCGAGATAGGAAGAGTTTTTGGGTGTGACGAGGACAGTGACGGTGGCTCCACGGAGAAGAATCTGATGAGTGAGGTCAAGATGTGGAACCATGTGACCGGACTGTGGAAACGGTATGACCAGAACGTGCGGCTTCTTCGTTGTGGTCGTCATGATGTGTTTTTTTTTCTTTCTAGTTTTGGAGTGGAGAAAAATAGAAAAGTGGAACTCCTTTTATTGTTGATTTTACTGCCAACATTGGAACTCTTATTTATAAAACTAATGAAGCATATCTCTCTATTAAAAAAAAGGACCCAACCCATTCGTACGTGGAAAAGGAAAACCCCAAACAAATTTAGACCAGTCGATAAAGCCATACCTACTTCGACGTAATTGCTAGTGGTGGTGGTTTGGTCCCTTATTAAAACAAGGTTGGTCAGAGCCGGCCCATTCCATAAGCATAAGATGGTAGGTGGTGCTTTAGTTCAAAATTCAAAATAAAAATTAATTAGACAACAATTTGAGAATGTACGTCTTCGTTGATACATACTATATAGTATATAGCCTCTAATTTCATTATAAAATATATATACTTAATTACATTTTGGAGACGCTTTGCTAAAGAAGGACAAATGGAGAACATGCATGATCGAGGTAATGATGTTGTTAACTTTAAAAGCAGTGTGATGAAAGAACCAACAATTGGCATAGAAGCATGAAGAATGAGAGAGATAAGCTTATGTTATTATGTGGCAATTTTATTCATAAAAATATCAAGACCGCACCATATAACATGTGGCAAAATATAAATTCGAAACGATGACGTCATATATTCTAATCACCGTCACAAATTGATTAATAGCAAAGTAAACGACGGCCTTAGCCCTAGTGAAATCAAATGATAGGTTGGTTTAATCCGGTTATAGTAAATTAAACCAGATAGATTCTTCTTCTTCCGAGTCTTAAAAGCTGATTCGCTCGCTGGGTGGGACTAATCTTCATCGCTTACAAGCTCTCTGGGTCTTTTCTTTGAATCTTGAAAGGTATCGTTTTTATCTCTCGCTCTACTTCCCTGATTCTTTCTCTGGATCTGAATCCGTCTCAATATTTGTTAAGGGGATTAGATTGGCTTGATAGATATCGCGAATGTTGGTTTGCTCAACCCAAGCACTTCTCACTTTAGAAAGTAGCATTCAGTTTTCAATTTTGTAAACTTTAATCGCCAATTTACAGTTTCTGAAACTCGTTTTTGCTGTATTGAGAAATTTAGGGTTGGGTTTCAAATCAAGGGTTTTGAACAGCTGAGACTTGTGATTTTGTTTATCGTTTATCTGAAATCCTAGTTCTTGAGGCTTTATGTGGTGGGATTAGAGTCTTACGAGGTTGTTATAATTGGGCTTCGATTTACGTATGTGGTGCAAGTTCTGGCGGAAGATGTTTATGCAAATCTTTAAACCTTTTTTTCTGCAGTTATAATCAGTTTTTGCTTAGATTCGCCTCAAGAAACAAAACCTTGTTAATTGGTCTAGGTTTCTGATCATTATTTAGCTAAAACTGTAGTCGGGTTTTAGGTTGTCACTCTGCTAACATTTGGAATGAATTTGTGTGATGCTATCTAGGAAATGGGAAGAGAGAAGAGCCCTGGCTTGAAGATCCTCTGGATATGGACTATTGGCACTGCTGCTAGTATGATTCTCTTTCTGTCACTCTAATTACGTGTTTCTTGTACCCGTGCTTGTATATGTGTATATTTACCGGTTTATGTACTCTCTATGGGTCGATCATGAGATCATATGTATGTGTTATACTGACCAGTCTTTTACTTGTTTGCAGTATTGGTGACGAGTGTTGTCCGCACAAGAATGCAGGATATGCAATCAATGATGAACCAGAACCAGGAACAAGCACCGAAAGAAAACCAGAACGTAAGTGCAGGTGATTCTTCCGTCTTAACGGATGAAACAGTTTTGCCTGAGTCTGATCGAGAGATTGCAAAAGAGCTTAAATAAAGAAGAGCATGGTTCTATTGTTGTTTTCCTTTTCCTCTCTTCCTTTTTTCAGTCCTCGATGAAGATGACGAAACATGTTTTAATGGTTTTGGTATTAGTTTGCGAGTATGAGTAGATGTTTCTAGGAAAATAACTTGAAAAGTGAATCGGCCAGGAAGCTTGATGAGGAGTGTTTAGCAGTTTTTTTGTGTGAATATTTTCCCTTGCAAGGATGATATATTATAAAGAAGCTAGCTAATTTTTGTTTCTCTTATGGTTTGTGTTGTGTTATATCAAGGCTACAAAATATGAAATATAGCTATTGTCGTTTGAAACGACTTGTTATCATAACTCTTGGTTCAAGATACAAATTTGGTTAGCCTTTGCACCGACTTTTATTTCTTGAAATTGACTCCACATTTGATTGTCCATTCTTCTTCTTTTTTGTTAATTTTAAAAGAAAGGATCCTGTTTTGTAATTGTCTCTATATGATAAAGAGACTTCAGAGTTTTAAATAGATCTATGAGCCAACCCATCTTTCTAAGACTTGTCCAACTTTTTTGTGTCAACTTCCTAGTCCGACTATGGATGTACCGAACTCTTTAATCTGGTTCGGTCCAATATGGTGTTACTATATGACTTACTTATAATCATTTTTTAGTGGTGAAAAAAACTTGCAATATTGAGACATGAATTTTTGGGTCAAAGAGTGTGAGTGAGTAGATTTAAGAGTGCTTTGTGCTTATCCACTATATATATATATCCAAAGTTATAATTTCATGATCAGCCATGTTGAAATGTTGAATTCAATTGAACCTTAAAAGCTGTATCACTACAATTATGGAACAAATGAAAGTCAGATAGAAGAATTTGTACAGAAATAGTAATAAATCTGAAATTCAAAATATACTCCACGTTTCAATTCAAGCATATCTTCAAGGATTGACTTGTTTATTATGTGACCTCAAAAGATTTAAACCCTTGGAGCCTTATATAAAACCTACTCCAGACTTGGTTCATTTTCATTCTTCCATCTCTCGAACGCAAAATCGATCTTGTTCAAATGGCCTCATCCACCGGCGAGAAAGGTCTCATCGTGAGCTTCGGCGAGATGCTCATTGACTTCGTCCCTACTGTATCCGGCGTCTCCCTCTCCGAATCCCCCGGATTTCTCAAGGCTCCGGGCGGTGCTCCGGCCAACGTCGCCATCGCTGTCTCACGTCTCGGAGGTCGTGCCGCCTTCGTAGGGAAGCTCGGAGACGATGATTTCGGTCATATGCTCGCCGGAATCTTGAGAAAGAACGGTGTCGACGATCAGGGGATCAATTTCGACAAAGGAGCAAGAACTGCACTCGCTTTTGTGACTCTGCGTTCCGACGGAGAACGAGAGTTTATGTTTTACCGGAATCCCAGCGCCGATATGCTTCTCCGGCCAGACGAACTCAACCTCGAACTAATCAGATCCGTACGTTAAATCTTTACTTTCAATAGAATATGCCACGTGTAATTTTAAAATTTGCTAATTTCACTCTTAGCAAATTAATGAAAGGTGATAAATCAATTCACGGGCCGTGAATTAATAATATAATTTTGTAAATAGCAAAAGAATCTTTCCGTTTTGCATTAATTTGCTTTTACATTTAAGATTAACATATGATTTTTTTTGTAAAATGTAATTTAAGGTTATGAACCTACGACTTTATTTGAAAACGCAAATATGATTTGATACAAATTGTATTTGTTTGCGCAGGCGAAGGTGTTCCACTATGGATCAATAAGTTTGATAACAGAGCCATGTAGATCAGCTCACATGAAGGCAATGGAAGTGGCGAAAGAAGCTGGAGCTCTTCTTTCCTACGATCCAAACCTGAGGGAACCTCTTTGGCCATCCCCTGAAGAAGCTCGGACTCAGATCATGAGTATCTGGGACAAGGCTGACATCATTAAGGTCAGTGACGTTGAGCTTGAGTTCTTGACCGAAAACAAAACGATGGATGATAAGACAGCTATGTCTCTATGGCATCCCAATCTGAAGCTCTTGCTTGTTACTCTCGGCGAAAAGGGATGTACTTATTTCACAAAGGTATAATGTCCCATACACATTTTTAATAAAGAAAGCTACTTTTGCAAGTCTCCAATACTGATTCACTAGAACTATATTGGGACGCTGATTTGCTCTTACTTCTTTAGCTTATATGTGTGTGTGTGTCTGTGTAGAATTTCCATGGATCAGTTGAAACATTCCTTGTGGACGCGATAGATACTACCGGAGCTGGAGATTCGTTTGTTGGTGCGCTTCTAAAACAGATTGTTGATGACCAATCCGTACTCGAGGTGTGTACTCAATAGAATGAATCTTCCTTAGTTTTGATCAAATGGATTTACAGATGATATATATATCGTTTTTTCATTTTTTTCTTAGGATGAAGCTAGATTGAGAAAAGTGCTGAGATTTGCAAACGCTTGTGGAGCCATCACGACAACTAAAAAGGGAGCCATACCAGCTCTTCCTACAGACAGTGAAGCTCTTAGTTTTCTTAAAGACAAAAAGAAACGTCAAACTTATCTTAAATTCTCAAAATTGTGTTGTACGGCTCCTCCTTGTTAATTGTGATTTTGTGTGTGTTTAGAGATCCATACTGGTAAGTCTGATTTGAAATAAAAGGATCCCACAGTTTTTTTTAATCAGATTGAAGAGACTTAAGTTTATGTGAAACTGTGAAGTTGAACCCATGCGACATGTAACTTTTCTTGCATTTGACTTCACATTTGTTGCTCCACCAAATTTTCCTTTTTGTTAATTGTATAAACATAGATAATTATATATATATTGACCCAAAAAATAAAATATACTTTGGTCCATTATGGTGTTAGTATATGATTTAGAATCATTTCTTAAGGTGAAAAAATACTAATTATTTATGTCAAAGAGTGAGTGAGAGTGTTTTGTTTCTTATCCACCATCCAAAGTTTTTAATTTCCATGATCAACCATATAGGAATCTTTCATAACCATATAGAAACGTTGAATTCATTGAACCTTAGTGAAATTTTATTGTTTCAATATGTAATCCATTGAACCAAAAGAATTGTATCAACTACAATTATGGAAAAAAATGAAATTCAGATAGAATTTTTTTTTGCTCAAATGTTAATAAATCTGAAATCCAAGATATAGTATAACTGGAATTTCTATAAACTTATATCTTCCACTTTTCAAACATATCTTCAAGGATTGAATTACTTATGATTATTTTTTTTTCTTAAAGAAACACATTATGTGAAAAAATGACCTCAAAAGATTTAAACTCTGTCTTCACTCTCTTTGAGCCTTATATAAACTACTCAAAACTTCGTTCACTTTTCATTCTCTGTATCGTCATCATTCTTCGATCTCTCGAACGCAAAATCGATCTTGTTCAAATGACATCATCCAACACACCATCCACCGGCGATAAAGGTCTCGTCGTGAGCTTCGGCGAGATGCTCATTGACTTCGTCCCCACGGAATCCGGCGTCTCCCTCTCTGAATCCTCCGGATTTCTCAAAGCTCCCGGTGGTGCTCCGGCTAACGTCGCCATCGCCGTCTCACGTCTCGGAGGTCGCGCTGCCTTCGTAGGAAAACTCGGGGATGATGATTTCGGCCATATGCTTGCCGGAATCTTGAGAAAGAACGGTGTCGACGATCAGGCGATCAATTTCGATAGAGGAGCAAGAACCGCACTCGCTTTTGTGACTCTGCGTTCCGACGGAGAACGAGAGTTTATGTTTTACCGGAATCCTAGCGCCGATATGCTTCTCCGGCCAGATGAACTCAACCTCGAACTAATCAGATCCGTACGGGAAATCTTTATCTCTGTTTTCAAGATTTCAAGATTTTACTTGGTTTGGAGATTTGATGCATATTTTTCTTTATTTGGCAGGCGAAAGTGTTCCACTATGGATCAATAAGTTTGATAACAGAGCCATGTAGATCAGCTCACATGAAGGCAATGGAAGTGGCGAAAGAAGCCGGAGCTCTTCTTTCCTACGACCCAAACCTGAGGGAACCTCTTTGGCCATCCCCTGATGAAGCTCGGACTCAGATCATGAGTATCTGGGACAAGGCTGATATCATTAAGGTCAGTGACGTCGAGCTTGAGTTCTTGACCGGAAACAAAACGATCGATGATGAGATAGCTATGTCTCTGTGGCATCCTAATTTGAAGCTCTTGCTTGTTACACTTGGGGAAAACGGATGTCGTTACTACACTAAGGTAAGTAATGTACCACAAATATTCATCATCATGACGACCATGGCGTGCTTTTAATTGATGCTCTCTTGTGTAGGATTTCCATGGATCTGTTGAAACTTTCCATGTGGACGCGGTGGATACTACGGGAGCTGGTGATTCTTTCGTTGGCGCGCTTCTAAACCAGATTGTGGATGATCACTCTGTACTTGAGGTAACTCCCATTGATCTTTGTGTTTAGTCAATCAAATGAATCTTGTTGATGATATTTACTGTTTTTTCTTTTTTCTTAGGAGGAAGAGAGATTGAGAAAAGTGCTAAGATTTGCAAATGCTTGTGGAGCCATCACGACGACTAAAAAGGGAGCCATTCCAGCTCTTCCTTCAGATTGTGAAGCTCTCAGTTTTCTTAAGAGACAAATAGAAACGTAAAACTTATCTTTTAACTCCAAAATTCCCCTTGTCTATTGTAATTTTGGATTCTTGCTGATGATTCTGATCATTTGTAATGAAAGGATCCCAAAGTTTTTTTTTTTTTCTTTTTTTTTTTATTTTGGTTCTCTCGGTCTTCACTTTTTCTTCTTCACTGTATTGAATAAAACAGACTTGTGGCTTCTGAGCTTTTCTTGCTGATAGAAAACAAAGAGTTTTTCGTACTTGTGTTAGTCAGCTGTTTGGAATCGTAAATTGCATTGAGGATTGTTTCTCAAGCCTTCGAAAACAGAGTAATAATCATCGAACAAACAACAAAAACCTAAGAAAAACAGAGCAAACACATTTAGAATCGGTTTGTAGCATCAAGCATTAAGCATATACCATGTTCAAGTGGTATGAACAAAACTCAACACACAGACATTTATGATAAGCTCTCAACATATCCTACACAACTTATGACAAAACTAAAAATGTATATGACATTGACTCCACACATCATCCTTATGCAGATTGGTTCTGTTTCTTCTTTTACATTGAAGATTGTCTACACATATAGCTTACATATAGCTTTTTAGCCAAGATCAGGGACAATAAAGTGCTCCTCATCATCATCATCATCTCTGATCTCGTACCTCGGCTTCTTGTAGGAAACATTCGACTTCATGGGTTTGTATGAATGAACATGACCTAAATGCGAAACAGAAAGCTCAGGAACTTCAGCTGCAGGAAGAGCCTTGTGATTAATCTGATCACCGAAGAATCCCATGTCTGAAAACCAATCCAACTCCCCTGCCCCGAGATCAAGCTGTCCTTTCTGCTCAATTTTACACAAGAAAGTCCATAAAAATTTCTTGCAAACAAAGTGCTATAAAAGGACCTAACATTGAATCACAATTCTCATCACTACCTTATCAGTGGATTCGATATCAGAGAAGTGGAAGAAATCGTCAACAGCCCACGGAAGAGGAGTAGCAGAAGAAGGTTGTTGCTGCTGGCTTGGGGATTTAGCCGGAATCTGATTAGGTTTCTGTTGGTTGTTGGAAGGCTCAGGTTGGTTCTTCTCCATTTCTTTATTGCAGCTAGTTGAGGTCAGAGCTACTTTGATCCCAGTGGCTAAGAACCTCTGGTGATTAGCAGATCGAGAATTAGCAACGTGGATGGATTCATCGCAGTCCCTGCAAAGCAGAGCTCTATCCTCTACGCAGAAAATGAAAGCTGCCTTCTCCTACAAGTCATAGAAACATAATGAGCAAACCCTAGTCTTAAACAACAAGGCATACACGCAACAGTTGCTATAAGATCTATAAAAAGTTCACAACTTTGTTAAAAGAGTAGATCCAAACTAACGAAAATCTATCAAAACCTTTGTCAAGATCTAATCAATGACCTAGAGAAAGAGATCTGTAGTAAAACTCACTTGGCAGATATCGCAACGAGGGAATTTGGTGGAGAGAGAATTAAGATGAAGACGTTGGTGCTTGCTAGCGAGTTTGTTAGCGGCATGAATCTCGACGTCGCATTGAGGACAGAGAGCAGCTTCGTCGGCACAACATATCACCGTCGCCGGAGCTTTCTCACACACATCACACTGTATCTTCATCACCGTCCGTATACAAGAAACCAACAAATCTAGGTTTGTCAAGAATGCTTAAAAAGAAGGGTTTATTGCTTAGCAGAAGCGTAGGTTCAGAGAAAGAGCTTTGAGAAATGGAGATGAGAGAATAAAAGAAAGAGAGAGTGTTTTGTGGGGAACAAGTTGGTGGGAGCAATTGGTGGTGAGTGAAAGAGGAGAAGATAAGGATTTGATGAATCTTGTTGCTTGTTTTAATTATTCTGCCTGCGTATCAAAAGGAAACACTCTGCTTCTTACAGCAAGGTCTCCTGGGTCCCACTCTTTTTCTGTGGCTCTCCTTCTTCCTCTCGTCATCTCTTCTGCCTTCAGATATTATTTTTCTGTTCACACTTGCTATCTTTTATATTTTGACTACTAAACTAATTCAATAATTCCACTACCACTAGACTTTTTTTTTTTATGATATGCTCGAATTTCAAGTCTCGTGAATTGTTACGATTTCTAGAAAGATTTTTACAAAAAAAAAAAAAAGGGCTTCATCAAGAAAGAAAGAGTTGGGCATTACTCAAATCAGGGAGTATTACACGACTACACGTAATCTTGAAAATGACATGTGACTTTATTCTTTGGAATGACGACATGTTATGTTAATATGTACCATTCGATCAGATTTTCCTTCTTCTTCTTTCAATTTTTCGGTTTCTCAATCATAAAAACGATTATTGCAATCATTAAAAAAATATACTGGTATGTTAACAAACAAAGAATTGACTGTGTAGCCTGTTCTAGAAAAAAAAAATGATCCTAAAAGACACCAATACAAAAATTAGGCATGGTTGTTTGGTCACAAGAATTGTTGTTGGATATATCCATCCATATTAGTAAAAAACCAATCTATACATCTGCGGTTTTTTAAGAATTGACAAGTTTTTGTTTGTGTGTTTTTGGTAAATGAGATCGAACAAATTCAAAGAATTGTGAAGTTAACTCCCAAAACACTTACTGCTTCTGTTGTACATGTTCATCCTTCTGGTTCTGGATTTCCCCATGAGAAGTATTGTTCATGTTGGCTGTATCTTGGTTAAGCAGATTAGAGAATCCATTACCAATCGATTTCCACCAGCTCGACCGCTCTGAGGTAGTTTGATCCCACCGCTCATTACTGGTGCTCAGTTCGATAAACTTGGCTGACTCGGTCTGCAGCTCAGAGAATCTCACAGCTCCTAGTAGCTTTTCTGGAAGCTCTGCTTCCGTCTGACTCTCAATGAGGAACGCAAGATCAACGGTCAATGTTGTGATGTAACCAAATGCGAGATGAACAATGGCGCTAGCGACCATTGAAGAACCGATATCAACATCAATCTCCACAAAGTTTTCTCCTGAAACATATTTGCAAGACAGTGCACGTCCAATCACACAGATCGCTTGCTCTCCAACAGCTTTTCTTACAATCCAAGGGCCGTTGACAATGTTTGCAATCAGTTTAAGCCTCGATTTCTTAAACCCATCATCTCCTTTCAGAAACCGATCCATCAGGGAGCCTTCAAGGATAGGCTCTGTGGCAACAAAGTAAGCCACAGCACTGTAATTGTCTTTGTGGGGAAGCTGGAGATTAAATGCCCATACAAAAGGCTTAGTTCCATCTGCTTGAAACTCCTCATCGATAACTTTCCTGATTCTGCTGCTCGGATAACTCAGGATCTCAGAAAGCTTTGTAGGACCTTTGATCCAATCAAAACCCAGAGGCTTTAGAAGGAAATCACCAGCAGGAACTTTAACATTGTCAGAGAAATACTTTGGTCCTCTAACCATAAATGTGTCAGGAGATGGCGTAGTCCAACCATTTTGGCAGTTGTCTGGCTGAAGACACGGAACAGCACCCTCTAGTTTCACTCTCTTAATCCATTCTGGCTCAGTTTCTTCACCAACAGAGCCACCCATATCTTGTGAAAACCTGCAACACACAACTAAAACCCTTGAGTAAAAATGAGAGAGGATATCAGTCTCATGTATTATACTTAGTGTATAGCAAACAAGAAGACCAAAGCATATGATCAAAAAACAAAAGTATCTATGCGGCTCTATTCCTCAGCTAATTTCCCTTGGGATCCATGAACTGTTTAAAAGAAAAGAGTGAAACACAAATTCAGCATGATCACACACACACACACACATGATTCATAGATTTTCTAGAAACCTAAGCCCTTGATGATCCTAAATAACATGCATACCATTCAAAATACAAAACACAGGGCCCAGATAATAGAATTTACATTCATCTAGAACACAGATGAAGAAACGGAAAAAAGAGTTGTTTTGATCCGAAAGAAACAGAGCAATCAAAACCCAGAAACGATTAACAAGTTTGAGAGGTTAACGAGGAATCAGCTACAATAATCACAAGGAGAAATTCAAAGTTGAGATAAGCAATTAACAAAAGACTAATTCAATCGCAGGACAAGGAGCAAACAATAAACCTTTTGCAGCAGAAGAACCAAAAACCCTAATTCAAAAACGAAAACTTCTCACGGGGAAACAAACGAAGAAGATAATCCGATTTTGAATCTTCTTGTTTTGATTATCTTCTTTTATTGTTTGGATTTAGCTTTGAAACGGAAGCTGCGAACAAATCCTTCCGTAGCAGCATAACGCTTTTTAGTTCATATATCTTATTAATTTAAAGTCCAACTGGAAATAACATTTTGGGTCCAAGTCCAACTGGTAATTACTATAATTAAAAATAATACATAAATAATCTTATTAATTGGATTTAACAAAATTATAATTATTTATTATGAATACTATTAAATAAACCCATATATAATTCAAATCATTCATTCTATAAGATTTTTTCTTTAGGCAGGTAAAATTTTTCTTCCAGATTAATAATATCAAATGGAGATAACAAAATCACATTTTAAAAGGAAAAATAATCTTTTAGTTTTAAAGTAATAATGAAAAAAATCTTCAAAAAATCCAAATTACTGTACATAAAAAAGAAATGGTTAAGTGAGTCGACCACATCGTAAACTATATTCGGCGACTCAAACCTCACCGAATTTTGGCCATCTCATCTGGCTTCTTCCCCTCCGGCGACGGAGATCCATAGTTTACTTCTCGCACCGGCGTCTAGTGGATTTACTGGAGCATTACACGGATCTCCTGAAACAATATGGATCCTCGTCAATTCGCACACACCGTACGTTATTCTCTCCCTGAAATGTTTTATGACGAGATTTCAGAATTAGAATAACGATCCTGCTCAACGATGATCGCACCGCTTTCATTTGATTGGGTTATGGATTATTCTAGGTTTTCATGAATGGATATGCATTGCTTATCGTCTTGTGTATTGGTGGTGGCTCTTAGTATGAAATAGATCGGGGCCTTTTCAAACTTGAACATGGAATACAAGTCATTTTAGGCTTTTTATCCAGAATTAGAAGCTGTACTAGTCTCCTTGGAACTGCAGTGTTATATTTAGTTATTGGAATCTGGAAACTGTTGTTATCCTCTAAAAAAAGAATTTTCTTTGTTAACCAGGTTGTTGATGATAATGACATTCACAGCATTGTAATGTCATATCTTCTGCATAACTGCTTCAACGAAACTGCGGACTCACTTGCTTCTTGCACTGGAGTTAAGCAACCCGCAATTGATCGTGATAACTTGGAGAGAAGAAAACGTGAGTTCAACTACTCTTTCATTGATTGTCTACTCTGTGATTATATGTTGTGATTGTTAAATATTCAGAAATAATACATTTTATACTGGAGAGGAAAGCGTTGAAGGCTGTTGAACTAACTGAACAACTAGCACAAGACTTGCTTGAGAAAAACAAGGATTTGCACTTCGATCTTCTATGCCTTCATTTTGTCGACCGAGTCTGTGCTGGGAACTGGTGAGAATTTATGATTGGTTTTTCCATAGGGAACTCAGGTTTTCTCAGTGCCTTGAATCTTTAAAATGATTCTCTGCGTGTGCAGCACAGAAGCTCTTGAATTTGCTCAGACGAGATTGGCTCCTTTTGGGAAGGTCCCAAAATATGTAGAAAAGCTTGAAGTAAGTCTGAATCTTGTTTGATCCTCTATTATATTCATCTTGATGTATTGGCAGATTACTTGTTCTGTTCTTCCAACTGATGGGAGATTTGTTTTTCCTGAGGCAGGACGTCATGGCATTGCTGGCTTATGAAGACCCTGAGAAATCCCCAATGTTCCATCTTTTGAGCTCTGAATACCGACAACAGGTTGCTGATAACCTGAACCGCACAATTCTTGGTAAGTTCTTTATATTTTTACCTCCACGAAAATCTCTGCCCTCCTGTGACCTTTGCAAATTACATTGTCTAGAACACACAAACCACCCAAGCTACACACCAATGGAAAGGATCATACAACAGGTGACAGTTGTGAGACAATACTTGACTGAGGAGAATGGCAAAGTAATCATCGTATTTCAGTATTTACTCATATATCTATTTGGCTGTGAAACCCTGGGAATAGTAGGTGCCTGTGTTAATTTGCTATTTATTGTCGTATGATAGGATGCGTTTCCTCCATTCTCTCTCAAGGATTCTCTCAAAGGCTAAGATCGCAGGACTACTCCAAAGTTTGCTAGGAGGAGGATATGCTAAGCATTGTCATGTAAATACAAAAAAAAACCTTGCTCATCTCCTTTGTTTAAATCTGTCTTCATCTCCAGCAAACATGGAGACAAGGTTATTCTTCCATGGCCACAGGAGGGGTTTCGGTTTGCTGTTGCAAGAGATCGATATTGTGAAGGACAGTTTCGGCTTGGTTTGGTTTGGTTCGGTTCAGTTCTCTACCAGAAATTGTTCCCTCAACTTTGTGTGAGTTTAGCGATAAATCTGTAATCCATATCCTTGGAAACAATTTCTCTTTGTAACTATCTTTTATTTATGCTTTGATATAGAACACTCGCAAATTCAAGGTTTTATTTAGACATCACAATCTTCAAAGCCAAGACCAAATGAAACTTTTCAAATAACCAAAATGAACAGAAGCCAAAGAATATGAATATAGTTAAACGACTACAGACTTGGATTAAGAACCCAGTTCTAACCAAATGACCAAATCCAAGAACCTTTTAAGAGCTTAGGATCATACAAAGAGAACCTTTTAACAGACAAGAACCAAAGCTTCACTAACAACTTCTAAATACGCAACTTCTAAGCTGTCTTGTTTTAACTCTATAATGCAATAATCCCAAATCCACGAGCCTGCAATGAAAAAGGAGATTTCCAAGAGTAACTTACTAAATTGGACATTAGCACAGTCTACACTCAGTCTTTTGTCAAGGGAGCTTCAAGATCAGGCGACGCCACACTCTCTTTCTGACCTGGAGAAGGCATGGGTCTTCTTAGTTCTGAAGCCCCGCTTTGTTGTTCCTGTTGTTGAAGCCGCTGCTGCTGCTGAAACTGATACAGTTGCTGCTGCTGAAACTGAAATTGCTGCTGCTGCTGTTGTTGCTGGTGGTGTTGTTGTTGCTGCTGCTGTTGTTGTTGCTGCTGCTGTTTCTGTGACTGGATCTGGAGCTGCTGGAACTGTTGTGCGGCTAAGATAGTGTGCATCGACTGATTATTGGGATAAAATTGCTGGTTTGATCCGAAAGAACCGTAGTTCATCATTGATGTACCATTTGATGGACCTTGCCCCGTCAATACCTTAAGATGCTGGACTTCCTCCTTCAGTGCATCATTTAAAGCTGTCAAACAGAGAAAGACGATCAATCAAGTAGCAGCATTCACAACAAAGTGCAGCGAAAATCCCGACTTGGGACAAATATATATATATAGACTTTCTTAACCAGAGAAATGGTAATGGGTCTTGAAGGTGTATGCTTATGTTATTATGCCAGATTCTGGATCTGTATTTTAAGCTTAGTATGACCACAAGCATGGCATACAATCCTACACTGACAGATCCAAAACGTGGTATGGCATATACTACACCTTCAACATTCATTGACAATGTTTATTTGCATTGAGATAGTAAAGAGATAAAGAAATATCAGCTCCTAGGACGTATGTCAGAAAAGATTCTCACCGTCCTGTAGGTGAACCTGTTGCTCCATAGTTTGTACTCGCAGTTTAAGCTCATTGTTTTCAACACTCAGGCCATTTGTATCTCTCTGAACACAAGGATGAAAAGAGAACAAGATTAAAACAATAAACTTACAACAAATATCATAGTCTAGAATTGAATTTGGTCTCCAAACCTGTAACAGAGTCAACTGGGCTGAGAGAGATGTGGCCTCTGTTTGTAAAGTCTGTACTTTTCTCTCGAGCTCTGCAATATATCTCATCTTCCTTTCTTTTGACCTCGCAGCAGACTGTCTGTTTGCCCATATCCTATCAAATGATACGACAGGTCATGCATCTAATAAAAATTCATAACTAGTTACCGTAATGGATTACGTATACGAGTGAGCTACTTTTAGATGAAGGGTTATGTAAAATTCCAGCCGAACTTTAATCTTTTCTATTTGTCCACATACCTAGAACTTATAGGGTGGCAACAATTTGATCATGTTTGTTTCACCAAAAACTATACACAGCTTCTTAAAAATATAGAAGGAATACTGTTAAGAAAAGAAAAATACCTCTTAGCACGTTTAGGATCAATGAGAGCAAGCTCAGAAAGTTTAGCAGCAGAGATGGCTTTCTTAGAGTCAACTCCAGACACATCTTCATTCCCTGACATAAGCATCTCAGGTTTGATAGTTGTCGAACCATCCATTGATTGGCTGTGTTGGTGCCTGATTCTCGGTCTTTCACTAGAGCTACCAGGCGTACTCTGAAGGTTAGAAGTTGAGCCTAATTCATTCCTCCAAGCTGGTTCTGATGGCTCACCCATTTGAGAAGTCGATGTAGCAGAAGAATTGAATTTATCCATATCAAGATACATATACAGTAAGTCCTCATCCGTATCATCAGAAAAAGAAGGTCCATCAGTAGCACCAACCACACCAAGATCACTATCAAAGCTCAAGTCATCAGGAAGAGTAAGAATCTCTGAATGAGCTCGGCGATGGCCTAGGTTCTTGGGTGGATTATCCGGCATTCGGCTTATATCGTGGCTGAATCGGTTAGCATCTGAGCTGCTGCTCCCACTTGGAGTCAAGTGAGGAAACGATGATTCAGATTTCATTCCAAAGCTACTTCCATTAGGTGAAAACGCAGAGTAACGACCTGATGGTGGAGGAAGACCTCCACTAGGTGGTGCAGGAGATTTCTCCTTATCCATATCCAGAACTTGACCTAAACCCACTAATCTGCATACCATCATTCACAAAATAAAAAAAAGACGGATTATATTACATACTAGACCATATTAGGGTTTCATCTTTAGCTACCAATTCCTCAACTAAGGAGATACACAACCCTAGAACAATCACACGCTTTATCTCAGCCCTAATTCAAAACGAAAACCCTAAAATAAATTAAAAAGATGGGATCTTTTGAGTTTTCACGCACTTACAGAGATCTAATGAGCAGCCTCCAGAAGCTAAAGCAATGTCCTAAGAGAGATCGAGGAGACACAAAATTATAGGTTAAGAGAAGAATTATCTGGCAAAAGTATCGAAATTGTGAGAAAAGGGAGCAGAGAAGGATGAAAAATCAACTAAATCAGAGAGATCCGACAAGAGAGGAGGAAGAAGAAGACGAAGA